TCGCACAGCGAGACAAAATTCAACAGTAAAACTTTACAAGTTAACAATACAGGACTTAGTCTCCACGTGTATTGTAGTTGAGATCCACTGATTTGCTAGGTGAGCAGGATGGTTCCAACAATATTTCAGCAAAAAAATGGGTTTTGGTGTCTTTTCCATAAAATTCACCTATCTATACATCACTTCCTTGCACTAAGCAATACATACAGTAGTTTACATGCAACTAACGTGCTCTGAGATTTAGGACCTGTGCTCAAGAGAGATTAGTTAAAAAAATCTACTTTTCTGAATTCCGATGAACCATTTTGTTTTTCAACTCGTTGAAAAGCTCTGAGAGTGGCTTCAGGATGCTTTTCACCAACTGTCCCTAGCTAATATAGTTCTCTAGACAGAGTAGTTTTAACCTTTTAATGAAACCCAGTAATTGGTATTGAAACTTCTGTTTAAAAAAAGAAAAATCTTGAGTCAGGGCTTACTAATGATCTTTTCGCGGCGATCAGAATGTGTGCTACATTGTGACAGCAACGGGGTTGCTTGCTACTAAATTGTAGCAGCCAAGATTTTTCAGCACCCTTGCCTCCCAAATCCTGATGCGCTGACAGATTGCATCATGATTTTCACATTCTTTCCCTCAAACACAAAGATGCTTCTTGCTACTAAATTGTCGCAGCCAAAATTGTTCAGTACCCTTGCCTCCAAAATCCTTAATGCGCTGACAAATGGCATCATGCTTTTCGCATTCTTTTCCTCAAAAGCAAAGATGCTTCATGCAGTCAATGCAGCAGTGCATTTATAAAAGCTGCATAGTCCATGGTTTGTGGTAGAGGCTAAGCAGAATAGGGATTGTGGCAGCAAAGAGAGAGATATTTTAGGAAGTCATCTTGGCTTTTTCGAGGATGTGCGTTCAGCGGAAGACTCAAGATACACAATTTCGAATTCATCATTTGAGGCTTTCGTATAGATAAGTAAAATCCAATAAAATATCTACGAACTAGGTGCACTACCTACTTTTCAAAAATGCACCAATTATACACTACTGAAAAAGGTCATGTCCTTATAATCTGATTGTCGGAATTTAAAACGCAAGTAGCAAATAATGTATTGTACAAGTGGTCTTCCAAATTGACCAAGGTTGGCGCTCTAATTCAAATATTAATCAACCTATTAAGCTGATCTTCAGTTCATTTAAAAAAGAATGTGAAAATGAATAAATCAACACCAAGATTAGGTTATTTGAATAAGGACTGAACAAAATATAGCAGGTAGAATGTGGGATGTCCTCTCAGTTTTTGAACGATATACTCTTATAAAGAGAAGAGACTTACTGCAAACAAAGATACTTCAGTGGCGGAGAGCAAAGTAGAGGAAACGGCCCTCTCAATGCACAGAATAGTGCTTAAAACACAACTTAAAAATGACAAAAATGAATTTCCTGAGCTCTATACCTCAAAGGTAGGATACAAAAAGGAAAACTGGCAAAATCGGATTATTTAAGAATATCTGGACGAACACATGAAGAGTTTGAAATGTTCTCAGATAGCCAAAATTTCGACAAGAAGAATGCAACGGTCTCTCTTCAACAGTGGCTGAAGGGAAATCATTCTATTTTCTAAATTTAAATATTTTTTTCCACAAAAGAACCAACCGCAGCCGTCCAAAACAAGAATGCCAGAACTCCTTCCAAGATTTTTTTTCAATTTTGTTCTGACTAAATGCTTTACTATAAAAAAAACCACAGAAAATTCAAAGTCCCAATTTTCAGAATGACTGTAAAGCATTATTGGGAGCTCAAAAGGCAAAATTGAGTGTAGTAACCATCAGACTTACTTGTAATACAGCATTTTGTCTCAAAGAAAACTGCAAAATCTAAAATAGAAATGCGACATTTTTGTTTTAGACAGCAGTAATATGAATGAATGGATTTTGGAAAATAATCTTGGAAGCACTGTGACAATTTCTTGGAATTTTAAGATGAATCGCATGTCCCAGAAGTACAGCACACTTCCCATTTTTCCACAAATGATGAGAGCTTTTAACCTGCTGTTCGCATGGGCATTGAATCCTTAGCTTTAAAAAAGGCCTCGTGCAGGTATCTAACTTGAAAATTGGTAATGTAATGACATGATAGCAGTAATAGTATGATGTGTAAAAGTTGATCCTGATGCTTTTTCAGGAATTTTTTTTTAGTCGAGATGATCAGAACAAGAAATGCAAAAAAATAAAATTTTTACAGAGAAAAGAACTCAATGGAATTAAGTTTGCAACTCAGAGAGTGCAAGAGGTGATGGTGTGATGCTAAAGAAAGGTTTCCATAAGACTAATGACAATATTTTGACAGATATGGTGTGCGAGCACAGTCTGTCGGATCAGAGTTTGCAATCGCATGTGCATTTCTCATGTTCATCACGAATGCTAACTTGAAAAAAGAGCAAAATTTAATATTCTGTTATTATTTTCAGTGCGATTATTCAGAGAGACACTTGCAGAGAAAAAAAGATGTTTTCAAAAATAACTGGCTGTGGAGAGGCAGTGCCAGTTGATGGATTAAACCATTTAAAGGCAGTCATGAATCAGAGGGAAGTCTTGCAAAAAATAGCTGACCATGCACATCAACATGGAAAAACTTATTGATACCGTTGTCGGAATTATTCGCGAGGATCGCCATTTATCTCTTCGTGGGTTGAGACAAGAACTTGACTTTTCGAAATGCTAGGTTTGATGGTTAATTTTTTTCATTTTCAACTAAATTAATTTTCTGTATCTATATTACTTAAAAAAAGGGCTTAAAAATCCAGGGTCAATTTTCACACATCATCTTTGAAATGTTATAACTTTGGCACTTTGCAAATTAGATATCTGCACTATGTTTTTTTTTAAATCTGAGGAATTAATCTAGCGCCTTATGCAAAACCACTTGTAGAATGTAAATAGTTCTGACTGTTTGCTCAAAAACGGGAAGTAAGCTGTGCTTTCAGGACACCCTATGTATATTGAATAAAAATAGAATGTGTTGCCAATTTCCATTCAATTGTCCCAAATCCACAACAGATGTACTTTTCTAGTTCTTCTGTAGACCTTTTCAGAATAAAAAGGCTTGAACATAATTTATGTTATCAACATCACGCTTCACGGTGCGTTTTAAACAATTTTAATGCGGTCAACATACCACCCGCGATTTTTTTGCGGAAATGTCAACTAGAAGGCCTACTGATTGAGGAACAACAAACCGCGAAATCTGTGATGGGGCCGTTTTTGAGAAAATGCGATTTTTCGCTTTTTTGGCGGGAATTTCGGGTCAAGGCGCTGAAAAAGTCAAGTTAGGCTGTTTTTGTAGTTCGTAAATGCATATCCTATACATTTTGAGTCAATCAAGTGCCAGTAGATAGCTATTCGTGCATATTGCCCAAAATTCATATCCTTAAATCCACGACTTTTGGGTTTTTGGGGGGTTAGTCAAGGAGAAATCCGAAAAAAAGAGGGTTAACCCGGAACAAATTGCTTAACAAACTTTTCCTACGTAAACTTCTTCAGTAGGTCCTATTGAACAACATACCAAAAGTTTACCACGGTTCGCTCCCGGAACACCCCCCCAAATTGCCTAAATTTCAAAATGGCGGCCATAATAAGGCCTCTGGGAGTTCGATTTTTTTAAAAATACGCATACAGTGTCATGTGAGGTGTCAATTCCTATGTAATTTTGGTCGTAGATTTCAAATATGAAGTAAAAAAAGTCCCTTGATCAAAAGGGGGTACCCCAAATCCAAGATGGCAGCCAATTTTGAAAGTCAAGAGGGTGGATTTTTAAAAAGTTCGCGTGATAAGGCAAGTGAGGTATCATTTCTTATGTAATTTTGGTCGTAGATTTCATTTATGAAGTCATAAAAGCCCTCAAGTCAAAGGGATTGCTCCAAATGCAAAGATGGCGGCCAGCTTTGAAAGGCAGGAGGGTGAATTTTTGAAATGTTTACGTGACATCCCTAGTAAAATAGAATCAACCTGACGTTTCATAAACTACCCTGAGTCAGACTAATTCAGGCTGATATCAATCTGACTCAGGGTAGTTTATGAAACATACCCTGACGTCAGGTTGATTCTATTTTACTAGGGATGTCACGTAAACATTTCAAAAATTCACCCTCCTGCCTTTCAAAGCTGGCCGCCATCTTTGCATTTGGAGCAATCCCTTTGACTTGAGGGCTTTTATGACTTCATAAATGAAATCTACGACCAAAATTACATAAGAAATGATACCTCACTTGCCTTATCACGCGAACTTTTTAAAAATCCACCCTCTTGACTTTCAAAATTGGCTGCCATCTTGGATTTGGGGTACCCCCTTTTGATCAAGGGACTTTTTTTACTTCATATTTGAAATCTACGACCAAAATTACATAGGAATTGACACCTCACATGACACTGTATGCGTATTTTTAAAAAAATCGAACTCCCAGAGGCCTTATTATGGCCGCCATTTTGAAATTTAGGCAATTTGGGGGGGTGTTCCGGGAGCGAACCGTGGTAAACTTTTGGTATGTTGTTCAATAGGACCTACTGAAGAAGTTTACGTAGGAAAAGTTTGTTAAGCAATTTGTTCCGGGTTAACCCTCTTTTTTTCGGATTTCTCCTTGACTAACCCCCCAAAAACCCAAAAGTCGTGGATTTAAGGATATGAATTTTGGGCAATATGCACGAATAGCTATCTACTGGCACTTGATTGACTCAAAATGTATAGGATATGCATTTACGAACTACAAAAACAGCCTAACTTGACTTTTTCAGCGCCTTGACCCGAAATTCCCGCCAAAAAAGCGAAAAATCGCATTTTCTCAAAAACGGCCCCATCACAGATTTCGCGGTTTGTTGTTCCTCAATCAGTAGGCCTTCTAGTTGACATTTCCGCAAAAAAATCGCGGGTGGTATGTTAACCGCATTAAAATTGTTTAAAACGCACCGTGGCTTATAAAGGCTTCAACTAAAAAACTTTGAGTATGTTTTCTTACCCCTGTATCAGGCGCATGCGGATTTGGCGAAGAAGGAGTCCTCGAAGAGAAAGGCTGCAAAAAAATAATTTACAATATTAATTAAGAAAAGGAGATAATTATGAAATGAAATATTTGAAATTGGATCAAAAGCTCAGAAGCTAATTAATTAAAGGAATGAGAAGGGCCTGTAGAAGGGGCGACTTGTTTTTCAACATTTTCTGCGATTGAAAAACAAATACCGTGGGAAAAATCTGAAGTCTATTGCCCTCATAGTGGAATTTTCTGGGCTTTGTGAAAACATAGCACAGAAACAGAATTCAGACAGGCGTCAAAAACAGAGAATGAACAGAAAACAAACAGATTTGGCCCTAGCTAAGTTTTGTTAATATTCCATGCGATCTTCTATGCAGCCTCCAGAGAAAATTAACTTTTCAAAAGTGGACTTTTCAGATTCCCATAACAAGAAAATCAGGGTTAGGAAGAGAATTTTTCAGCGTTTCAACACAGGCTGTCGTTATGGTTTTGCAGTATCAAGGACCAAAAGGGCCTTGTTATTTAACTAATCAAATGAAAACTCGGGAGCTTTCGTGGGTCTGCTGCTTTGATTTCCCTTCAATTCTAAATTGAATCAGTGAGTTCGAAAACATACCAACTCCGGTTTTTTTCCGATTTTCACTTTTTTACGGTTTAGTAACACTTATGGATAGAGGCATCTGCACGCAAAAGGAAATTTCGAACTTGCGATCGGAAGTGCCAAAGGGAAAAATCAAAGTATTCCATTAGAAATACCAATTTTTGGCCATTTCAAGGGTGACCATCTGATTTTGCGGTTTTCTTTTTTCGGTTCAGTATAGCTTGTACCAACAAGTTATATAAATATTCAAGTGTTATTTAGGTCGAAAGATATACATTTTTCAGGGCAGACTATGAAAAACCAGTATCTGAAAGTCTGTGAGAACGAAAACACACCAACTCAGAAATTTTTAAACGCTTAATTCTCTATCATCAAACATGGTGTATCGATTTCAACTTGGTGCTTTACAAAGTCTCTAAGTACTTGTCTTTTGGCACCAAAAAGGTTTTCCTTAAACTAACTTTTTTTGCCTGCTGCGCAGTTTTGGGTGTTTCCTGAACAATTTTTTTTCTCCGAGTCGGTGTGTTTTCGAACTCACTGATTCAATTGGCATTGCAAAATTCCTCTGAATGAATTTTACACAAGCGGCGAGCGCTGCTCCGAAAAATAGCAATGTACCGACTAATTATCAGATCCCTTGTCTACCAGCTGCATACTTGTCTCATTTTTGGTTCTGAGGTCTGATCCGTCAAAACTGGTATCATCGTCACTCATTTGATTACGTCCACTGCTCTCAGATCACTTTATACATGGTCTCTACTCAAAGTAAGTGGAACAAAGGTTTGCTCCTTTGCTACAAAATATCAAAAATCAACAAAACGCTGTTTCTTCCGTTTCAGCCTTTGAGAGAAGCTAAAAAGAAAATGCCGATTTCGCTATATTCGGCTCTCATCGCTCCAATGGCTTCCTGCCAAGGGGAGATTGGGCCGATGAGAGTCCAGTAGGTATATAAAGTTGGCATTTTTGCAGGGGGCCGTTGGACCAATGAGAGTCATACACTGCAAAATCAGCTTTTTCTTTCAGATTTCCCGCCCAGGCTCAGTCAAAACGAACAGAGTATTTTGTTGGTATTGGGTGCTTGAATAGAGGTATACAGATCATACCTCTGTTTTATTTATCTTGGTCTCTACTATCTTTCCTCCCATTAAAATCACATTGCTCCAGTTTATCAGACCAGCAGCTGCAGTGCACCGTTTTCTCAATACCGAGTATTCAACACATTTTCTCTTGGTGAGGGAGTTCCCTTGTCAGAGCAAAATGGACTGTGCCAGCCAATCATAAGGTAGTGTTCACAAACTGATCGTGCTTTACTTGCCGCCAGCGACTGCTTGCCCAAGTCTTAGGCTGGGCTTCACAAATTCTCCCAGCTTGGTAGCAGAAAATTCAGGAGGCTGTGCTGCACTGAGAATGGGTTCAATTAGACCCAAAACACATCTGCAGTTGCCTTCCTGCATAGTCGTAACTAGTGTTGCACCAAACAGCGTATCTCTTTGAGGGAAAATCGTACTCAAATGAACTTTTTCCCTCTGTATTGAGATTTCCACACAATGGCTAAAAAATTCCCACTGAAAATCTGAAGGTGAGTGAACGGGGATCCAAGAGACAGACCAGACCTCCTCTTCTAGCTGAGAGAGCAGTTAGCATTTATAAATTTGATAAGAATTTTGAAAAAAACATTTACCTGATGCTGCGGAGATTGCTGCGGCTGCTGATGTTGCGGTGATTGATGCGGCTGTTGATGCTGCGGTGACTGATGTTGAGGGGACGGTGGAGGGTACTGGCCGGGAGGCGGTGACTGCGGAGCAGGTGAGGAGTTTTGAGGGGGCCCTGGCCCAGGCCCAGAGATAGGACTGGGCGGATGTTGTTGTTGTGTAGGCCAGGACCGCTGCTCTCCTGGCCCTAACCCAAAAGCCCCGCTAGAGGACATATTTGACGCAGGAGGAGTCAGTGCTGATTGCTGCTGATGGCCAGGACCTGCTTGCAAGCCTGCCAGCTGCTGTTGCGACTGCCCTCTTTGCTGCTGAGAATTCTGAGATTGCGATGGACTTGGTCCTTGGCCTGTCTGACCCTCATTGTTAAAAGGTGGGTTCACCTGTCAAAAAATAAATTGTCATCAAACTTTAATCGGAAATACATGAATGAATTGCTCTAATTTGATAACCTCAGAGGATTGACCACCTTTTTTTAAAAATTTGAACGAAAAGAAACCTACTTCTTTGTTTATTGTAAAAGGTAACGTTTGCAGTAAAGAAGCTCTCAGGGTTATTATGGATCTGCTCATAATGGTGACTGTATCCATGAAAAACATTGATGTTAAGAGTGCAAAAGTTAATTTTAAAGCTGATGCAGTCTTGTCAATTTTTTTTTTTTTTTTCTTTCCTTTTTTTTCTTTCCTTTTTTTTTTAATGTGCATTGTAATTGGTAATTTTACAGGGATTGTAAAATCCACCATTGGCGGATCCAGAAAATTGGCAACATTGTTTTTCTCCATTTAAACCTATGGAAATGTATCAATTCGAGGAAGAGGCAGGTGCTCCTACAAGAACAATTATTCAACATGGGTTTGAAGGGAGAGAATCCGGTGTTGCCAAATTGCTGAATCCGCCTCTGCTGTAAAGGCAGAGGTAAAAACCTTGTATGGTCTCATTAAGACTTCATATTAGAGCTTCTTTTGTTTGGGTGGGTAGTGGATTTTAGACTTAAAGGTGACACCTTTGTTTTGTGCAGAATACTTAGGCTATTCATGATTCTGGCACTTTGATAAGAACTTGAAAGATGAAGACAAAATGAGAAAGAGGAGGGTGAAATCACTATTTCCTCTTGAAATGTTGATGCGACTTTAGGTGTTGAAAATTAAGCACTTTGAAGCACCTCCTAAGCAATTTTCTGACCCCTCTTTGTTTAACTCAAATTGCACGGAAATGGAATGCAACTGCCTCCTTTTAATTTAGGACTCATAGATCTTTATGATCTGTAAGCTAACATGACACAAAAAGTTCATTTGGAGTCGACATTGTGGATTGAAACAAAGAATACACTTAGAAAATGGAGTGCTCCACAAATTTCTAATTCCTCACATCCAAGAATCATCTCAAAAAGGCAATGAATAAACATTCAAGTGCTTGCCAAATACCTTCCAAAAATCCAAAATTGTTCAAGGTATAAAGAAAGTTTAAACATCAGATTGCATACTCCGTTGCCATTCTGAGCAAGTACTGGGGGAACCCATTAAAGCTGATTCAAGTTAATCCAGAAAATAATGCAACATGAAAATAAAATCTAACCACGAGCAACATTTGTACTTGGGAAATGCAAACATCATATTACGTAAAATATATATAAGTTCGAGTACAAAGGAAGCGTTGTTTGACAACATGTCTCAGGAAAATTCGGGAAAGTCTGAATTGAAGAGCCTTCATCCTTGAAAATGACAATGGACCATGGAGGTTACATTAAAAAGTTGCCCCATGTGCTGCTGTAGGGATAAAATGCAATCATGACTGCAAGGCAGCCAAATTTGAATTCTGCCCTATAATGGGTTAGCACAGTTTTGATGAAGAAGAGGCTCTGGGAGAAAATTTACTTGGACTTCATTTTTCACACGTTTATGCTTCAATTTTTGCTATAGTTCTGGCTTGACACCTTTCCTTTTATTGTTAGAGTAAGAATTAAAAATAAAACAACGTATAGTAAAGGCCTTCCCTCCACTTGACTTTCATGACTTTTCTATGACAAATTTTCAGAAAATTCCCTGAGACAAAAAAGGATGACAAATGATAATATTTACAGTGTCCTATTCAGCTGAATGAAAAGCTGAAGCTATGTGATGCGACAAGTAGTTTCGATCTCTTTAATGCAATTTTCCCAAAACTTTCGGGGCATTTGGTGCTCTATGCAGTTCCTACTTCAGTTTTCCCAGAACGTAGCTACTCTTCTTGCCTTAGCCCAAATGCAATATAGACCATCAAGTAATATTGAACTGACCTGGTGCGAGGGATGCGATGATCTGGAAGAAGCTCCAGCAGGAGAAACATTCTGCGAAGATGAATATTTCTGAGGAAATGGAGGATACTGTTGGTTCAATGCACTCTGAGATGATTGCGCATTACTATTGGATTGTGAAGGGGATTGAGAGTACATGACAGAATTCGGCGGGGGCCCCGGCGAGGATGCTCCACTTTGAGGTAGATATTGCTGGCCAGGCGGAGAAGCTCGCTGAAGAGTACCTACTCCCGACGGCTGCTGCGTTCCTTGCTGACCTGTTTGCTGCTGTTGCTGCGGCGAAGGTCCACCTCTTCCCGGCCCATTCTGGAACATGCAAAACAAATAGAGTGAGTTTTTTTACTATCCACTCATCACCTTACTTCCAGTTTACATTGGAAAGGTCAAATGTCAGATCAAGATCCACTCTTTACACCTGTCAAATCATCTGATCATAAAAAAATTTGACTCCCTCAAACCTGTATAATATTGGTATGTTATTACATACATGGTTTCACGATGGACATTTTTCAGATTTTGGTTTATCCAGATAAAGTTGGTTCTCTGTTGATCGGTTGGCCAAGACTCTACGGCATATTTAATTCTTTACACAGAATTATGATTCCTGCACTTACATTGAACAACCAAGCCTAGAAAAGATATTTGACAAAAACACAATTTAGAGATCAAAGTTTATTCATCATTACTTAATTTACTCAGTTTTATACTTTCAAATATTCATTTTAGTTGGCTTATTCTTCCATTCATTATTGAATTGTAAAGCTTTTGACACCACGTGAGATATTATGTCATGTGTTTCCTACAAAAAATAGAAAGAAGAAAGTAGCAGGAGAGAAAAAATAACAGAAAAAGATATGAACTTTGAAACTTTGGATGAGAGGTCTTTAAAGTAGGGAGATCACTGAACAGACAGGAAGGCATGGAACTTTCAGCCTTCTGGTGGCCAAGGTGCAGTCATGCGGATTTCTTTCCAATAGAAGCCAATAAACATCTCATAGAAGAGACTCATAAAGTATTTTTTTATTGGGTTATTAATTTATGGTGGTTTGGGCATTAGTTTTGTTTTTTTTTTTCATCTCCTTTTTTTGTGATATGTTGAGGTAGGTAGTCAAAATTTGATGAGTCTCAAATCAATGCATCTCAGCAAATTAGTAAACGCCTTCAAAACTTTTAATTGCTGAGTCTTAATATTAACATGATTAGATTTTCATATTAACTTACAATAGGTGAGCTCAAGATGAAACTGAGCTCAAGATGAAACTGAGCTCAATTGAATGATTTCAGCAAAAACCAGCCAGCGGGCCGATTACTGAAATTTTATGTTTGTCGGGCGGACATAGGTTAAACGGTGGATTGCAATTGGTCGGCTATGTCTCATCGCTGCTTTGACGTGCCTTCGTCAGGTGGAATTCATGACAAGCTAAAGGAACCTCTGGCCGGAAAGGAACCGGCAGTTTGTCGTCGAATCCATCTGACAAAGGCACCACAAAGCAGCGATAAGACACAGCCAACAAATCACACTCTGCTGTTTAATCTACGTCTGCCAGACAAACACAAAATTTCAATAGTCAGCCTGCTGAGAGCTTTCATGCTGAGTTGCCTTATCAGACAAAGATTCATGTCCCTCTCTTGTGGGTAAACTCTGGTAGTTTCAGAATACCTTCACACAAAGAATCAAGGCATTATGTTGCTTACATTTTTTTGGAAAAATGAAATTACTTAAACTTATTCCAATTTGGACTACTACACAGGCTTAATACACAGGCAGCAGGCATTCTGAAGCAAGGCTAGCAATCACTTCCTTATCAAAGATGATGCATGCCTTTATACGGCTGTTATTCTGTTACCTCATTCACTTAGAGGTTCATGTATCTATTACTACATCAGTATCGTGCGTCATCATCTACAGAGAAGTGATGCATCTCATAATGTAGTTTCGACGCATGAAATTTAAGTCCTCACTTAAAATATGCTGGCTCATGGTGATTTCAAAAACAATTTGATCTTTCTCTAGGATTTCCTCATATTAAAAATTGGTGATCTAGTCTTCACATCATGACCGGTTTGAGCCTTAATCTTTCAGGCAAGATTGAGGTCAATTAGGTACGCTAGGAAGCGTGAATGCAGGCAAACTAAAAAAAGCTAAAGTATTGAACTAATAAAAATATGTGATATTTTAATGTTCAGAAAATTCAGTTGGAGAGAGAATCCAGTACTGGGGAGAGCAATTACAGTCAACACTTAAGAGCCATTCCCATACTGAAAATGGCTGCTTTGTCGTAATACACCTTCAGGACCTACGTGATCAATGAATAACAGCTTGACATTTACAGCACAGAAATTTTCGACTTGAGTTGTCAATGAAGAGTGCATTTAAAGGCAACTTTGCAGATGTTATTATACCAGCATATGTACTTACGTAAGTGAAAGGAAAATTAAAAATGGAAAAAATCGGTTTAGTGATTAACAATAGTTATTTACCGTGGTTTGGTTTCGAAACATCACCACTCCTTGTTGAGGTCCATAAGGAGCCATTGTTTGAGGCGACGGCCACACTTGATTGTACGGTAGGGTACCTTGTGATTGATCGCCTTTTTGCATTCCCGCACTATATTCACTGAAATTGTTTTGATACCTTTGCACTGGATTAGAAGATTGCAACAACTGATTGAGAGTAGGAGTGGGTCCTGAGGGCTGCGATATACTTTGACCTGACATAAATCGTGACTGATGGTTATGGGGGGAGAAAGCACTGACCGATACCATGTTAGGGCCTACACCTTGTAACCGAGGCGAGCCTGGCATAGGTTTCGAACTTTGGTATGCGTGTCTGATGAACTGGCCGAATGAGTTATTTTGATGCACTTCACCACCGTGCAGTGGTGACATGTTGGGTGAACTATGTTGGTCAGGGTGACTATGCCCTCCTCTGGAAGCAAAGGCATGACCATAACCACTTGGCATGTTTTGACTCTCAGGAGACAACTTTGGATAGTTTGGATCACCATCTCCACCACCTTCAGAATTGGATGGGTGCATTTTACTATCAGAATTAAAGACTTTGATTGGCACTTGGTCGACATTATTAGAATTTTGCTCGCTATTAGACAGACTAGTTCCGGATTCGGGCCGGTACTGATTCATTTCTGGGGGATGGGGATTCGGCACCGGTTGTTTGATTCTCGCGTTTCCCACATCGGTATTTACCCGATCAATCAAACGGCTGTTGTTTCTGTTAACCGTTCCGTTTTGAAGAGCTGCATTTCCTAAATCCGAGGGCTGCTCCTGTTGAACGGAATCACGGTTCACCTCGTTTAGCTGGGGCTCAGCTTCAGTAGCAGCCATGTTAGGCACAGCCACAGTGACTTTTCAACTTGCCAACACCCCGCCGCTGCGAAAACAACGAACTTTCACTCACGTTATACCGAAACTTACGACACGACAACGACACTTCACTGAACACCATGGTAAAACCATCACATATCCACTTTCCGATTAGATTCACACAATAACATCGCGACCGATCATGAATCGCCGACACTAATTCAAAACACAACTTTCGATACAAATCACAACATCAATATCACTGATATCTGATCGAAAGGAGGTTAGGGAGGAAATTCCATGTATTCATACGCCGCTTGACCGCAGCAAAGTTTATTTTTCCATTATTCAAAGCTATTTTCGACTCAAAGTCACGATTATTATAATTTTTTTACTCTTCAGGAGGCCTATTTCACAGGAAATACATCCTAAACGAAAAAACATGCTTTACGGTAGGGACTACTTTTACCATAGGCCGCGATGGAAAGGGAAAGCTCCAGGGAGAAAAGAGTGAGACGCAGATGAGAGAGGTCGCTCTAAGCTTCGTGTAGGAAGTTCCTTTATTAGTTTACGTCACAAGGGACGAAAGTTGGCGCGGTATTTAAATTAGTTTACTAGTTCCGCCACTACTGGAACGGGATACGCAAAATGAATAGCAAGAAACCATTTTTCACGTAACTGTTCCTTGTTCCTCGATAATGTTTTTTTCTAGTAAGTTAGTGTATTAATTAGGTGCGAAAAGGTTTTTCTCATTATCAGGACGTAATAAATAAAAGTAATTTTTCATGTTCAAACCGAGGAAACACGTAAGTCGTAACTTGGTTGATGACGTTGTGGATTTCTTGCCAAATTTAATTTTGTAAACGGAAACCAACACATTTTTCCTTATCCTGTATTACATATTCGTCACGCTCTCGGTGCTCTTTCATGATTATTGATTAAAAGAAAATTTAAATAATATTTTAAATTTCTTATCGTCCCTTTCATTTACTTGGATCGATTTTCTCTAGAAACGTGTCACCTCATTTCCAGATTTTCGAAGATGAGCATGAGAGATTCTTCAGATCCGGAGAACGAGCTTTTATTAATGGGAGAGTACCGTAGCGTAAAAATTGCACATTTACCTCAAAATTGAGCTGAAAAACTTTTGCCATCCGCAGGGCCGATTAAAGGGGGTGGCCACATGGGCCGCGGCCCATGGCGGCAAATTTTGCAATTGTTTTAAATGTAAGTAGGTATAAAATAAATGGGATTCAGAAAAAAAAATTACAATGAGTAAAGGGGACAAAATCTCTCTTTCCTGAGAGTATAGTAATTTCTAATTTTGTTGTTTTTCGGTGATACAAGAGACAGCATCTTTAATTAGTCGAGTTAAGAGAGGGACCAAACACGCAATTCGGCCTGGAGCTCAGCGCAGAGAGAGGAATTATGACGAGGACTTGAGATGAAAAGGAGAAGGCCTCGGCGCGGCGGTTGGCATGTAACACACATTAGCGCCTACAAGACTGCATGAATACTTCACGCATTGCGTCAAACATAGTGCGGTCAACGGCGGTCGCGTCGGCGTGAAACGCATAGCGCCTACAAGACTGTATGAATACTTCCCGCATTGCGCCAAATACAGTGCGGTCAGCACGGAGCGGCGGCGGAAGTTAAAATTATCAAATCAGATTTATGTTTGTTCTTCCTTAATATTTTCGTTCAATGCTTATAAATGGAAGGCCTTGTCCACAAAGAGATAGGTTTGCGGGACTTAACTTTCGCGCAAAGTTCCGTGAACTTTTGCTAGTAGTGTTGATAGGGCTTTCGCAAAAAATGTGTCAAACACGATTAAACGCCTTTTATGCACCCTACCTCCGGCACGTTCACTTGATGGTTTTATTGATGTTTCAAAACGAATGAGAAGGGGCGGTAAAATACAGGCGGCTCATGGGCGGCAAGTAGGTAAATCCGGCCCTGGCCATCCGCTTATAGATATATCCGGCTATTTTGTTCATTGCATAGAAAAGCAAGATTATTACTGAAAACTTTGTTTTCAAAATGGGAGGGTCTGAATATAGATTTGAAAAACTTTCAAAATCTGCAGAGATTGCAGAAAATCGCAAAAAAAAAAAAAAAAAAAAAAAAATGCAATCCCTTAACGCTTGTAAAAGCAATAAGGCCTCTTCCTGGGCCACTTTTTAATTTATCGGATCATCAGATCATAAGATTTTAAAGGGACTCCTTCTAGTGACGTATGTAGTACCTACTTCTTCTTGTTAGCTTACGAAGATTCATTTATTTGTAATGATCAGCTTGGCATTTGGTTTTTTAGCAGCTGTGGATAACGGAGTGTATGGATTCGCCATGCATCAAAAAATGAAAACGTGAATCGATCGACAAATTACTAAAAAAACAGTACCGATTTGATTGACATCGACGTGAATCAATCGACACCGATTCGATTGACGTGATCGATCGACACCGATTCGATTGACGTGATCGATCGACACCGATTCGATCGACAACCGTGAGTCGATCGACAAACCCGTGAGTCGATCGACGAACCCGTGATTCAATCGAATTTTGTCGATCGAATCGATTGATTCACGTTATTTCATTTTTCAATCGATTCGACACGGATTTATCAAAATTAACTGCCGATCAAATCGGTGTCGATTGATTCACGTCGATCAATTCACGTGTTCGATTTCTCGATCGATTCGTGTCTATCAAATCCGTACTCTCCGTGGAAAACATCTTGCAGTGTTAAAGGATGGCCNGGGGGGGGGGGGGGGGGGTGTTTTTTCCATTCTTTTCGTTTACGTAATGTCACTGGAACCGGGTGGAAAAAATTTCACGAGCAACCACTTAAAACTAAGACAATCGTTAATACTTTTGCTTTGCTCACTCTGAGAGCTGACATTTGGAACTCATGAATAAAATTTCTGAAAGAGATTTGAGAGACCTCTCCTCCCGCCTCCGCGGCCTTGCCCCTGGTAAAAAGCAGGTCCAGCCTCGGTTTCACCCGGTTTTCAAGAGCGGCAAAATCGAAAAGAGCCAATCAGATTCCAAGTATTTGTTTGGCGCAAAGGAGCAATGGACGAATGGACAAATCAGACACCAAGGAATTCTCAGCAGCGAATACGAATTGGGCAGCCATTTGTAACGTCATTCAGGGAACATTCATGTGACGTAATCAGATAGCTATAAACACGACATGTTTCAACATGTTGGTTGAGGTATTATCAGAAAAGTGTGGTTAGATATGACGTGAGATATAATTTATAACAAAGAACAAATCAAATTTCAGATCGTTAGAGCTTTACAAAGTAATTATTTATTCATGACCTCTAGATAACTCATCGCTGTTTTTATCACGTGGTACATTCCAGTAGCAATGGTACGTATGTAAGCAAATTTTCTTTCACATGCAGTGTGTAGCAACCAAACAATCGACATCCCACATCCTATCTCATTCCTGTATCATCTCGAGATTCTTTCATCATAATAACTCGGAATAAGTTTCCCCCTCGAACTACCGAGAATTTCCAATATGTCTGCGTTACATATTTACATTGGTATCCATAGCATTTCACCAAGTTGTGTTTTGTATATCTGATTCGTACTGTACTTTTGCCCATTCATGCTCTGTGTCACCATGATTCTGGACTATGGACATCCCATTGATAGGTATTTTTTTATGCAGCAAGCTTTTGGTTTACTTTTCATACCAGGCTTGTAAACTTATTCTCATCAATTCGCCACCTGACGAATCGAGGCATTACAGAATCTAGACAACTGCGAGAAGCATTTGATCGAATTTAAGTGCCGTCAAGCTCCATGCAGGGTAGATTTGTATTATTTTGTCCTGACCTATGACATAGGTGTTGATATGCATGGCTAGTAAGTCGATATATCTTGCGGTAATTACTTGTTGTACTAGTTGTTGGTACAGTACTTATTTGACAATCATGATGTTTAGCAGAAAGTCCTGACCTGTAATTAATATTTAATCACTTGGTGCCTGTAGAAAACATTCACATCTAAGATTTACACTATTCTCTTAGGAGTGAAAAACAACAAACGTCAGGTTCTAATCAGGACTTGGAGAGTGCAAGTCATCCCTCCTCAAGTCCAGTTCTAAAGTTCGAGTAGGGATTAATTTGAATTTGTATTCCTTGTTTCAGGTGTTAGTCCTTAAGTGAGAATTAAGCTCAGCCATCAGCATGGCGTCCGTAAGAATTGTCACTGCTGATCATTACATGAGCACTCCAATAGAAGGACTTGATCCAGTGTACTCAGAATTTCGAGGGTCTGCAGTCACACAAGTACCAGTGATTCGAATATTTGGAACAACCAAAAATGGTAATATCATCCAAGATCTTTATTATGCTTCACTTGTGACAGTGAGCTTTTTTTGTACTCTCAGTCTGAGTGAAATAGATGCGAAGAACACACAGTCGCCTGCAACTCCTCAGCGACTGTTGACTTTGTGTGCTCGTAATGAAGGTAGTACTCCTTCTCATGATTTGGACGTATTTCTGCCAACCAGAACTATGTGCATTAAGATATGAGCCCTGGGACCCTTGAGAACATATACATAACAGGGCTCACATCTTAATGCACATAGTTCTGGTTGGCAGAAATACATCCATTTTTTCTTCATCCTCATTTTGAAAGGTTGAATTGAAGGGCTTTGAGGACAAGGCGCAGAAGTGCAGTTTTTGCTATTTTGAAAAATACAAGTTTGAAGTTTCGGAATTATGTGGATCCTTATAGCGGAAAGGAAGTTCAAACTGACTTTTTGATGCTTAAAAATTGGAATTTGGTAGCGAATTTATCACTAAATATGCAACAACACCAATATTACATGAAACCATCAATATCTCAATTTTTTCAAGAACTGCGCTCATGCGCCTTATCCTCCAAGCTCCTCAATTTCGGTCCAGCTGCCTGAATTTTTTGTGTGGAGTAAGGGATGAAGGTTTTCTACCGGAAGAACTATTCCAATAAGCTGCGACTATGATTTTTTCTTGAGCCCAGAACCTTGCCGGCACTTTGAAAGTTTTCATATGTAACTCATCAGTAAGAATGGATCCTGCACACTCCTTATGGGGATGTTGACCACTATCAATTGAATGTATTTATGCTCAAAGGCACTAGGTGCATAGGGACTGTGTGTAACGTAGTCCATCACCCAAACTCTCTAGAAGAAAGGAAATTATCCAATACTAGTGCCTTGATGTAGCTGCCGATCTCAAAAAACTGTTCTGAAAAGAGTAGTAGCTTTAAAACCTTGAAGTTTGATAATACAAGTATTGCACAATTTTGTTAGTCTTTTTAACGAATGTAAATGACCTTCCACATCTCTCATGTTCCGTGTGCTATCTTTTTTAGGGGTCAAAACCTGCTTACACGTCCATGGTGTGTTGCCGTATCTATTCATTCCTTTTGCTGGGAATGCGGACTTGTCAGTTCTTCCATATCAGCTTGCTTCAAGTTTAGACAGAGCTCTGAACATTCTTCAAGGTCTTAAAAATTCTAACGCTCAACATGTATACAAAATTACCCCTGTCTCTGGGAAGTAAGTGAAAATACTTTATTTTTGATGTTTGGTGAGAAACTTCATTGTCAATCCTTGTCTACATGAAAATAATCATTTTTATGAATTTAATTAAAAAATTTATCAGTCTTTCAGGGGCCTCTCAAGTAGGCATCCAGCGGGCCGATTATTGAAACTTATAGACAAAGCTATAGACAAAGACGACAAAAGGGATTTGGAGGGATCCTATTGGTGGAGACAGGTGGTGGCAATGGACATAGGATTTAGGTAATGGACTAACTAACGGCAACCCACTGAAGACCCGCCAGTTAGTCCATCATTTTCTTCCTTAGTCTATAAGAACCAACCATGTCAACCAATAGGATCGCTCCATATTCCCTATGTCTTCTTTGTCTATCGCTTTGTCCATCAGTTTCAATAATCGGCCTGCTGTAGTACATAAGGCATATAGGAGACTTGTTGACAATCTCCCCCCCCCCCTGTTATCTTTTGATACATGACCATACTTTAAGATAAGCCCCCCCCCCCCCCTTTCTTTTGAATCTTATGAGACTCACTTAATCCGCCCCTCCCCTTTCGAATCACAGAAGACTAGTCTGACTCCCTCCCACCCACCATTTTTCATTGAAAAATCCTTATAAGCAGTTGAATTTTTAAAGCCTTTAACTTTGACTGGTATAGCCAATGTTTTCATAAATCACACATATTTAAGTAAATAAAAAATACTGTTATCTTTAGCATTTACTTTGTTCGTTTTCTTGACCATAACTACGTTGATTACTTCTGTTGTGTAGATTATAGGTTGACAGGTTGATAGGTAGATAGATAGACAGATAGACACAAGGCGCATAGTTTTTGTAGTAGTTAGTTTGTAGTTTAAATAAAATTTGCATAAGTAAAAAGGAAAAGAAAAATGAATCCTCTCATGTAGAAGGCATTAGCAAATTCATAGATTAAAAATCTTCTCAGTGAATACATTAACTCTTTTTCTCACTTGCAATGTTTCAGACCCATATATGGATTTCATAGGAAAGAACACTTATATTTAAAAGTTTTCTTCTACAATTGGGCCATGAGAGATAAAGCAGTCGCACTTCTTCAGGTGAGTTAATATTCCTCTCCTACGATTTGAATGGGTTTTTACAATTTGAATGGAAGAGGTTGCCCATTGCAAAAGGACCCGTAATGGTCCATGCCTGCCTCAGGGAGCCTCTCTAAAATTTTGGAGGGGTCAAAAAGTAGTCATTCTTGACCTAGGTTTACCCTCAAAGTTTCAACTCTTTTGCTCAATGAACAAAAAAACAATGGTGGTGGTTTAGGATTTTTGGATCACATTGTATAATTTGTCGCACAAATTATGGGATTTTCAGTTGAACGATGTCATCCTTGTAAAATGTTAATTTGTAGATATTAGGGTAATCAGCAACTGTGTTATTGGTACATTTTTTATTGGAGCTGAGTTTTCATTGAGTAAAATCATCTGCTGTCTTAGAACTGTTTCTTTAGATCTGCTGAATTGCTTCGGTCAAGAGTAATTGGGTCCGACCAAAATTAGTACAATCTGAAAACAGTCAACTAACAATTTTTGCAATTTTTGTTTGTAGAATGGTGCTGTGTGTAATCAAGCCTTTCAACCTCATGAAGCGCATGTTCCATACATTCTCCAGTTTTTTATCGACTATAATCTGTATGGTATGAGCTTTATTGAATTTTCCTCTGTGAAGTATCGTTTCTCCGAGGATAACTCAGGTATCTCTTTTTCTCTTCCCACAATCATTTCTCACCATAATTTTTCTTAACAGTTAGACATCAGATCACTATCTTTTAGAAACTTTCAAGACAAAATGGTATTGTCATAGAACCTTGTGACAGAAGCATAGCATCATTCGTAAAATAATAATTTTATGGAGAACATCGACAAAGATCAACCCTTTCTTTAGAAACGCGATGGGTGTTTCGCACGCAAGAGATACAGCCATATAAATACATTCTTGAGAGGTTAAATTACACGAAAATCATGTTGGGCACATCTATTAAGTCTGAAATCCATTTATTCCTCAGTGCTTAATCTGCGTAGATTGTACACACTTTTTCAAGTTTCCCGTGTCTGCGGGCAGTTTTTCTGTCACCACCGGCCAGGTTCGCTCAGACAGAAGAGTCTAAAAAATTAACCTGAGTCCACAAACGATTTCATTAACTTTTAATGTTGTATGATTTCAATTGTTTTCAAGCGTCAGTTTTCTTTTTCTTTCATTATTTTGCAAAAACAAAAGCTTTGAATCAATTGAATTCTTACGCCAGGAGAGTTCATAACAGTTCTCAAGATTGTTTGTTTATTTATGTTCCGTTCCTCCTCAGGCGAACCTGATTTCCAGCCACCAAGAAATACTGCCTGAACATGTGGTAAATTTGGAAAAACGTGTTACAAACTACACAGATTGCGCGCTTTAAGAAGTGAATCTCGGACTTTTTTTATTTGTTCAATGTGATTTTTGAGCGTTTTACCCTCTAAAAGTGTATTCACTTGGCTGTATCTCTTGTGTGTAACAGACCCATTGAAAAGGATGTTGGTCACAACTGTTGATCTCCTTCTGCCTTGTGGCTCACTAAAATAGTAAAAGTGTGCCTTCACCTCTTAAGATCAGCTGTGGCGCAGCGGTCTGAAGGACTACTCAATGAAAGTATAATTGGCTAAAGTTGGTGCAAAGAGCTGACTTTAGAATGATCCTCAGACAAGTTCTCTTTCGTTTCTTTTTTTTTTTTTTTTTTTTTTTTTTTTTTTTTTTTTTTTAATTGAAATTATTTTTACAAATTCAATAATTATCAAATTAATGAATAAAATTACATATATACCCAGAAAGAAATGAGATTACATGAAAATGAAGAATGAAGAAATTCTTTTAACCAGTAAAACAGTAATTTGATCAACCCAACTCTTCACCGTCTGAAAAAATTCATCCTAAATTTTCTCTCTAATGTATGCAGTTACTTTATTTTTACGAACTATTGTTACACTCTTTCAGATTATCTAGCAGACATCAATGAAGATTTATTACTGAAAAAAGTTGCGTGTTCCAGTTTCTCCAAACTCGAAATTGATGGGAAAGCTGCAGATATTCTTAATTATAAAAACATTACAGGTATTTAATCCCCTCTCTCTCCCTTTAACATGTCCAGTGCCACACTGTCTCATAAAGTTAAGTGCTCTGTAAAAGTCCTTACATTTCTGTTGAGAAAAACCTAGTTTTTTGTTTTAAAAAAAAAGAAAAACGAAATGACAAATTTAGTCAAGAAACTAAATATTGATGGGAAGGTGACAGGCACGTCCAGCTGCCTTGTACTTAAATTTTCTTTCCCTGATGTACTTCTGGAAGAACAAAAAATTGAGGTTAGCTTTTTCACAAAGTATGTGTAAAGTGTTTTAAATAATTAGCTGGTCGAAAGAAAACCTGTTCTCTCTGCAACTTGTAATTCAATCTTTGAATACTTCAGTTTGCTAGGATTCTGAAGTGTGTCTGTTGAAAGGCATCTCAGGGGCTGTTCATTAAATGGGTAACTCTGAAAATTTTCATAAATATTTGAAAAGTTTTTAGTAGAGAGAACAGAACAACTCTGAAGTTCGAAATTACTTGGTAATTAACTGAAGGCAATGCATCTGCCGTAAAAGGTCCGGAACCTCTATATCAGCTGCTTTGTGTGACATTTACATATATCCTTCAGATTTAGTTCAATCCTATTTTATTTCAGGAACGAATTTGCACAATCCGGGCATTGCTTCACTTTGGGAAGAGGAAAGAAGGCGAAGGAATGCTGAAGATAAGTCTGATATTGCTCCACCAAGTTCTCAAGAGCGCATTTGTAAGCAGGTTGACCGAGCAGAGGCTATGTACAAAAATAAACTTCGTCAAAAATTGCAGAAACTTGGTTTTGACAAAAAGGTTTGTTTCAAATGTTATGCGGCTGATCTTGATCATCCATGGATAAAGACCCCAGATAATCGTTTGTGCGAACGTTCAAAAAATCGTTTTTAAGCACTTGGACCAAGCTCATAGGGATCATGGAGTTCCATTGACTTCGAAAATGTAATCAAGAATTTCGAGATTTTCGGAATTTGGCGCAAATTCTGGCGCAAATTTGCCAGTTTACACCATAAATTCGCGAATTTCGACGTAATTTGCGTTGTTGCTGGAAAATTCGCAAAAAATTATCTTTATCCTAATCGGAGCTGCCGATCATTCCAGTGGGCAGGATGCGGGAAACTTTGTGAAACTTCGGTTTCGGTCGTCAACCAATCGTAGATTTGTGCTTCATTTCGCAGTAAACCATTGGCACTGCCAACCACGTTTTTCAAATTTAAAATAAGAGATGAAAAGAAAACACATATTTTTAGCAAGAATTCGGCAGTTACTAGCAAGAATCTTAGACTTTTCAGGGAGAATTTTTGGATTTTCAGTGAGAATTTTAGGATTTTTAGCGAGAATTTTTAGTTTTTCAGCAAGAATTCGAGAAGTGCGGTAAAATTTTAGCAAGAATTTGGCAGTTTTTAGTGAGAATTCGGCAGTTTTAGCCAGAATTTGGGTCATTATAAATAATTAGAAAATGGGGTCTCTATCCATGGATGAGAGGCCTAGTACATTTTAAAGCACTCAAAGAATGGACCACTAGACTTGTTACTATTACAAGCATTCTCACGTATGGTTCCTCTTCAAAATTTCATGTAAAAACGATCTGTGCAACGAAAATTACCGACATTAACTCCTAAACTTGATACTAATGTTTTTATACATCAATGATTACAAAAAAATTGAATTTCCTGCTAACAAGAAACCCCAGCATATTCATGAATCAAATTATGCTCTACAACAATTTTGGCAAGTCTCCCAAGGAGCAGTGTTCCTTCCCACCCGAGGTTTTTTATAGCGTAAAAAAGTATAACAGCTGAACCGAAGCACCAAGATTGAGGTGGCCATATGTTCACACCACAGAGACTGTTATAATAACGTAAAAGTGAAATTTAACTCTAGCTGATGATGGTTTTCTCTTTTAGGAGGAGGTTTGAACTCATGCTTCAAAAAACGTTAATATCATAGCTATGCAATTTATCGAATGTTAATCGTAATTGCAATTAATTTGTCAATCATAATCGTTTTTGTATTGAAAAATGAATTAGGATTATTTCAATTAATTTGACTTTATGACATTTTGAACTTCCTGCCTAGTTCGTTCAAATTTGCATCTCTAGTTGAATTTCAATATTATTTGGTATGATGTCTCTTACGGCTACCCAAGCACAATGAGCTTTTGAAATCAAACTTTCTGTGTGCTAATCTCGAGAAAATCAGAACTACAAAGTGAGTTTTTCAGCATTTTCTCACGCAATATGAATCTAGTTGCAACTTTGCAACATCTGATTGATGATCTAGGAGAGCTTTTGCCTCCTTGCAGGCCCAAAAATAAGACAGACTAAAAGAATCAAATGTCCTTGATTGATAAGAGTGTGCGGTGCAGCTTCCACATCCCCTTCAAAAAATGCGTGTATCAAAGCCGAAAAATTCACTTTTCAGTCCTGCTTTTGTTGTCATTGACACTTAATAAGTTAGATTTTAAAGGATAACTGTGCCATGAAAACTGTAAGGAACATATGAAAACTCGCTGAAATTTGGCTAGCGCCAAATAGCTTGGTATTCTGTAGGTACAGTAAGACCTCAAATTATCGGATTGCGATTTAAGGGATCGATCCTCCGGTCCCTTTAGGGGGACAGACTAGCGCGATTTAGCGGATTCCGCAATTTAACGGATTTGGCCTCTGGTCCCGTGAAATCCGATAAATCGAGGTCTTACTGTAGTCCTGTAATCATGAACGAGGTGATTTCATTTTTGTCATATTGAGCAGTTATTGGCCCCATTTGTTTACAAAAGGCCTCAATTCAATGTCAAGAGTTAGATAAATCCAAGTTCGTCCCTAGTTTAGGATGGACATGTAACTGACCCAAAAAATGCAAGCTGTGTTCTTACCAGTTTTTAGGCTATACTCATGTTTTAGCGTTTTTCTCTTGCACTTGATCATTGAATAGGGCTGAGGGGTCGTGGTTTCGTATAACCTGTACTTTCAGATCAATTTTTCTCGGAGCTACCAAAGACTGGCTTATGTCTTGCCTTTTTCAAATTACACTGTGTTCTTCGAATTTTGTATTTACCCCTCTGTATGTAGGATATTTTTGTATAAGTATTATGTAAATTTATTTTTTCTAAATTTTTGACCTTGAATATAGGAAAGAGGCAGTCAGATCTTCTTTTTTCTTTTTCTAGGAGCCATCTCTGACGTCATTGTCTGCCAACTACCCTGCGGAAACTCCGTGCAATGCTGATTTATTGAGTGCCTCTTATCTGGAGCCAGTTGTTTGTTCACAGTCAAACAATTCAAGTACTATAGGAACTAGTGTGTCTCCGGAAGAAACAATAGTTGATGAGGACATTGTTTTTCATTTGACCCAACAGAATGCCTCTGACCTCATTTCTAACAGTTTTAACATGAGTAAGTAATTGAAAAAAATCTTGATCCCACCTCAATTCCTAGCTAAATCTATATTTTGCTCCAACATTATCTCTTTTGAGTCAAGTGATTCAAAAATTTTGTAGTGATTCACATTTTAAATTCTGTATTTTCGGCTATAACTAATTATCTAAAATGGCCTGTATTTTTTTTTTTTTTTTTAAATTGTTCCAAAAAAAATTTGTCACTCTCTAAAAATTGTTCCATAAATTTTTTTTTCGAAATCAGCAGTTCAAAAGATAGGTAATTGGGAAAGAGGTAGTTAACTTCAAGAAGTTTTTTTGTACTTTTTTCCTTTGCACGTATACTTTTTTATTCAGTCGTAATGTTTGTCAGAGTCACCAAGGTCTATATTCAAGGGTTTGAAAAGAAATCTGATCGGTGAGGAAATGTTTGGCCAAATCGACACCGAAAAAATCTTTGAGCATAATTCTGATGATTCATTGATCTTTTCGGCATGAATCATGAGGGGGAAAAAAAAATCATTTCGACAAATTTGGGAAAGTGATGAAACTTTTAGGAAGTATGTGAGGACAAAAACCCAGATCCCATGAAACATCTGGCCAAGTGATACTCTCTGTACCCCTGGTTTGTTGAAATTTTGTGTTTGTTGACTGAACAAGACAAAACTAAGGTGACAGAAAGTTATTTGATTGGTGGGCTTTTTTGGTTGTCTTTTTTATTGTGACTCTATCGTGTGAAATTTGATAATGAGCTTTTGGCAAAAGTGAATAGCTTTCCATCATTCCTCCAAACGTAGATGTAACAACTAAATTCTTTCTTGGTCTGTCTTTTCTGCTCGACAAACACAAAATTTCAACAATCAACTCACTGCATTGTTTCTGTGGCGCAGATGCTCTTTGCCCTTCTGCCTCAGGGCCATGCCTCCAGCATTATTTGTATGCAGAAAAGGAGCAAAATAAGCAAAGGGAACAAGCCTTTTGGCTAGCCACTTTAGGAAAACAAAACGCTTTAAATGACTGGTGTATACTTAAGTAAGTTTCAGAGTGACATGTAATCCACTCAGATTTGATAAAGGTTTAAGATATTATAAAATTGTTCTCTTACTTTTCACAGTCAATACGCAAGATGCAGTCGTTTTGGAGACGCTTGAAAGTTTGGCTCGGGATCAAGAGACAGGTGAATCTTCTCACCCGAATGTTTCTTACAGCCAGCCAGTTTCTGGTAAAGCTCAAGATGTAGAGCTGATCAGCATGAAAGTGGACGATGACAGCATACTTGGCACGCAGACGATAGGATGTATTCAAGCCAACGATCTGAATGAAGACATCCACGAAGATCTAAGCAATGTTTTCAACAATGCTGCCGTAGAGGAAACCAGCCCACCAAGAGAATCTCTCACTGATGTCAGCCAAGAAGGAGTGCTAGAACCTCCGCATGAAAAAATTCACAGTCTAACCCAAGTTGCACAGAAGATTTATGATACTGAGGATTCTTCTGTTCCATCTGAAAATGAATCTTTCCAGTGTGAAAATTCAATGTAAGTACTTTAGTCACTCTCTCACTTTCCTAAACTTCTTTAATAATCTCTCATGAATAGAGTTGTGTAAACCTTGAAATTGTTATTGGAACGGAACCTTTAACTTTTTTTGCTTTTAAAGATTTTTATTTACTCAGATTCTATTAATTATTTGAAAATTGATTATTAAAAGCAGATAATACAGTTTGCTAATTTAATATACCAGTTAACTTTCTATGGAATGAATTAATTTTGGATCTCAGATTCCTGGGGACACTAATCCATTTTGTAGCTTGCATGAAAGAAAATAGAGTACCAATTTTTTTTTTCCAAAATTTTAACGTTAAGGGAATCAATTTTTTAAAAAAAGAAAAATAATAATAAAATTTTGCAAAATCATGGCACAGGGGAAAGATTCAATTTTTAAAAACCCTGAAAATATTTTGTTAGGAATTCGCATCGCTATGCCATAGAGGGTTAATCTACCGATGTCCACCAAAATTCAGTCTTGTACTGGTACTCATTAGAGCAAAAAAATTTTTGACCGATGAAAATGTTTGGAATTTCTTGGCTTTACCTATTTTCCCCTCAAAATGGTGTGGACCCAGAACCATTTCTCTACCTTGTTACGTACAGTTTGGGCCATTTTTTAGTGTTTTTTCTCGTTAATCCATCAAGTAATTTTTGAAGCTGTATTTGAAGACCTGAGACAGTATCAACATTTTTTTAGACATTATATGCTGTCCCAAAAGACTTTTGGTGTATTTTTTCCCCAATTATCTTTAACAGTTACGAATAAACCAAGTAAATGTCATCCAATAAATTTAATGGTGCTACCGGAAGAAGGTTTGTAAAGTGGACCTCAAAGTCACCCACCATACGGGTGACTGGGGGTGCAGGGGAAACCCCCTGCCTAGTCGTGAAGGCTTGCCCTGAGTATTTAGTTTATGAATATGAATAATGATCCAAAATTGTGCAGGTATTCGTAATACTGGCAAATTTTTCGCTTAATACTGCATGCGCGTCCAAAAAACCATGAGTTTGAGCAGCACTCACAAAGTTTCTCTAGTCCACAGAGAATCACAAGCACCCACCCCACTGGAAACTGCAAGTAGCTACAAGTGTCCGCCTATTCACGTAAAACGCTGCAAAAAAGGTTTTGAGTCTTTGAACAATTTTACAATTGAGCTGACCCCAAACTCGCCCTCCGTTAGAAGGTTTGCACAGCCCCATTGATAAATAAGTTTTTAAGCCACATGCACTGTTGGCAACAGCTCAACTATTTTTTTTTTTTTTTTTTTTTTTTTAAATAATTACCATTTATATTAACTTCTTGTACTCTTTATAGGTCAAGAGATGGAAGTCAAAAGACTGTCAGTAGTGGAAACATTCCTCAAGTAGATGGTGCACATGACTGTTTGGATGTAGTCTCCCCTTCTGAGAAAGTTTTGGTGAAAAAGCACCAACAAGATGTGTTGAAGGAATGCAAGGATGCTTTCAATCGTTATGTATTCTCTCCCGAAAATAACTACAACTCAGTTTGCTCACCTTTCCACACCTTAGGTAGCAGTAGTAAACTTGGCTGTCTCTCTAGCAACAAAAAACGAATGCCAAAAAGAAGCAAACCAAAGCGAAGACGTAACAAATCACTGCCTCGTAATATACTAAAGAATCTCTCTTCTGAAAGCGAAGATTGTGGGAATGATGACTCGACCAGTGTTTGCTCATCAAGTACTACTGAGTTGCAAAGTCATAACCATGTAACTCATGTGATACCTAGGAGTGTAATTATGGATATCATCGGAGCCTCTGAACCAACAGCTTCAATATCTGAAAATCCTGAAAGCTTTGAAGATTGTGCTGTTGTTTTAGAACCCTTTGATAGTTTAATGGACGTGAATGATGACAGACCTGATGGATGGTTCTTTGAAAGTTTTGAAGACTTCTATAAAAGTGAAGGAGGAAATGACTGCTCCATAGTTGCATCAAATCCACAAAAGAAATATCCCCATTGGCCTAAAAATGAAAGGAATTGTGATCATGCTGAAGCTTTTAACCAGGCAAATGCTACCTTACAATGTTTTGTCAACTTGTCTCTTAACAATTTATGTCAAGAAAATAGTGCAGGATTTCAAACCATGCAAAGTAGAAAGGAATTAAAACCAGTCTCAGAAATTTTCACTCCCATAAATTTCTCAAGGTATGTTGTAATTCATTTGATTTTTTTTATATTTGAGCATTTCAAAAACAATGAATGTGATTTATTTTCTTGCGCACAGTTTTAAGTGTCAAACCTTTTTCATCTTTACCATAAACCTAAAACATAATGAACCCAGTTACTGAGGAATAGTGATTTCTAGAGAATCATGAATTCTAATAAAGCAAAAAAGGGAAACCAAGTATAATGAATTTATGATCCGCATGTTGTAGCTCTTTTCTATAAACAAAAAGTCAAAGCTCATGTCTCCCATGCATATGTAATGAAGCAGAATGTTTTGTAATGTATTCATCAAATTTTCTTTTGATAACAGTAAGATTTTTTTCTCTCATTTTCACTTGACAATCTGGAATAAAGAATACATTTATCTATTAGCGAATATTACTTATGAAATTTAAATGACAGGAAAGTTGAAATCTCTTTTCTGCAAGGTTTTGTTATGGCAAATCCTCCTTAATGTGTGCACGGAAGCTAAAATCAATCAGAAACACCCAAGATTAACCGTTAACTTATGCATGTTGGCATGCACTTCCAACCACACAAATTGATAAAACCACAAAGTATGGTTAGTTTCATGTTCTAGTCCTTTTGCATGAGGTCGGTTCAATTCTTTAGAAAATCGAACAAGTGTGGGACTAACTGGCTCTCTCCCATTAAAGTAACTAGTAATTTTTAATTCAAGCTTCCACCAATTAATTTTGGCATGCTGAATTTTCTCTTGTACTTTCCTTTTTTTCAATCATATATTTGGCATCTATTTTGTTATGATTACAGGGATGTTGTGAAGGATAGCTTTTCGGCAACTTTGTCTCCATCATTTGAGGCTCCCAACTTAGAAACTGAAAACTTTCCACAGATCATACCTAACAGTAAGTATATTCTAGGCTTTTTTTATCCGGCTTTGGCTGATTTCTTTTATCCTTTTAGTTACCAGGGTTGCCACAGTCAGGGAACACAACGAAAAAGTCAGGGAAATATTATTAAGTCACCTTCATTTGCTTTCTAGAATAGGTTTGATTTGAACAACTGTGCAAATGATCTAAAATTACATACATCTTTTTAACAATCTAGCGTATTTTCAATTGTCAGAATTTTACAAAAATGTGACAGGGAATTCAGAGAAATGGCAGGGAGTTTCAGTTTCTAAATGGATCATTTGTGCTGGTCAAAAAATCGTGTTTTGATGCGTGACTCTTGTAGATTAGCTAAAAATGATAAGATCTGTCTGAACAGCGGCTTCCTTTGTTCAATTTTAAGAGGGATATCGCGCTTTGAAAAGTCGGATTTTTTATGTCAACCTCTGCGGTAGTGACACCCTTGGTTTCTTCTTCTTTTGTTTAATCAGTGACGAAGAGGGCGCAACGCGAAACTTTAATGACATTAATCATAAATAACTGGTGAACTGGTGAACTGACTGACTGCCTAGTCCCTTCGCGTCAAATGCGTTATCTCCTGATAAGAAGATCCTCAAAGTGCGAATCCATCTGTTTCTTGAGTTTTTTTATGTTTAATATCGTTGAAGTTTTGCGTTGTGCCAACTTCACTGCATCACTGATTGAACAAAAGAGGAAGAAACCAAGGGTGTCACTTCCGCAGAGGATGACGTCAGAAACCTGTCCTTTCAAAGTGCGATATCTCTCTTAAAATTGAACTTAGGAAATCGTTGGTTAGGCAGATCACATTATTTTTAGCTAATCTATAAGAATCAAGCATCAAAATCCGATTTTTTAACCAGTGCAACTGACCCATTCTGTGGCAACCCCAAGTTACCTTAATAGTGTATTTTTCAAAGGACTTATTTTATAATTTAATGATTCGTTAAACTTTAGGTTAACCTTGATGGGAACTTTTTTAGTTTCTCCTCCAAAACTTAAAAACCTTTTTCTTTCAAAACTTTTTATTATCACAGAAGATGCAAAATTCCATAATTCCTGGTCCTCTAGGTAATCTGTATTATCTAATGTTACTTTGTCTCTTTATACCTTTTTAAATTGAATGCATAGAGATATATACAAGGCATACATTTCTTGTGGTAGAATATTTTGATTTCCAATTTTGTCAAACGAAAAAAAAAAAAAGTTTGCTCCCTCTGTTTTTGATGAATACCTAGGAGGAGAATTTGGCTGAAATAAAAATTATTACAGAAAAACCTAGCAAAATAAGGTAACTATCTAGGCTGTCTATATCTGAATGTTTGGACAGTGCTGTCAAATCCGAAGCTAGTGCATACAATGATTGTTGCAGCGTAACAGACGTATGTCTACAGTTGAAAAACACTTCTCTGTTTTACGTCACACACATAAAATCTCTGATAAAGTTTCTTTTTTTAAAGAAAATTAATGAAAACTTCTTGAATTTATCTGCAAATATACATATTTGAATGCAAAAGAAGAAAAATCATAGACAATTTTAAGAAAAACTGATAATCAATATTCTTTTAAAAAATGGAACATGAGCGGAGGTTTGCAACATCGCGATCTTAAAATACCTATTTCTTAATTATAACCCAATACCGTCAGCATATTTAATGATGACAGATTTCTTTGTTTCTAGAAGACCTAACTACTCTTTTAAACAAGGGTTATTTTAATTTCTTTGTTTTTTTTTTTTTTTCCTGTAGATGAAGTCAAGGTAATTGTCACTGCAGATGTTCACTGTGTGGGGAGCAAGCCAGCTCTTACTTCTTCAAGAGGAAAGGGGAAAAATGTGCCCAGTAGACTTAAAAAATTCCAAGCAGAATTTCTAGGAGCTTTATCATCTACCAGTAAAGATGCCGAGCTATATGAAATAACCGCAGCACCATTAGAACCCAATAAGTCTCCCACTTGTAAAACAGTCATCCCACTGATGAGAAAAAAACCAAGAAAGCGCAAAAATGTTTACAGGGAAAAGAAAAAGAAGAAGAAGATTCACCCGAATAGAAGAAACTTAGTATCTAAGAAATGTTTTGATGTGGTCCTGCCACATGATCTAATTGAAAAGACGCCATGGGTGAGGGACCCAAATTCAAGATCCTGCGAAAAAATGCTTCACGAAGTTTCCTTATGCACTAAAGAAGAAGAGTCATTTAGTCCTACAGCTCTAGAAAAATCATTAAACTCAAACAAGGGGCTAAGATCATCTTCTACATACGAGAAATCTGGAACTTCCCTCTCTACTGCTTCGAATATCTTACCACCAGAAGGAGATGAGACAAGTGTATTTTCTTTGAAGGATGCCTCTGGAAATTCTCTCTCTAAAACCTCAGATTTCCTATTACAGGAAAAGAACACCAATGACAAAACCACTGTCAATTTTATCCCTCTAGAAGGAGAGAATACTCAGCCAGAGCAATTTAAACCACTCACTCAAAACCCTTCCTCAACAGTAGAGAATGAAATGCAACATTCTTTCGCTGAGGCTCAGGTAGAAAAATACGGTCTAAGAAAGTGTAGTGTCAGACTTGAAAGATTACCAAGTCGACTCTCAGCGGAAAACTCTAAGTGCAATTCAGAAGTTTGTTTATCCGAACAGGAGTTATTTTCAAAAACTCTGTGTCCATTGAAAACATTGGACTTCAAATCTGTTAACCTACCAGAAAGTATCTCGAATGCCCGGATGTTGGTGTCTCAAAAAGTGATGGAGCGTTCTCTGAATGTCGAATTAAAAACTTCTCAAACTGAAAATACAGCTGAAGAAAAGGGTAAAATAGAAAGTTCTAATCACAGCAACGCTTGGAATAATGAGGAGTCCAGCACAAAAGCTATCTCTAACCTAAATATTAGCCCCCTGAGTTTTTCGGCTGACCTTAATGAAAGCAACGTCACACCAAAGATATTGATAAACAACAGAACAGAGTTGCAAAGTGTTCAACATCCATCTCCTATGGAAGCATCTGAATTTGAAATTTCTTTCTCCAATATCAGTGTTGATGGAGGTCTCAATCTGGTAAATTCAAATGAAAGTGACCAATCTCATGCCCTCTCAAATTTTACGACAACCACACAATTGTCACTGGCAGAGGAAAATTTTAGCATCTTTAAAAACACTCAAGATTCAGAATCTGGTGCAGTTAATTCTGTGCCTTGCTCCAAACCTGGAAGGATGAAGGCAAGATTGGAGGAATCAACTCTTCTAGATCAAGGACCTATTGAAAAACAAGTTCCTGAACTTTTGTTATGCAAGATACCTCCCCCAAAGCTTAGTCCTCACTCCCTAAGTCAGCAATTTTCTCCCTGTACTGTACAAAAATTAGACTGCTCAAATCATCTGGTACAAAATAAAACAACGAGAGATGAAACTTATTGCTACAAAAGGTACAAGAAAAATCAGTCATATTTCAGATCTGAAACCAATGCACTTGGTGGTGTCGCCTTAAAAAGTAAACGTCTATGTGCTATTGATGCATTGAAAAAAATCAAAGACTTAAGAACCAAAATTAAAAAAGTGCCTCCTGATGGTAAGTCAATTCATTGTGAAACTAATCTGGAAACTCAAAACATGAGTCTCCTTCCAGTAATTAAAAGTCTCACCAAAGGAAGATTAAGTTCGTCTGTAGGTTGTCAAACAGACGAAAGAATTCCTCCTGTTTGGGATGGCCCCAAAAGTTTAGTCCCTTATCACGATGTTAGTAATATTGACTTGCTTCAAAGATCAACAGGCACAAATTCTCATACAAAGTTTTTTGATCAAATCCTACACTCTTTTCATAGGAATTGGTATCTTGAACTTCAGGAATTGTCTGATTCTCGCAACATTCACGGTCCAAGTTTCTCACTTTCAAACACTTCCGATTCATCTGATGTCAAAGCTATCATGACTTTTCGTCAGTGTAATTTACTGCCTGGTTTGACTGATGGAACAGCAAGAGTGTCTCCAGTTGATGCCGAAGATATGACATCTTGTAGTAAATCAATACTTGGGAAAAGGAAACAAGAGAACAAAGAAAATTATGGCACTGATGTCCAATATGGGAACAGTAATAGTGTAGTAGCTGAAAAAAAAGCCCTGGTAGCACTAGGTAACTGTAGGGTTATCGTTGAAAGACTACCATGTGACATGAGCTTCAAGGCTGATTATGGCCTCAGATGTGTCTCCAATGGCTTAACACCAGACTCAAGCAAAAAAGTCTTATCTCAGTGTTTTCATTTGCAAAAAAGCTTCTCTAATGGTTCTAGTTTATACCAGTGGGCTCTAGATGGTACTATCGACTTATCCTCTGATACCTCTGATGAAGATCTGAAACAGAATTCATTAAAATCCATTCAAAATGCTCTGGAGAATAACTCTCAGTCTTCAAATTGTTCTGATCTCAGTGATTGTTTGTCCTCTGAAAAGTCCTCGCCAGAAAGGAGAATGAAGCTCAGAAGGTCAAAATTTCCCAAATGTTCAGTTCTGTTGAAACCTAGCCAGGTTGACCGGCCTCCAGAATTAGGAGCCAAGCCAATAGTACGAAGCGCATGTTCAAATAACTCCCAAAGCTCCAATGAAGTCATAGTAGGAGAACTGCCTAATTCTTCATCAGGAAATAAGAGAAAAAAAAACCAAGAGAGGTATCAGAAAATCATTACCAAGAAACAGGTTGTCACAAATATGTCAGGGTCTGATGAGAAGTTAACTAAACTGCAGCCTGTCGTCAAACTGTTCAAATTAGATTTCCAGAAAATTAAAAATGGCATCTCTGCGTCTCATGCTGATTATTTTTTTCCTGTCGTCGGTGGATCCACTTTGACAAGTAAGAATGAGCTCTCTTCACCTCCTTTTTATTGTAATTTTCCTTGAGTTCTGTCTTGAGGCGTAAAGGCAACGGATAGCTACTTTCAGTTAAACTCAGTCAAACTTGATCCGTTTTAATTAATTTTGAGCTGAGTTGTCCACTTCTCATATCAAACTTTTGCCAAGATGAAAACATTTTGAAGTGGACCATGGAGGGTTCTCCAATTTGATTTTAATAAACTCTGAATTGTAACATAATTGCTCAAGATCACGTCTATTGATTTAGATTTATAGTGTCAGAACAATTACCAGCCTCTTAGAGGTCGGTTTTAGATTTCTGCACAAGTTTATTAAAGTTTTTTGATGGTGTTTTAAGTTAAGGTCAATAGAATATAAGTCCTCCACACCGGGAAAAATCCAAGGTGGTAATTGAATACTATTCATAGATACATTTATAGATTATGAGACAAAGAATTCCCATGTCTATAAATGATCTAGCCCTCTTGATCAGCAATTTTTAGAAGGTCCACAGCTCAGGTCTAGTACAAAAAGAGACCTCAATTGCGTGTTTGTCCTAAAAAATAGACCAAAAATCATTCGGACAGTATATAGTGTCTTAAAATTTCAGTATTGTCCCTGACCTGCTTCCCAACATTTCTCTGACTTTTTATACTCCTTTTGCATATTTCTGGGAACCCACCAGCAGACCAATGTAATCATGTTCAGGCGGAAACTGTAAAGTAAAGCCAGCAAGTGGAGAAACCTCTAGAATTGCGGATCATGTATACTGCTAGTTGGTGAAGATTACTGCATTCAGCTCCGCCATCTGACTAACCTGAAATTATTTTCCTTCGTTTTAAGTTTTGTTTCTCCTTTAGCCTATTATTAATTCAATCTGAAATCGTCACTAACGATTTTTTTCCTCTTGTTTTTAGGTTCACAAAAAATTCGTCGAAGGAGGCCCACTTATCCAGAGAAGTAAGTTTAATTTAACGTTTCCGTTTAAAATTTACAAAATAATTTTTCACTGGGATAGCATTTGTGACAAAGTTTTGTATGTATCATTTTCAGCAGCAAGTACCAAATCTGGATTGAGATAGCAGAGAATAAAATGGATATGTAAATGATTGGTGAAGTAAAGACAGTGTTTTGTTGATGGAACTGATTAGAATAGGCGTAATGAACAAAAAAGACATGAATTAACAGGTTATTTTTCTTGTGATATCACCTTTTACAAAATCCCCGAGAGGCCTAAAACTGATGCAGAGCTACCCTTGATGCCATGTGCTAGTTTTCTGCACACGATAGTACCGGGAAAATCTGAGCATGGATCAACCAACAACTTTGATATTAATTTGTTAGGTATACTTATGGTTCGGTATAATATGGTTTTTGTTTTGGTATTGTTGTTGAAGTGCTGGCCCTACTGCACTCATCGATGCATGTATGAGTGTGTACAGGTGTACACAGTGCCATTTGGTGTGTAGTTGTAGCCTAAGAGCGAGTCTTGAAGTCAACTTTAAATCTGATCCTCAACATTTTTCGAAAATGATCATCTTAATTTGCCATGTTTCCCTTTTCAGCATGTTTGAATCCTGGAAAAATGGAACTACCATTCTGCCAACATAGGTGCTAAAGATTTCATTAAATTGAGTTAAATTACTCATTTTACTTAGTAGGATCAACAAGTAAGTTTCCCTACCGTGCAGTTCACTCAATTTTCAGTTGAAGAAATAACTCATGTATGGTCCTTCACTTAACCTTTTTCTTTTTTTGTATGACTGTATCAATATTATTGGGGACAGACAGTGAGCACTCAAGTGGAACTGAGTAAATTCAGAATCCAAATTCAAAACTGGACTTTCTTTTGCTTTAAGTTGCCCGGAGGGAAGTTGAATACCAGCCTTGTGCTGTAAATTGGACGTATCTCTATCAAACAGACCTAGGCGCCATAGGGTGAGGAAGGTAGAGGGGGCTTGGATTGGCGGCGGAACTGGGCGTCCGGCATATTCCGTCCTATACTCGCAATGCTTTTCCATGGCGCTTAGGTCCGTTTGACAGAACACGCTATCCGGGATTCTAAATTCCTCAAAAGGAACTCAAATTGGCATTTAGTTCTGTTTTATAGAAATACGTCCAATTGTCAATCCTAAAAAAAATAATACCCAATTTTTTCTTTAAAAAAAGGAAAAAAAATTACAACCTACTCTAAATTCTAGTGCCAGTTTTCTGCTCGATCTAAACTAGCTGAGCTACACCAATTTGGATCTGATATGCAGAATTGTACTTACCTGATAGGTAACTTGCTCCTCTTTTCAACTACCAAACTTACTGCATCAGTGATAGAATCATGATGAGATTACGGGTGGATCCAATCAGTATCAATCAGAATTACTGCAACCCCAAATCCAAAAGGAAGTTATCAACTTGAAAAGGTCAAGTGCCTCAACAGAAACTTATTCACGTTGAAAAATCACAACCGCATCAACTATAAGGCAAAGTAAAGAAGAAAATTTTCTTAAACGTTACTTTAGATTCCTTTTTCTTCCTTTTCACTTTTCCTATTTCTAAATTTATCTCTAACTTATACTTTTTAATATTTTTGTTCCAGGAGTTTCACAAGTGGTGTCTATCCAACTGCCTCCGTATCAAACCAGCTGAAAAATACAAGTCATATGTCCCTTTCTGAGCCTTCAAAATCTGTAAATCCGTGTCATTCAGCAAAAAGCACCAAGCAGAGTTTGGAGCAAGTCAATAATTCCCTCTGTGAGAGGGAAAGTATGGATAGTCCTGACTCAAAAGTACAAAAAGCCGATGATTTTTTATCAATGCCTCATCCTTCAACTTACAATCAGACAAAGACTGGCGCCGCAAAACAGAATTTTGACTTTGTTTTTCACGCATCCAGTTCAGAAAAAGAAGTAAATTTTACAAAGGGTCGATCACAATCCAACAGTTTTACTGATGTTAGAAAAAAGGACCCTTTTGCTTTCAGTAACAAGAGCCAATTTTTTGACTTCAATGAAAGCAGTATTCATGTCAATAGCCCTTCAGCTCCTAACCAGTCAGAGGCCTTGATCAATGCAACAGATTCAGATTTAGACTCAGACCCTGATTCTGTTTTTAAAATAAAAAAAATTAAAAGAAGAAGAAAACGTCTAGGTATCTCACTCGTCAAAAAAAACTTACTTTCCGATAAACTCATCAGAAAACGTCCCTCCACTGTAATTCAGTCATCTGACTCCGATAGCAGTATTGTTACAAAAACTCTCTCAGGGGATTCATCGCCGAGGGAAGATGATAATGAAATTTTGCAAACAAATAATGAAGAAGTGAACGATGAAGATTTTATTCTGCCTTTGCTTTCAGTTCATGACTCAAGCAACAAAGCTACCTCACAATTTTCTGAAAAAAGTGTAGTTGTGGAAAATTACGAGAAAGATATCCTTGAAAAGCCTAACGAGATACCAGAAGTTGCACAACCCTTTCACTCAGATTCCAAAAGTATGATTTCTTTGTTCAGTGATCATGCAAGCAGCGATGAAAATGAAGGTATACAGAGTTTTTACAACACAACCATGTTTCAAAATTTGAATTTTGTGGATTTAAGAGAGACTAAGAGAGAAGGAGAAAAAATATTCTTTAGAAACAGCGGTCTTTTAAGAAGAACTGACGAACACCATCACAAGAGCCCAGGAAATCTTACAACAGGGGAAGGAACTGAAAAAAATGAAGATGAAAAGTCCATTGAACGTTTGGATTTAACAACTGCAAGTCAAGGACGCGAAAAATTAAATGATCCAGCAATGATGGATGCGCAACACGTGACAGATGAAGATAATGTGAAAGAATCTGATGAGAAACTCCACTCAGATAACAATGCTACAATGTTTAAAAGCTCTATATGTGAAGGAAAAAATGATAGCTCAGGAGAAATGTTCAAAGCCTCTCAGCCCCCACCTTCATTTGTATTAAAAAAAGAAGATCAATTGAAAGAATCAGTCATGATGGCTCCTGCCAAAAAACCTCCAACAAACAATGAAATTTTAAATGATCTTTCAGAGTATGGAATACCGCTAGTAGAAAATCCTAACCCTTTTTACAGCAATGCCAAAGATAGCACTGGCTGCAAAGAGATAGGCGGAACTGTGCTTAAAGTTAAAAGTAAATCGGTTAAAGATTTGGAAGATTTCCCATCTCCATTTCTTACAATTACAAACTGGCGTGGATCCATGTCGAAAAATTTTCTCATCATGTCAAAAAAGCCCATGAAATCTTGTGAAAATATGTTAATGTCAGAGCGGAGAGTTAGAATCGCTCCAGTGAAAACTTCCCCAACATTTAGAGAAGCTGTGTATTGGTTAAAAGCTAAATCATTGCTGCAGAAGACAGGGGGAAAAAAGGAAATCACCACTAATGAATCAAATAAAGTCAGTAATTTTCGTAGTAAAAAAGAAGATGCTGGAAGCAATAAACAAGGGGACAAACCTTCCAACAAATCACGTCATTTAAGTAGTTACCATCTGAAAGAAGACATCGAAGGATCATGCACTCTTGTCGAACAAAGCAGCCACTGCTCTGCTGATAGTGTGTTAAGTGGCTCAAGTAGTACTAGTATGTTCAAAATACACACCACTCCAGTTTCAAAAGCCGCCAGCCCAGAAGAAAAAAATGCCCCAGAAAAAAGCTGTGGACCATCCCCAGGGCTTACTTTACAGGAAAAATTCGCCAAAGGCACTAATGATGCAATACAGGCCGAAGATCCATTTGTCACTGGCTCGAAGACAGAAGAAATTCCCTCAGAAGCGATTAATGATGCCGCATTCGAGCACGAGTCATATCTTGCAAATGACCATGTAGTTGAAGAACAAGTTCCAGCAGTCTCTGAAGGAATAAAATCCCAAAAGCAGTGCAAACACGTTGCAAATGTCAAAAGTGATACAAGCTCCAAGGTGCTGTCCTCTGCTGATACTGATAATTCACCTCTAGCTTCAGATAAATCAGAGATCTTTAGTTTACGATCAGATCAAATGCCTCCTGAGGATGCCGCGGACAGTGACAATTCCAAACTATCTGAAATATCATCAGTGAATAACACCGTAAGTCCCATGATTCCTTTTGGTTTTGTTTAAATTATCTGCCAAACAATCATGCTATGTTGTCGCCATCCCTTTTCTCTGCAGTTCAATCGGTAGTTAGCTAGTCTGACTCTTTTTCTTTCCCTTGTGCTCGCCTCCTAGGCTTCTTCCAAGTTTCGTTTTTGCAGTTATCCAATCCACTCCGCCAGGCTTTTTTCTCGATAAATTTCGGGATCATCAAATTAAGATTCCTTGGGGTCAATCGGCCAAAGGAACATTTTTTACTGAAGCATCTTCATCAGTTTAGTAGACTGAGCAATTTTTGGAGAGAGTTCTGTCCCCTATCCTAAGGTTTCAGTATTTCAGACAGAAATGAGCCAATTTTGGACCTTTCTGTGTCTATATAGTGTGAAATTTACTATAATTTCTAATTGTGATGGAAATATTTCAAAATGTTGTAGAGAACTCGGACTTTTGAAATCAGGGCCTCCCTTTTATCCCCAAGGGAAGCCAAGAGGGCTTTGGGATGGTGAAATAGGGATTCTTTGGGGTCAGTATCTTATTCCTTTCTGCCATACATCAGCATGACGTATCTGATTCTCCTCTGTTTATTGTCCTTTTTACTTATTTTTACCTGTCTATAAGTCAGAACAACAATCTGCTGTTTATTTCTAATCAATTTTTGTTCTTTGGTGTTAGGAAGGCCGCCTTTTCAATACTGATAAAGACCTCGGCGCATAAATTGTTTTGGTCCCTGAATTCCTATGACCTCCATAAGAAAGCCTGGCATGGCTAGCCTGATCCACCCAGCTGCTTTGGTTTTAACTCTCTGCCGCTATCAGTGTACTTGTGAAAATGTTTTGCCATCCATAGTCTAGTGTCCATTAAAATCTCTGTAAAGTTCCAGATATGAAAGAATCCGCCCTCCCAGACTGAATTTTTTTTCCCCTTAAACTCTCTCTGCATCATCCTTGAGAATATGAGACAAGTAGATAATTGACGTTGGTGTTTGTGTTACTTAATTGCCCCTTTCCTCGGCAAAATCTCAGGAAGTGGAACCTCTTCAACTGATACCAGTGAGTCTACTCAGGCTAGTAGATGGGTAATTTTAAAGCTGAAATTCTGATGAGACTGATTCTATACATGCTTTTTTCCGCCTTATTTTTGCAGAAAACACCAATGATGAGCTCCAATGTAAGTCTTCATCAGAAACTTTTGAACACACAATTTAGGAAGGAGTTGCAAACCCCTATACACAGAGCCTCTACAAGCTGTTGCATTGATGGACCCAGCCCCAGTAATTCTGGCAACTTTAAGAGAGATTTGGACAATTATCAACAAGTCAAAACTGTAATTGAGGTAAGAATGATCAAATTCTCAGACCACCTATAAAAAAATGCAAAAGTTATCAGAGCTGCTTTCAGCCCTTGAAGAAGACCGTTTAACAGTATCTATTCGTTCGTCTCATCACCATGTCTCATTGAATGGTAAGATGAAGGTTTACGCCAGGATTAACTCACTGCTCTCATCTATAATATTGTCAGGGTTGCGAATGGTCTGGAAAACCGGGAAAGTCAGGAAATTGGCAGCAACCAGGAAAAGTTGGGAAATTTCTGACACATCAACTTATCACTGTAACATATCACCGATCTTCCAACTGTTTACCTTTTCTTGTTATTTTTATTAAGACTTGTCATTGCCTTTCTCCATTATTTGATCTTGAAGCAAGGAAATTTTGTCCAAAGTCTAGCAAAAGTCAGTGTTTTCAAAAAAACCAAAATGGTGATAATTTTGTTCAGAGGTCAGGGAATTAGAAAATTTTAGAGTCAGGAAAATGTCACGGAATTGGAAGATGAAGAAATTATGGCAACCCTGAATTGTAGATTAGACAGAACACAATTGAAGCAGCGCACTGCCGTTCACACAAAAAACACTGTTACTCCACTCCAAATTTTGTATTTTTTTCCGGCACCTACTACTTTATAACAAGAAAATTGAATCGCCTCAAAGCTTTATTTTTTCATTTTGAGTGCCGAATGGTTTGACAGAGTTGCATCGAAAAATGAAGGATGAATATTCGTTAGAGTTTTTGTAAAACAGCATTTTGTCAGGACAAAATTGACGAAATGTCAAATACAGTAACAGCCTTTTTACTTTGGATGGCAGGGCAAGTAAAGTATCTAATCCCTATTTCTCTTAATTTTTGCTGTTTTAACTCACACTATGTTCAGAGAATGACTGTATCTGTCTAGTTGATCCACAAATTATTTTTTATATTGAAAGATGACAGTAACATTTACATTATGTAATCAATTCCACTTGTCAAATTGAGGAGACACCCAATGTCTTGACTCCCCTCTCTTTTAGCTTATTTACTAGGCAATGAAAGAGAATAAGCACTTCATGGGCTCTAGTCAGAATTTGTGCATATGCTCTTTGATTTGGAAAGAACAGAAGTGCCTATTAGATTTTTTCAGTCTATCACTTAAAATTGTGAAAATAAGTCAGGTCCAACTCGTTTGCCAGTGGGCACTCGCGTAATTTTTTTTACATAGGTACTTCTAATTTTGGGTAGTTTATTTCCTTAATAATTATTATAAAATGGTTTTCAAATTTTTCAATTTTTTTTATGCTTCTTAAAAGAGGGGGATAGGTTTATAACTCAGAGACTGCAGACACACTGAAAAATTCTTTAAGTCAGGCCTTCTTTTTTTTACATAGATTAATTTTTATTGGAGGCATAATTTTTAACATTCTACTCTCCAGAAAATATTTGATCAATTTTGTGTTGTATTCGATTTTTCTCCAAATGTTATCATACAATTTTCCACGGTGATTGTTTATTTCTAGTTCAACTACTTAACCATAATGGTGATGGAGCTACATGCAAGCACTCGTGAGGATTTACGGCCAGATCCAGATTTTGATCCAATCGAAGCTGTATTTTATAGTATCATCAATAACGTACCTCCAGATACTGAGAAAACTGAAGAAACAGGTACAGTAATGAGCCTTTTATTTGCTGTTTTGAATGTTTGTCATGCTCTGTCGTCACTAAGAGGGTTTATAGATTTTAGGTTGTGTCAAAATTCCAAAACCTTCAAAAAGTCATGCTTTGTTCGGTTTTTCTGGTGGCGCATGGCGATAATATCAACCTCAAAAAATTCGATCTTGATCGTACAATTCTTCAAGTTCCAGCCCCCCCCCCTTCAAACCCATCTAATTTCTAATGAAGAAGAAACTGGTGCTGTCAGGGGTGTCTGGGCATCGACTAGAAGAATGAAATTTTTTAGAATACTCTGTTGAGACTCTGGGCCAAGGAAAAATGCTTCTATGCCCGCCCCTGCCTTGTTCCAATTAAGGCAACTTCTTTGATGACACAAACCAAATCTTTTATACTCATATACATATATCATAGCTATAGCAGTTCACAGTTGTTTATCATGAACTGAAATCAATTTCATATGAAAGTACAAAGTTCTGTCTTTACATCAAAAACACTTACATTTTATTGAATCAATTAATTTTCAATGTAAACATAAAAAATGCTCGTCATTTTTCTGAAATTGATACCAGTTCATATCTATCTATATTATACTATCGAAATTTTCAACAATTTGATTTTTTCTTTTGTTTAGGTGTAATCGCTGTCTCCAAAGGGAATCAACAGTCTAGCTCCTTTAATGAGTTTAATTGCTCTTGTATCTTTGTCGAAGATGAAAAGTCACTAATTCAACGAATCGTGGAGCTTGTGCGATCAAGCGATCCTGATATTCTTATTGGATATGAGGTGAGTTTTTTTCCTTGACCTAACCCTGACCTTTTTTCCTATTATCTTGCACTGTTGGGTTTAGGCAAGTTCTGTTTCAAATGTGCATCACAGGTACGCACTGACTGTATGTAGGTGGCTCAAAAACTGTAACTATGGTGAAGACTTTAGTAAACTAGAAAGACTGCTGTTGTCCAGCTTCCAGTCATTTGCAAGAATTGGAATATTCACTGAACATGTATTCATGTACTTTTAATGAAAGCTATTGAGGTTTTTCATCCGCATTGTCGGAATTACAAAACTGGTCTGCTGCCGGGTAGCTTTATGAGACGCATCTCGTTCTTACGGCAGCTACCAACGAGTAAAGATTGGCAGGTCTGTGCTTTGTTGTGGGTTGAGGCCAGGGATAGTTCCTTTGAATAGGATCCATTGCCATCTTGAAGGATACATTTTTCTAATAAATGGTTTGTCCCATACTTAGGGTAATACGGTAGTCAAAGTTTGCAGGTGCTTTGCCAGCTTTTGAAAAGATTTATTCAAAATGCTCATAATATCATCAATCATATAAATTACAGTTTGAAATGTCGACCCAATATCCTTAAGTAGAAAATGAACGAGAGTCTTTGCTTGTTCAAGCAAATCTTTGTTATTCCTTTGATCCACAAATTCTAAAATGTCTGAACTGTGTCACGGAAATTTGATAATTATTACCTGGTTAGTGCAAAAATTTGTGTTTTTTATACTTTGCTTGCACCTGTGACCCACTTGCAATTCAGTAAGATCATGATACTCACTTGTGAATTACACTTTTCTGTGAATAACAACATTTTGGGGGACTGTTTCAGATCGAGTTACTATCTTGGACTTACCTGATCCAGCGAGCGTACATATTGAATATCAACTTGCTCACAGAGCTGTCGAGAGTGAGGTACTTTGATCGAAAGAAACTTCCAAGTGAAACCTCACTACTCAATTTGACCATGGCAGAGGAAAAGGAGCCGGAGATTCGTTTAACAGGACGAATAGTCATCAATTTATGGCGTTTGTTACGCAGCGAGGTAGCATTGCAGAGTTATTCCTTTGAGAACATCATGTATCATATCTTACACCAAAGAGTTGCCCTGCACTCCTTCAAAAGTTTAACCCTTTGGTGGAATCACTCCTCAGGACATTATAGGTGGCTCACGGTCGAGTTTTACCTGGTACGAGTAAAAGGCATAGTCAAGATCTTAGATCAGCTAGATTTAGTTGGGCGAACCGCTGAACTTGCACGGCTATTTGGTATTTTATTTTATGAAGTGCTATCCCGTGGCTCTCAGTTTAGAGTGGAATCGATGATGCTACGTCTAGCAAAACCACGTAATTTTGTTGCTGTGTCCCCTAGCCAGCAGCAGCGAGCTAGAATGCGAGCTCCGGAGAGTCTGCCTCTGATCCTGGAGCCTGAGTCGCGATTCTATCATGATCCAGTTATAGTACTTGACTTTCAAAGTTTGTACCCTTCAATTATTATCGCTTACAATTATTGTTTTTCTACTTGCCTCGGACGAGTTGATCACCTCGGAGAAAATGAAATTTTTGAATTCGGTTGCACACAATTACGCGTTCCTTTTAAAGATTTGATCGAACTGGAGGATAAGATTACGATCGCACCTTGCGGTTCTGCTTTTGTGCGGAGAGATGTTCGAAAAGGGCTGCTGCCAGCTATGCTCGAGGAAATTCTTGAAACAAGGCTAATGGTGAAACAGTCAATGAAACTTCATAAAACAAATAAAGGACTGCAGAGAGTGCTTCATTCGAGACAACTCGGTTTGAAGCTGATAGCAAATGTTACTTACGGTTACACAGCAGCAAATTTCTCTGGCAGAATGCCATCTATCGAGGTTGGTGATGCAGTTGTCAGCAAAGGGCGTGAAACCCTCGGCAAGACAATTGAATTAGTCAATACAACTGAGAAATGGGGGTCCAGGGTCATTTATGGAGACACTGACTCCTTGTTTGTTCTAGTCCCTGGACGATCACGTGAAGACGCTTTCAAAATTGGTGCTGAAATTGCAGAAGCCGTAACAAATGCGAACCCCACACCTGTCAAATTGAAGTTGGAAAAAGTGTACCAACCTTGCATCTTGCAGACTAAAAAGCGATATGTTGGTTACATGTATGAAAGTCCAGATCAGGAAAAACCAACGTATGATGCAAAGGGTATTGAGACAGTGAGGAGAGATGGATGCCCAGCTGTTGCAAAAATTCTTGAAAAGTGTCTGAGGCTACTTTTTGAGACTACTGATATCAGCCATGTCAAGAAATTTGTTTGCAAACAATTTTCCAAAATACTGACTGGACGGATTAGCATACAGGATGTTACATTTGCTCGAGAGTACCGTGGAGCAATCGGCTACAAGCCTGGAGCTTGTGTGCCTGCATTGCAACTAGCTCAACAGAGACTGCTTGTGGATCCGCGCTCCGAGCCAAGAGTATGCGAAAGAGTGCCTTATGTAGTGGTAGCGGGTCCTCCAGGACTACCCATAATTAGACTTGTTCGATCTCCGTATGAATTATTGGCTGATCCGAGTTTAAAAATCAACGCAGAATATTATATCACTCGCGTAATAATCCCTCCTCTCGATAGATGTTTCTCTCTCTTAGGTGTTGACATATTCAAATGGTACCATGATTTACCTCGCAGAGCTCATACTTACTTGCCTAGTTGCGTGTCTAATGTTAACAAGAAAGCAACAATATCTCAGTACTTTGTTACTACAAACTGTGTAGTTTGTAATCAACAGACTCATGCAGGAATCTGTGCTTCATGTCAGCCTCAATCACAAATGTTAGCTGTGACACTGTGTACAAAAATGAGCATGTGGGAAAGGAAATATGACAGTTGCATCAAAGTATGTAAGTCCTGTTGTGGGAGGCTACACTCATATGATTGCATTTCTCTTGACTGCCCTGTTTTATACAGAACAGCACAGACGAATCGGGATCGAGACCAGATTCCATTCTTGCGGCAACTGCAAGAAAATTACCTGAATTTTTAGCCTTCTCCTAAGTTTCCTTTGAATTTTAACGTGATGTTAATAGTCACTAGGGCTGTAGGATTCAACGTTTAGCTAACCAGGGTGAGTCACCAACTATCCTCCGCAGATTGTCCTCTTTTTCTGCTTTCTGTTAAAGAATGGAAAAATGAGAGACTTATCTATTTACGCTTCATGACATGCTGAGTTCTACTAACATAAATTTTTCTTGCTTTCACAAACGAATTTAGACTATGGTTGCCCAGCCAGGAGCATACCTATAACCAACTCCTGCAGCATTTTATCATTGAACACCATGATGGACCATGGACCCATTTTTTGTAATATCTGTCCCAGGATTCATCATCATGAGATCATGTTTTTTTTTTTTTTTTTATCGTTTTTTTTTCTTTCTTTACCATGAAGATATAAATTGGCGCTCCCTTCAAAAATCTCAGTGGTTTAACCTTAAAATTGTATCTTGCCTGTGTAATTTATTGTGAAAATAGGAGCCAGAACCTTGTTATCATTGTTCAAACCCTCTTTCTCATCCTGTAACGTGCTGTTGATATTTAACAAACATGATTTTGTCATGAAGCTGAAGTTTTAATAATCAGTTAATGCTTTTTGAAGATTTTAATTTGAGGCAATGGTTTTAAAATAGTTGAAAAATTTGTGATTTTTACACAACCCTTGAATTTTTTACGTAGAAATAAAAATAAATGAATAAATAAAAAACTGTTCAGAAAAATTAACAAGGTACCTGAAAATTTTAACATCCTGCTACCACGGTCTGTTCCATTTTAACAACATTTCATTTGTAAGTAGAAGGCCTCAGCCTGAATTTTATACTTCGCAGATTTTTTTCCTATTATTCTTTTCATTTTTTGATGGCCTCTTGGGATCTATTTGCAAGAGAGAACAAATTTCAAACTTTTATTGAAACTTTCTCATTCTCGCCATTTCATGAGTAGAGGGGCAATGGAAGACTTGCTCATTTTCGTATATTTCACCTCCCAAAACTGTGAGTTTGAGTATTTTATGAACTTTAGGTTTCATACAAATAAATGGTTGGGAGCTTACAGGCACCTACCTATTTTAAGTATAGATTGTAAGATAAACAAAAGAATTTAGCCCAGAATCCTTGATTTAATGTTAACCCTCTTGCCTCTTTGATGTTCGGATAGGTATTTTTTTATCTTTAATGTTTAAGTATTGCTTTAGTGCCATACACAACTCTTTTTTTTCTCCATCATCAATAAATTTAATGGAAGTGTACAGGGATGCAAAATGCAAAATCTTCCGAACTTTCACACCTTCTCACGTCTGCCCACTGGCTTTGCACATTCCTCTTATCAGCCTTTCACAAGATTCCCTCTTATTTCCAAGTCATAATGCACTTTTCTGAAGTCCATTTTCCAACCTTTTTCTTCTATTTTCCTTCGATTTTTTTACTCTCGATACTTAAAAAGTTCCCCTCTTCCACATTTGAATAGGGCATTTCCACATTTTCATGCGCCTGGGCAGGCGCGTGATTGAGCGTTTTCCGCATCCCTGGAAGTGTAATGGTTCTTTCTTCTTTTTGATTTTATTCTCTCACAAAAGATTAATTTTACCAATTCTTAATTTCTAGTCACCTTCTCTGTTTCTCTTGGTTAATCTTGGAATCAATGAATTCATTAATGTTAAGGTGTCAACTTCTCTCCAAGTTAACAAAAGTTACCTCTCAAGAATTTGACTTTCCTCTTTAGATAAAAATTTAGTGTCATATCATGAAGGTGGCTAATCATAGAAAAGTGTTATTTCTATTAAATTAGTGTAAGTGTTAGGATTAGTACGTGAATAAAAGGCTGAAAATTTTCCTTGATTTACCTACGATTGAAATTTCACTGATCATTAACAAACATGGCCTTTTAGGAAAAAAAAGAGACGCTTCTTTCCAATCGTCAGTTACATAAACCTGTTATTTTATTTTGTTAGCAATCGAAACAATATCATGTGAACCATACTGTAAGAGAAATGTCAACTGTTAGATTTATACTCATTTATATACTTTTTTACCTTAATTATTTATTGTTCCTGAAAGTTTTTTGAAATAAAAAAAGCCTTTTCAATATTTTATTAAAACATTCAGTCTTACTTTATTTACGTAAAATCATTCTTCACATTTCACCAAACATATAAAAACAGTTAACACTAAAAATAGAAAATTTCCTCCAAAAGTTAACAATTAATAATTTAGGAATCAACAATTTTAATTGTGGACTGGTACTATAAATATTTTACCTAAATTTTCTCCCAAATTTTTTAAAAAAAAACTGTGTTACCTTTGTAGACAAAGTATGCATATTATTTCCTCTCAAGTTAGAATAGGGCTGAGACTGATGCTCCAGGATACTGGAGTATCTTTCTAATTCAATAGAAACAAGTGTGAGTAGTCTACCATGCTACCCCTTTGGGTAAGACATTTATTTCATGTAAAAGTTGCAAGGATTCTAAGCAAGAGACCAGCTTGTCTCCTTGTATCACTTGTAACTTAGAGCTCACACGAGTCTCTCATCCCATTGGACTCGTTCCTGAACAGGATGTCAGTCTGACCGGTGGGGCGTTTTCCAAAGTGAGGCAACCACATGAATCTAAAGTAAGAGGTTTTGGTGAATGTATGTAAATAACATGCAATATCCTCATCTCCTCCTTCTGACCTTTTGATCTTGCGCAATACTGCACATACTTGGGACAAATACCTTCCACTATATGCGGCTCATGTTATTGCTTTGGTGCTGCAGCAGCTGCATGAGTATTAGTAGGAAAACTGCTGCTGAGCTCTACAAACTAGTCACACACAGACTTGACTTTTATGAGCATCATTTCTAATCAGTTTTTGTGCATCTGTAAGGAATTTCCCAAAAAAGCAAATAACAATGAAACACTGTTGGAGAAGGGGCAAATTTCTTGAGCTCTGGAAATTTTTGTCATTTCAATGTTATGAATCAAATTAGTGTTTAGTAGTGGATAAATATTTCTCAGCTAGGACTTTGCATGATGGGTAAGAGGTAGATGATAAGTGGCAAAATGTATGAGATATGAATAAAATGTTGCCTCGGTCTGATCAATAATCGTGATTAAATTCATTTCTATTCTTAATAAGAACCTACTTTTAAGGCACAAACTGTCTGATAAAAACCCTGCAGGTGCTTGCTTAAACGATTTCAGGGCAAACTCAATTTTTTAAATTATACCTAATTTTTAGTAAATTGCAACCTTGAGTATTCTAGATATGCAGGAAATGAAATGGATCCTCTCATGTGAAAAAGATCAAATGAGAATGATGGCATACAATTCAAGGGAGACCGACGCAAGCCCTCATAATTTTGAGCGGTGAAGGGCTTGCCAATGCCATTGTAGAGGGGAAGGAATCGAGAGATTTTAAGCGCAAACTATGAGAAACATGCAACAGGTAACTTGAAAGGAAACTTATCAAATGACTTGGCTAACAAAAAAAAACAGTAGTCACTTTTTTCATGTTCTCTTTTTAGAGTCCAAAGTGTTCACTCTGGTGATAATTTTATCCTACATCATCTCAGTTGGTTGGGTTGGTCAAAGGAAATCTGGGTGTGCCTCACTTCAGAGAAAAAGAGTCTGACAGCCTGGAGAATGAGTTCTTCATTAGGAGCAAGCATTAGCATTGAAATTGTTAGGGCATCTTGAGGGCCTAGTTGCAGGAGTACTCGGGAGACCCTTGAAAGAAGTTCATTCTTTTCAGCATCCGTAAGATCCTGGGAAATGACTACTGGCAGTGGTTTAAAATCTGAAGAGGCAGCGGCTAAACCTCCACCAAGTGCTCCACCTTTAAAATATTAGAAAAATTAGAAATGTAATTGAATGCTTTTTAATTGTACATAGCAGATTCTACAAGTACCTTATTTTAGAAGCGAGACACACATTTTTAGCCCCTTACATCAAAGTTATGAAACGAACATGATGAAATTATTCCAAGTTGACTCTCCTGAAGATTTCGTAAGTTTCATTACTGAGTTCAGGCCAAGTAAGTTTGAACACTTTCAAGGTGAGACAGGGGGTCCGTTATTTTGATTATTGTATTTACTTTCAAAGCTGAACTGAAGATAGCAAATCTTCTGTTGCAGTTAAATAATGTTGAAACTCATTTCAATTTCTGGTTCTCTTACTACCTACAGAAACTGTGAATGAAAACATTTTCATCCTAAAATACAAACTAGAACACAATTCAATTATTTCTATCAGGGCAATAGGTATGATGCCTTCACTAGAATTCTCTGGGTTTTTTTTTGTGTACTCACTCATCAAAATGCTTGGGAGACTTCTGAGAAAAGAAATTCTCGAATGATTCTTGATGCACAGACCTGGTAGTATATTTTGGGCAAAGTGCACCGAAGAATATCGCAAGTTTCAAAAATTAGTGCCACTTTCATATTTTGGTGGACATTTTTCTAAAACTATAGGGTGGAAATGCCCTCCAAGTCAATCATTTGTGAGGATTTTCCCTTGTCTCAGCTCATGTTGAGGTGACATAAATCCGAATCCAGGGATGAAATTATAAACTCGGAAAAGGTGGGTGGGTAGCTGTTTAAATGAAAGCACACCTAATAGAATGAAAATGTATACCTAATGCCAAGCCTACAGGTCCCAAAATGAGTCCACCAAGGGCACATGCACCTCCTGCTAGTAAGCCTCCTTTCAGCGAGCTTGTAATGCATTCCTTCGCATTCCGTTTTCGGCATATGTCTACGACCACACTCATTAATTCTCTTCCATTGATTGTCATATTGTACAGTCTGAAAAACAAAGAATTCAGGAGCTGAACTATCTGAAGGGTTTCTTTTGATAAAAATTGATTCGATACTCTTGATAGTAAATGATCGGTACACATCTATTGATAGTTTGGAAAAAGAGACCAATGTGTAACAGTTCTGGGCTGCTAATATGTTGACTGTGAAACAGCAAAATTGCATCTATTTTGCAATGTTTTAAAATCTCCATTCCTATTCATTTTATCAGAGAAGAACAGATCAATGCTGTTGCTTGACATTTTCACAGGATATTCTTCACATGTAGATGACCAATTAGGAAAGTTTTAAACATGTCTTTGAGTACTATTCCCTTTGAAAAATAAAGTAAGTATGACAGGAAACCTGCAACTTTGCAAACCAAGATGTATAGACGGATATTTTTGAATTTAGTTTCTCTCTCAAATGGGGCTTCGGCCTTATTGCTTACATACAAACAACCACTGACATAATTTTGCTAGTACTAAAGAGTTGCCATTAGAATGTGATTGACTTTTCCCTTTATTAGGGAGTAGGTGAGTGGCTTTTGGCCCTGATCAACTTGAATAACCCTCCTGAGTTAGGGTAGGATGGGGTCAGTCCGCCTGGGTGGGTCAGTCCGCCAGTCGACCGTAGTGCCCCTAGCGGTGGTCGAATTGGGAAATTCAAAGCATGGGAGTAAGCAGTTGGAAGTGCTCGTCTACTATATGTTGTTCCAGGCATGATTCATTTGTTTACAACTAACCTACAGGCGCAAGTGTTAAAATTGCTCCCGATCGTAACTTTTTTCTTTTTTGGAACTTTTCGTCTGGACTTTGGTGGTTTGGTGATCGAAATTTGGGAAGTGCATCATCGTAAACTACTCACTCAAGGCTATTGATTCCGTTTTTGATCTTTGAAATATCTTTACTTTTGTCATGTCAGGTAACAATTTTGTGCAGCGAAGCCGGGATGGGGTCATTCCGCCAGTGACGCCGAGGGTCATTCTGCTACTGGCTAAGTGACCCCTTTTTAGGTTTAGGTGCTGCTACACTGGCTAGTCCTTTATATGTATGTAGTTCAATTTCAAAACCACCGACTTTTTATTAATATTTTAACTTTTTTTTGAAAAAAAAAAAAAATTCAAATTTTGAAATTTATTAGACCCTTAAAATTAACTTTTCGTTCTTATAGTTATAGACTTTTTTGTACTGACTGAAGTTCTGAGTTCAGATATGTTTGTTTTCCTTCATTTTTCTTAATTAAATTGTTTTTTCCAGCACTTCTCATGTCTTCATTTGCTACTGACGTATTGACCCCAGCACTGGCGGACTGACCCTAAGAATGTGGCGGACTGACCCTACTCGTGGGGTCACTCCGCCACTTTCTTTTTTAAAAAAAAAAAGTTCAAAAAAGGGGGGAAAAATGCACCTAAAGTATCCAATTTTTTTTTGTGCATAGTCAAAGGTCTAAAGATCACTCCTAGCATTCAAACAAGTTCATCCATCAATTAGGGAACTCAGGAAAAATCTTGGGGCAAAAAAGTGGCGGACTGACCCCATCCTACCCTACTGTTGACCCTCACCAGTTATTACTTGGAGGCATTACACAATGATGACTGCATGCGCAAAATGTGTACCTCGATCGCGCATTTGGAAAATCTCCGAATATTTTATTTTCTTCAGGGAAAACTAACCGAAGTGTTCGATCGCAATTTTTTGAGATTTTTTTAGAATAAGTCTGAAAATTCACAGAAAATTTCAATACCTAAAAACTAAAAAAAAAAAAAAAAAAAAAAAAAAAAAAAAAGCTGTGACTTGAACTTAATTACGCCTTATAAGCGCCAATTGGTATTCCAGTGCTTCTGTCAGCTTCCGGTTTGCGAAGATACAGCCTCAGCTTGTGTTGGTTGGAGGATGAGAAACGTATTTTTCGACTATAGCCATCAAAGAGGGTGGTAAACGTTTTGTTTGCAAGCAAGTCATGATCTGATATATGACCTTTTTGGCCCATCTTGGTTTATGTACTGAACTTTCATTATTTGGGAAAACAGATGAGAGATGAGGCTATGAGTCACACTTCGTAAAATAGTTATGTGGTTTGATTTCCCTCAGCTTGCCTGGAATCCTTCGTTTATTTATTCACAATCTACTAAGATAGGTGGATGGATGGATAGATTATTTACATAGTGATAAAGCAAATGACTGATTTCTACAGAAAATTTGAATGAGATCTGTGTTTATTACTCAAAGACACTCAAGTCGCAGCAGAAAAATAAGACTTGATTACTTACAATATGTGAAAAATAGAGAGGAGCGAGTCTCAGAACAAGTAATTACCAGGAAGTTGCAAGTTCTTTTGTACCAGAATACTAGAAATAGACTAGAAGAAATGACACCATGAATACCATTAAAAGCATAAAAGCTGACTCCGTCGATTATGACTCAAGGCTGAAGAATGCACACATTGCACATTCATACATAACCTAAAAGTTTGTTGTTCGGTTTGTTGACATAATCACAGAATATATAGGCTCTAACCTAACTCGAGGTGAAGCCTATATATTCTGTGACATAATTGTTATCAGCACGCGTGGTCGTCATGCAAGTAGCAAGTACTGTAAGTCGTACAAGTCGTACATCGTACATCATGTATGATCATGTAGACGATAGTGGATAGTGCAGAGTTCAAGCATGCATCAAGCGCATCCAATCTAGAGTAATGTGCATGTGATTTCGACGATTTCAAAATCTTTGCCATGGTCTCTTTTTAGTACCACTTATTTTAACATTACATCGCTTCCCCAAGAATCAAAATGTTTTTCTACTTTAAACCACCGAGAGGATTTATCAGTTCTGATATGCTAAATAAGTGTGCTGTATCCAGACTGAAATTCTTTCTCAGCCAAAGCAGCCACACTTCTGAAGACTATGAATTTCTCATATTTGGATCTGCCTACGATAGGGCTGGCCATTTTCTTCTCAGGTGAAGTCTCTCAATTTCTAATGATGATACATTCAAGATCATTCACACACCTTGTAGAGGATGCTAACAGAGGTGTCGTCAGCTAGGTTGACAGTTGTTTACTTTCAGTTTGCAAGCGTTTCCGCATCACTACCTACTATCCACATGAAAACATCCGACTCAGAGTTAGAACATAAGTTAGATAAGTTTTTTAATACTTTCAAACCTTGTAACACTTTAATTTTTACCCACACCGAAATCATAACCACATAAAAGTCGCGAATCAGAATTGATAAGTAGTTTTTTTACGATACGATCATGAGATGGATGTTTTCAAGGTGGATAGTAGCAAACGCCGCTTTGTGCAGAGGCCCAAATTCGTCGTTGGCGCTTGCAAACCGAAAGTAAACAACCGTCAACTTTGCTGATAACACCTCTATGATATCAGAACTTGCTGAGAAGAGGATCGTTCTTGTCACAGTAAAATAGCTGTAATGGTATTCTAATTTACCAGGGCTGCACACACTCTAACAGTAAGCAGTGATCTGGCATACTCTAAAAACCGTCACAAGGGTTGCAGGGCAGAGAGATCTCCGCTGTCACTTGCACGCCTGAGAATAACCTAATGTATTGTCCAAAGTCAGTGATGAGGGAAAGTAGGAAAGATTTCAGCGTGTCTTTGCCTTTACAGGGAGTACTAACTCACATTAACCTGATGCAAAGTCAAATTCTCAATTGAAAATTTAATGGTCAGGTAAAAGGAGAATTTTCTCAAATGCAGATATTTTGATAATGTAGAAGATCGACCAGATTGAATGTGTATCGACACATTCAATCTATCTTGGACCTCAATCTTCATATTATCATGGAACATGGACCTAGCATATCGACAGTGAAACTACAAAAATGCGTTTTTCGGTTACGGTGTATTTTAATATCCGCTACTACTTACTTATTGTTTAAAAAGAAGAACAAACCAGCATCAGGGTTTGAAGTTTTCACAGAATATTCTTTATGCCTAAAGAGAAGTAAAATCATTGAAACATTAAAAAAATGGCTTTTGGTTGTCTTCCATGCAGAAAATGAAGTGTGATAGGAAGTCTGCAATGCTGTAAACCGAGGTACGCATTTCTGCAGTTACACCATCTGTATTTTCTTCTACTTGATTAATCTTTGTTAGTGAAATAAATACTTTGACAATAGAGCAAATCCTCCAAGAAATTATGATGAATTTGTGAAGAATCAATTTAAACTGCTCCTAGTCTAAATATTTGTTCTTAACATTTCAGATTGTTCGGTGCTTTTCAGTCGAAAGGACATTTAACAAAGTTGTTAATGGATGGAGAAGTAGTGTTATTCATGGAACGTTTAGCAGGCATTCCAATTGAAGAAAAACTCAAAGCATTCAGATTACTGAATCGACACATAGTGGAAATGAGGAACAGCAATACCCTTATGCTGCGGAGGGATGAGATGTACCAAGCGCTTTCCCTGTTAAGTCATTTTCTTTCAATGAGAAATATTTGCAATCACATCTTCCGAAACGGAGAGTGCAATGATTATTGTTCCTCGTATTCAATAAAGGGTAATTTTTTTTGTTGATTTTTAATGAAATAATATTTGAAATTTTACTTAGCCATTTTTCTCTCTAAGGACGTAGGAATCTAAAAACCGCAAGTACCCATACAAGAATGAATAGCAGAGAACTAGTCATTTATGGTGAAAATTTGAATCTCCTCATAATTCTCAAAAAAAATTACACTTTTTAAAGCCTGAACCAGAGAATCTAAGTGAGAATCTCTTTTGCATGATATTCTGTCTGAAGAAATCAAGGCAGTGACCTCTGATTTATTCCTCAAATTTTCTAAAATTACAATATCTAAGATACAGGAAGAGAATTCCACCAGCTTTCATTTTAAAATTGCATTTTCTGCATTTAATTCATTTCTTTTAAGGGAGAATATATTTTCATTTAAGCGTGACGCATAATACCTCGTTGTTATCTGCAAATCAATTTTGTTCCAATGAGAGGCTCTGGGATTTTAGTCCATAAAAGGCTCAATATCCATGAAGGAACAAAGGTGATGAGTATAAGGCATAATCTGAAATCTGAGAGCTACCTATCCCTCCGAACTATCTTTACCCTCTTTTTTCAATTATAATGCAACAGTTCTCTTTTCTGGAAACATGATCAAATTTTCAGGAAACGTTCCCGTTAAGTTAGTTAAATTTATTGTTCTGAGAAAAAAAAGAACAATTTTCATTGTGGACTCATAATTTACCCTGTACTTATTTGTTTTATTTACTCCTTTATTTTCAGTTGACTTCAAATCATGTCTACAATTATTAAAAAATCGCGAGGTTGTATTAAATAATGGTATCGCAACTGTTCCTTGTAGCAAGTGGAAAATTATGTTGAAAGAGCTATTCATCACTCATATGGACTATGGTATCAGAGAGCTGATAGAGCTAAAAACAGTCCAGGCAGCCATTCTAGATTCACGACTCATGGCATCTTTCAGAGCTCTCGACAGCATCCTTGTTGCAGCTAATATAAAAAACCACTCTAATGGTCTGCGCTCTGATTCAGGTATGTGTGGGTAACATTTTAAACAATTTTTAGTTGATGTATTTTATTTTTACTTTGAATTTCTTAGACAAGTAAAAAATGCTTCCACGTAGAGAAGAATGTTTCTCTTCCAATCTGTGGAGCTTCTGTTCTTTATAGCTTCTCACCCTCTGTATTTGGATTACATTTTGCAATAAGAAACCACTAACTCTGATTCTTCCATGAAAGCACGTATCTGCATGGGGAAAGTAATGGTATTTATGTTGTTCCTGAAACGAGCCGGAAATAGTGGCTCCATATCTCAAAATGTAATCCATTTTAGGTAATGCAGGGTTCATTAAAAACAAGTCTCAATGTTTCATTCATCCAAACCAATGATGACATATTCAATTAAAAAAATTCATGCTCCTTACTTTAGGGCATCAGGAACAGATCCAAACTGGTACTGTATCTCAAATACAAAGTCACTGATTGAGCTAACCTCGCTTTCATTCAAAATATGGCACAGAAAGCTTTCAATTAATATCAAAACAGCTGATTTGATCAACAATTGATGACTTGGCAGATTGTAAATAGAATTTGTGCAAACTAAAGACAGAATCTTGATGAAACTTCCGAGCCTTCTTGCATAGGTACTTTTAAAACTAAATTTGACCACATATGAATTTTTATTTTCCACCGTAATAAAGCAGCATTATCCAGTAACGGGCTGATCAATTGAGAAATATTATTTTTTCCTCTACTCCAGTGTATATAGATGTCATGCGAAGAGATCAATGATAATTATATAACAAAGAAAAGATCTGTCTAATTTCCTTAATGGTAAATTTCAACATTTGTAAGGTATACACTTGTTTCTGTTTTTGTTTTTCCATTCAGAATGCAATGAAGTCAATTATAACTCCTCCTACTATCAGTTGTTCTATTCTTTAATCTGGAACAGTATTGACATATTTTTAATAAGATACTGTGACTCAATAATACCAGTAGTGAAATTTACTCCTGTTTAGGTTGTGATGTGGTCAGAACTGAGGATTTGGTAAAGGAAAGTATGTGGTTCCCTCCTTGTATGCTTCATCTGTACAAAACTTTAAGAGCACGGCACCGACTGTCTCATCAGGCCCGGTTTTATTTCAGTTTATTTCTGAAAGATATTGGAATGCCTTTGAGTGAATCATTGGCATTTTGGGAAGCAGAATACTCTAAACCACTTTGCTCTGAGTCCACTTGCACACACTCCTGGCAGAAAAGCAGCAACAAGTATATCTATGGAATCAAACACCTCTATGGTGTGGTTGGTGGGTGCAAGAAATATTCCTCTCCAACCTGCCGTAAAATGCAGGTTAGTTTCGTCCGTTTTTTTATCATATTATGCTTATTCCCAATAATTATTCCCACTGAGGACACTAACAGAAGATAGGTCATTTGTATGAAACAAGTTGACTTAATCGGAAATTTTGAGTCTTATGTTCCCAAAAAATTTAATCAATGAATAAAATGTGTAAGAGCATTTCTTTTAATTTGTATGCTCAAGTTGTAAAAACCATTAATATTTTGACCTAAGAGTAACGCCTCACAGCCATTATACAAAATATGTAAGCAACCATCCAAAAACGTGACGAAACCATCGCTGCTCTATCCATGTTTTTTTTTTATGTATTTACCTACTCTTTTATATTTATTATTATTCTAATTACTTATTTATGTTTGTTTTTATTTCCACAGAAAGAATTACTTGCAGCCCGATCAGAAGGTGGTTGTCCATTCATTCACTTTGATGATCAGTATTTAGAGCAAACCTTGGTTGATTTAAAGATCAATCCAGAGTCAGGCTTTCATTCAATAAGAAAGACGCAACCTATGACTGCTTGTCAATTTTACCTTGCTTCTAAGCTCCCGCAAGATATCTGTGCTGATCGTTTCTTATCCCCCGTTCAGTTTTATAAAACACTGAGAAGCAACGCTAAACCTGGAAAGCATGACCAGCTGTCAAAAGAGTGAACCAAAAAGAGGAATAACCATTTTATTTGCTGTCACTAAATACTAAAGCAGATGTGTCACGCTTATTTAGCTAAAGTAAAATCAAGCGCGGGTGAGTATTATTAGGTTCAGCCGTCAGGCTTGTCATAAACCTTGCTTCTTTATTGTTCCCTCTTTTGTCAACATCTTAAGTTCTATCAACCTTTGGGTAAAAATTTACGCAACAATTGAGGCGTTGTTTGCAGGAAGGGCACTTCTGCGGAAGTGCTCTTTTGCATGAATCAGGTCAATGCATCTTTCATTCCCTTCATTAACACCGTACCAAATATGAATTCAATCAGATACTAAATGAGTACAAGATCAATTATTTTTTAGAGTATGTGATACACCAGAAAATTTTAACCCTATATCTGCAACCACTCAAAGAGGATCAGCTATCTCTGCATTTAAGCTGCTGTACTCTTATATTCTGTCGCTGACTAAGTGCTGTAAGATTTACATAAAGTAAAAGGAAGAAAATTTGGTTTAATCTTGAACGTGTGATAGTTGTAAGTTTCCTTGTAGTTAATTTTAAAGGATTGTCTTAAAAAAGAGGGAGAAATACATCAATTGTTTTGAGCTGTCCATTTACAAGACTTTAGTCTGTAATCAGATTGGGACCGGACCCCTTCAAGTCCAAAGAACTGAAGTATGTATTTTCAGCCCAATTTGCAGTAGGGCAAAGCTCAAGAAAAGCACTGGTACCTGTTGAGTAGCATAGAGAGGATCCATTGAAGAATGGATAACATTGAGAGTAGAATGTTGCCATGGCAACCTGGCAATTGTTGGGCTTATTGTTAGCTCTAGGCAAGGTTAGAGCTAATTATACTTGTACATGTCTTACTTCCAGTAATTTCTCTTACCAAGTCACTTATGAAACCTTAAGTGATCATGGCATATTGTCATTCTTTATCCACATCAGTGATTAAAATCGATTTGTGATTTTATGCACAGAGGTATCTCAGATCATCAGAGCCGAAGTAAAATCGTGGTAAAGTAGAGAGTTATAACTTCTTCTTCCGTTATGATTGTTACTAATGGTACATCTCTTTAAAAAAAAAATTCTAATACCAAGCAGTTAGATTACTTGAAAGTTTCAACAAGTTTAGCACTGAGAAGTTCAAGTGCACAAGTAAATAACGCTTAATCATTAAAGCTATTGAAAATCTTGCGAACACCCAGAGGTAGTAGCTTGCTCTAAAATAGTCGTTCCAAGACACTAGGATTCCGATTGAGGTACTTATTTTTTTGGAAGGCTTTTGTAAAGTGTTATAATGTTTTCATTTAGAGACCAATCTTCAGTGCATCATCAGGAAAATTTACAGATGCATGACGTTGACTGCGGCTTGTCTCGTCGCCCTTTGATGGGATCTGTTTTGGACTTCAATGACTGTTTCAAAAATGGGTATTTTTTCAGTGGGGGTGGGAAAGGCAAACTTAATTTTCTACGAGTTCGCCATAAGCAAATATTCCTATGATATCAGAAGTTCTAATTCATTCCTCTGATTTTATCAATTAAAAAGGATGAACATAACTACAAAAAATGTTTTGTGTCCGAACAAATGTCTTAACTTTTTGGTTTAAACATTGAATCTGGTCTAATGGATGAGTTGTAACCAAAGATGGTACCTAAGCAAAATTTCACTGTACAAAAATCGAGGATAGTATTTCACAAATTTGAAATGTTTCATGCCATTTCGAGGATGAAAGTTCACAAATTTCAATTGTTTCATGACATTTTACATCTCTGGTTGTAACGTGTTGTGTGAGAATCGATTCTTAACAATCGGTTTCAATGTTGGTAAAGGATGGAAGAATGTTATTGTATGCAATGCTGTATTACATTAATTATTGTCTCGGATGAATTACTGTAATGGACAAATAAATCGCATTTAGCAAAAAGGAACCAGCGCAATTACAGTGTCGTAAAAATGTTGCTCCTTCATAATTATCCAGAAAATCTCCCAGAATAGCAAATAATTTTTACTTTCCATCAAAAAATTGTTGATTTTACAGGAAAATAATTCTGTAAATTTAATACGTACCGTACATATATTAAGTATTTTTAAGAGAATAGAAGAAGTTGCACGATTTTGAAAACATTGTAATCTTGCTGGTTCCTTTTTGTTCAATGCGATCCAAATATTCTTTAGACAATATTTGCATTTGGACCAACAAAATCTTTAAAAAAAGATTGTGATGGATGAATTATGTGTGACTGAATCGTCCTAAAACCTGTATGTTTCAATGAAGCTTTCAACTTTTTTCCTTGCATTGCCTCTTTTTCAATATTGTATTAAATGGCTTGTTGATGTGTTACAGGCGCTTTTACCCTAACTTACAAACGAGCTTGAATTAAATAAGAGTCAGAAGAGAAAGCATCGTATCTTCAGTTGCAGTGTCTAGATTCAAAAGACAAAATGTCTTCAGACCACAAAGAGAGCAGTCATTCTTTGGATGAAATGACTGATGAACCTCGAACACAGATTGCTCAGGAAACTCTTGATTCAGACTCGGGAAGCATTTTGGATGGTAAGTAACATTCATCCATCGATTGTACAGGAGTAACTTGAATAACAAGTATGCTTCCACGAATTGCAAGATTTTTTTGTGCTCATAGTGTTATTTCAGATAGGACACTTGAGAGAATCCTGGCTAGTTTTTGTACAAGGCTCATGTAGAAAGTAAGCTGTCTAAGCTGGCACATTGTTAATGCCAGAAAAAAATCAATATACCTTTAGATTTTGTAAACGTAGGCACCTGCATAAAACACGCTGCAGGAGATAATCCACATCTTCATTTTTGTCCGGCCCTGTAAAAACTGGCACATGTTTGATAAAAGAATCTTTGCTTATTACTGCCACCGCATTTTTGGCCCTTCAAAATTGGCAAATTGATGCAAATTATCTGTGGGCACCCATAGTTTTCTCACATTTCATTCAAGCCCTTGTTTTTCTACATTGAATCCGGTACTCAGTACGTATGAGGACTGTGGTCATGGGGCATTGAACATATATCATGCATTTGATCTGCCACTTTTCAGTTTTGCGTCAGAAACATGTAGAATTAACGTTGTACTTATTTGATGCTTGTTGCAGGGGTCTTTAGCAAAGATCTAAGCATGGACATGAGTGAGCGTTTAATGACTGAAAGTGAACAACTGCGTTTAGAGTTGCTATTACAGCCAGAAGAATTGGATCAGTTGAGCAAGGCACACAATCATCGCCGTCGGCAGGCTGGGCGGTTGAATAGCTCATTAGAGAACGAACAGAATGCAGCAATGGACTATTCTGAGCAACTGAGGCCATCACAGGATTTTCTGACTTTGGCACCGGACAACCCGCTTTTAGCTAGATTCCAAGCTACTCTATCACAGCACTTACTCCGCCATAATGATAAACTAAAATTGGAGATTTCTGAATTGGTGAGTTGTTGTTGGTCAATATGTTAACACTTTTTGCATGGGTAGAGTTAAACATGGAAGGTAAGAATATGAAGAATATTAGCATTAAACTGTAAGAAAATGAAGAATTGAGTAAGATGCGGCATTTTGTTCTAGGCATCAAGGACAAAATGCTCCATAAAAAGGCTAAGTGCTACCAACACTAGAGCACTGCGTAAAACGTTCGAAGAACAGCATTGGTGGTATGTGCCATGGCAGCTGTTAAGAATAAAAGTGTGCATTACTGGAAAGCAACTTTTTGGCACCAAGTCTGGTATGGATGATAAGTCTTCAAGTAATCAGATGTACCCTTTCCAATGGAGATCTGAGAATTACTGATTTTCTGCTGAGGGTATTTGTTTTTTATTTTTTGAAGGAAGGAGAATCAAAACTCAGAGGGAAGGAAGCAGAAGAATGGGGAGTGAAAATAGTGCAGAAACTGCACAAAAAACGGCAACGTTTTGAAACAACGGAAGACTACAGGCAGTTTCTAGGAGAGAAAATAAAAAAACGAAGCCGAATAGAGGAAAGCGTGCAAGCAGAGAAGATCAAACTAAAGATGCTCTCTGAAGTGCTTGATCAGAATGTTGCAGAAGGTATACTTACTTGAAAACTTTGATGTTACCTAATCTAAGAGAGTGTTTTGAGTTGTAAAATTTAATTATTTACTAAATGAAATTTCGTCACAGTAGCTTTCTTATTGAACTTAACCGTCTGTAGAGTATTTTTTACCTCTTTATGCTGCTTACTGAGATGGGGAAAGGTTTTTCCTCAAGGAAATTATGTTTTCTGTTGTAGGATAGTGAATTAGAGCTGTTGTTCTTAAAATTCAAAGTTTGCAGACCTCTCAAGATTCGCCCATATGGCTTAAAGAATGGCCCCCTTGCTTGATGACTTCATTTTTTGCTCTCCTATGAAAAAAGTGCTACTTTATGTTACATATCTTTGCATGGTTGAGGCTTATGATTTTGTAAAAAAAATTGAAACAAACCAGCACCTAGGCAATGGGATGGTTGTGCTTGCATAGCGTCCGTGAGTCCGATTATTTGAAGCTCAATTTTTATGACCTGAAGTCTCTTCTCTTTTTCCTTGTTTAAAAGCCTGCTTTGATACTTGTTCTTTGTCCGTAATGAAATCCATTCTCTGCATTTACGCCTCATGAAACCTCTAAGTTGCCCTTTTGAACCCTAGTTTGAGAAATTCTAAATGTTGGAAAGCTGTTAGGATAATGCTGATAAGGTAAGTTGAGTAAATTCTATGTTAATATTAGTACTACTTTACTTATGCTACAGAATCAAGTCTGAAAATTGACACTGTGGCGTTGAAGAACTTTGCGCAGCAGTTAAGTGATTATGAAGCTCAGCAAACCTCAGAGCTGGGAGTAGTGCAGCGAGTGCGTCAAAAAACAACCAAAGACATCAACATGTTTTTACATCAGAAACAAAAACAGGTAAGTACATCTTGTAATCATCTTCAATTTCCAAAATCAATATTGTGCACAAACTTAAACTCATTTCTAGTGAAACAGTGCACCCATGGCATCTCACAAATTTTGCAGTTCGTGGTTGAACTAATGAAAAAATACCAAAGTAAAAGGGAATTTGTAGAATTCAAAACCACACCAAGTCAAGTGAGGAGACTGCATAAGGTTTGAAATCTGATCACAAATAGGTTATTATCTGAGATAGGGAGAACCAAAATACAAGTTTTTACAGCAAAGTAATGTTCCTCCTAAAGACTTCTTATTAACCGTATACTTGACTATAGTGGACTGGTTTCAAAAATTGATTTATCGATCTGGGGAACTACAATACTCTCTGGAGCAGGACAGGGGAATTAACGTCTACCATGTTTATGCAAATTTGGAAATGCTACAGGACGCCTTAATAATTACGCTGCATAAACAGACCCTTTGATATGAGATCCCTTTAAGGCCCAAAGGGCTCTAAATCAATACATAACTGATCATTACTCTTAATTTATCTTCATTAGTTATGGAGGAAAATATTTTGGAAATTTACTCTGGAGACCACTTCTCATGTTGGTGCCCCGTCATCTATAAGAGGTCACTCATAAATTATTAAATTATGTAACGCTTGAGGGGAGGAGAGGGGGTTGAAGAGGACTCTATGCCTTTGTTTCTATGTGTTAAAGGATAGGGACTTATGTCACAAAAGCATTACAGTGGGAGGGGAGAGTAAAAAATGTGGAAAAAGTACATTACGTCATTTCTGAACGCGCTCTGAATGAAGCAAGTTTGTAAGCCCCAGGCAGACTAAGAGAGCAAATAATAAACTGTGTGATATCCCTCTCAACTGAGTTAATTGAAGTTTCACCATGTCACCATCCCAAAAATGTCCAGTAACTGGATTTTTGCCTTTTTATGGATGTTCAAAGGACATTATAATGTTCAAAATAATGGAGGAAATTCTTCGTCTGGAGTCAGCGCACAAAGAAATGTATCAAAAGGCAGAAATAAAGAAATCGGAGCTCCACGAGATTCGTCTTGAAATCGCCGAAGGTGTTGCGGACACTGAGGTCGTCCAAACCCAGAACAAGCGTATGCTTCAGTTTTGGAATCGGATGCTCATTGAAATTCAACTCAAGAACAAGACTGTCGCTCAAGTCCAAGCAGCATTAAGGTGGATATCTCAATTTTCATTTTCTTTCTTTTTAATCTTCTAATATAAAAAGTGAATGAGCCTTCAAATATGAATTTTGAAGGTGAATCAATGGTTCTTGTAACAATGATTATTTAGTCAACCTACCTGATTATAATTCTTCCATATTTTGACAGTTTTTCCTAAATCATTCCAAGTCAAATGATTTGGAGGATCCTAGGCAATACTTTACAGAACTTTATTAAGAAACAGTTCAATATAACTTCAGAAGTATAGCATTCAGTAGCATGTCATCCTTTGCGATGAATTGATTGATCTGCCATTTAAACCTACAATGAAGGATTGGTCATCAGGGTGTTCGCAACAAACACCTTAATAATTGATTATTTAACCATAGCTTCAAATGGCAACACATCAACCTTTGACAATTCTTGCCTTCCCACTGATGGCATTGTATGAATATTGCAAATCTTCTTCATCTTCGATTTGCATTATTGAAAAGGGCTACAGTTTTTTGTTTTTAACATCAAATTTGGCATGTCAACACCTGACACGACAGAATGACTCAGTTTTTTTTTTTTTTTTTTTAAAGTGTTTAAGAAGTGAAAAATTCCCTTTACTTATATCAAAATGGTAGCAACCCCGGACTAAAATATCAAAGTTCGATTTTATGTTGGAAAGCCCTAACCTCTACCCTTTAAAGTTGATCAAACCTACTGCTGTCCAGATTTCAGAGCTGGACAGTGAGGTTTAAATTTTGTGTAGGTCTGTGATAAAAGTATTTGCATGTGGTTTGCAGATATTTGCTTGATTATTTAAGAGACTTTTCCCTATGATTCTTGCTTTTACAGGGCTGCAGAAGGGCAATTTTCTGGTTTACATGCACAAATTGATAGTTATGCTAAAGACAGTATCAAAGAATTGAAGCTGAGTCAAGAATTAACACAGAAACATAATAAAATTAGTGAAGTGTTCAGTAAATTGCAACGCGAAACTATTGAACTGATTGAGTCTTGCCAGAAACGCGATTCAGAATTCAAGAACATCTCTGGCAGAAATCAAGCAGTGAGACGCAACCTAGAACAAGTCTTCAGTGTTAGTTAATTTCATTTTTTTCAAAAACTTAGTTTGCAACAAACTTCTGTCTTAAAAGACTATTCTTCACTTATCATGAAATTCTTAGTAGAGCCAAAAAAAGGGACGTATCAAAGCTGGAAGTAAGTACTTTGCAAAGTAAAAAGAAGCTTAGAAACGTCAAATGAAGAGCAATAAAGAATGCTAACTTCATTAAGAATACTTATTTTGCTCATTTCTTTTAACATATGCATTCAATGTTCAAACTTTCAATGTTTTTGTCCCTAAAAAATTCCTAAAATCCGGGAGGGGTTGGGGCAACATGTTTCCATAAAACTCTGTTTCTAGGTCAATCTTTAACAAAATGGTGCTGAACTAGGGCTCTTTTTGTACGTAATGAGTTGACCTTAAGAACCATGCAAACCATGACTTGTTAGCCTTTTTTGTCGGCTCATGCAGTGGACCGATGCAAAACTTTTAAGAAGCTTATGTATGTGTCTTTGTTCCAATTGTTTGCGTACGTTCCTTCCAGTAAGTCCAAGTCAAACATTATGAAAATGAGCAATGCTCCGATGCTCATCGTTAAGGTTCAGCCCGAAATTGTGTCCAATTTGCTTGTAATTTTCCCGCATTGTTTATGCTATTAGTTCTGATGATAGCCTTTATGTTGTAGTAAATTTTGGTAGCCTTATTCTGAATTTATCAGCTGTTTGCGATCCATCATTACGCCCTCACTTTAACTAGCCTATTCCAATTTCAAAATCTGATTTGGTGAGAGTTTAACAATAATGAAATTTTTTATTTTCCAGGGCAAAAAAAGCAAGAAAGGGCTATTGTTGACCTGCCATCAGAAGATTCAACGGCTGAAAGATGTAAAATTTCAACTACAGGAAGAAATTTTAAGACTTTTACAAAATAAAGCTGTTCGTAATACAAGTATTGTCAATTTGCAGAAGGAAATACTTGGCATCTCTCAAAAAATTAGGAAACAGGTAAGGTAGTAGAGTGTATTCTGAAGATAGGTATTAAAAACAGATTTCCACGTAGCTCATTTCCCTGCAGAATAATTTAAACCGACTTCATCTATGCAACAATATGCTTTATCATAATATTTTTAATTTTTTATTTACCCATGAGGTGAAAAAGAATAATTTGCAGCAGACCAACAGGCCGGCACTCGTTGTTTTTTGTGCTCCTCTGCTTTCCACTAAAGGGACCAGATTGCTCCTGAAAGGATACATACTGATGACTAGAGGAGTAGTCATATCTATGTTAAAATTCCATACATCATTTTACATTGACTTGTGCTAGATTGTATCTCAACGGTTATGTAACAATTCAGTCCAATTCCTAATCCATTGGCATCAACATAATTTGCAAGAAGGTGGGAAAGCAGTGCTGGGTCCACACTATTAGTGTTTTTTTCCAATCCAATTTGTATACACTCATGCATTTTCAGCTCCTTTATTGCGCATCACCATCATTTACTTGCCAATAATTTTAACAGGGTCTGAAATATGGTGATTTAATAAAGTCAGCCCATTATTATTAATTATTAATCGACTTTTGGATAGTCCTGTATTAAGATTGTACCCGTTTTTACAGCCTGCCCCTCTTAATTCGATAAAGGAGTCCAAGAGATAGATTTATTACTCGGTATCTTATGAAACTAACAAATTAAGAATTAGCTATAGGTAAACTTCTGATTATTTTATCTTTTTCAGTCCACAATCCGTATCAACATTTTTTCTCTGTCTTTCTAGGAATCCTACAGTGCAAAACTAGAGAATGACCTCAGGAAAATTACGCTTGAGATGGAAATTGAGAAAGGCTCTCTCACCCTCACCAGGAAGGCACTAGAAGAGATGCGCAAAGACTGTGAAAGCAAAGAGTCTGAATTTCATCAACTGGAAACGAAGTTGAAAAAAACTAAAGATGGAATAAAGATTTCCAGTTTGAGATGTGAAGAGCAGTCAAAAACGTTGGAGATCCTGAGAGAATATAATAAGGTTTGCAACTTCCTTTTTAAGCATTGTATGCAAGACAATTTGGTTTGTTGGTTTTTGAACAATTTTGTTATTACATATCATGGACTTGAAACTACAAAATGAAGCTTTTGAAAGAGGTAATGCCAGAAGATAGAACATCGTGTGCTCGTAACACCTTTGTGTAGAATCTTGAGGTATGCTTTGAATCCGTTTCTCACCTTAGAGGGGAGTACCATCTTAGAGGGGCTGATTCTGTATCATTTGGAGCAAAGAACCCGAAAAAATTCCAAAAAGTTATTTTGTTGGGAGCAACTAAAAGGTTGAAGAACAGGAAATTTACAACACTATCAATCCATCGTTTTCCGGCACTATATTTAAATGGGCACTATCTCTGAATGAATTGAACTTCCCAAAAATCTTTGGTGGTGCATTATATCAGTGATCATCATGATTTTAATATCTTGCAGGATATCTATTAAAAACCCTACCTCGGCTATCTAATATCTTCTGGATATTCCTCTGTTAGTCTTTTAAGACTTTCAAAAGATATTTGATTTTTATTACTTTGATATTTTTCTAACTTGATTAGATTGATAGAATTTAAGCAAGATACTCTATCTTCGTATAGCAACTTTTCTCTTGCTCCTCTTAATGGAGATTCTCGCATGCTCTGCTCTATTGTACAGATTTTTTCCCTCTTTTTCACTGACTGTTCTTCTTTTCTAATTATATTTTAAAAACGCTCTCCAATTTTTCCCCATTGTAGAAAACATCTGGCTGTCTGGAGGAAGAAAAATTGAAGTGTCTGAAAAGTGCAATCACAGAGATGCAGAAGAAAACCGATTGCCTTAAACAATCATGGTTAAGGAAACAGAACGAAATAGTCCATTTTGCACAAGAACGGACCAGGCAGGTTCATCAGTACAACATGCTCAAGAAACGTAAGCACCCTTACTCTTCAATTACATACAAAATAGTTACCTCGGCTGTCAATTCTGTTTAGAAAAATAATGTGGCAAACTCTCACATCTGCGATTTATTTTAAGAGAGTCAACAATGTAAAATTCATGCTAATTTTAATGATCTCAGTAGTTTTTTAGTGATGGCTCATGCTTATTTGGCCAAAAATGTAACAAGTTTCAGCACTTTTAAGAAGAGCTAATTTATTTTTAATCTTCTCTAATAAGTTGTTTACCTTTTTTCTGCCTTGCATAGTCCGTTTTGGGAACAGTTTCTTATTTTTCTTTCTCCTAAAAACATTGTTGTTTTAATTGACTTTGTTTTAGAGGTTTTAATTTTGGAGCAGAAGAATTGGAAATTAAATTACCACCTTGAGATGAACCAAAATCATAAACGAAAAATCGAGCGAACCATCAAGCGTCTTTTGCTGAGGATTGAAAATTTGAATGCAGAATCCCACAAATATAATACTCAAATCCAAACATTTGATGCAGCAAACCACATTACGCACAAAGAGTACTCTGGAGAACTAAAGGTGTGTTGGTATTTTACTTTGATTAGTCATTTAATGTCCTCAGATCAAGAGGGCTTTTAAATTTATGAAGAATGTCAATGTTTTAAGACAGTGTTCTAGAATGTAACCTCTTGAGAAGGGACCTCTCAAATGTTTTGTCAAAAACAAAATAAAAATAAATAGCACTCCTTATGGGAGCACCAATCTTCTTGAAATTTTTCAAACGTCTAGGAAATGTTTATCGCTCCTCAAACTTTTCTGTTTATTCCTCCCTGGCAGAAATTTGCAGCAAGCAAATTGTTTATTCCCCCTTGGCAGAAATTTGCAACAAGCAAATTGTTCATTCCAGTAAAAAAGTTTACACAAGGCAGCACAAAGTGAAAATTTTGTGAAAAAACAAAGAACAGAATAATCAAATTTTAGGTAAGCTGCAAGTGCAATTGAAAGTTTGTATCCTCGGTTTGTCATTTACTTGGATTCCAGCTATTCATTTCATAAATGATTACTGTTTCAGACATCCATTAATCTAGAAATTTAATGACAGCCCTTTTTTTAGCATTAAAAGCTGCACTATACGCCTGGAAATTTTTTAGGATGCGGAGGAAGAAATGCTGGGTTTAACAAAGGATATTGATGATTTGGAAACCAAAAAAGAAGAAATGAGTGAGGATGTGTTAATTCTGGAGCAAGAGTTCCTGACCTGGGAGAAAAAGTGTAAAATGATGACAGAAGCCCGGCAAAAGATACTCGAAGAGCAAGCAGCCGAAGGAGAAATAGGCACCATGAAAGCAGAAATACATCGAATGAAGGTTAGCCCTGAATAAGTTTTCTCTCTCTTCCTCCTGATCTGTTTTGACCCTCTTTTTTATTTTTAACATAAATACTGCTCTACCTTTTAACTTAAATCAATACCTACCTTTTCCTGGTTCCTTCACAACTGTACAAGGCACCTCTCTGTGTGCTAGCAATACTGCGCAGCTGTACATAATGTTGCTAAAAAGGAACAGGAGGATTCTAAGAAACTGGAGAATGTTAAGACCTTGCACCTCTTTAAGGTTTAAATCCAATTTTTCGTACTAACCTGTGGTAAAATTTTGTGTTACCAAAATTTCTTGCCTAAGTCCTAAAAATCAATTAATCAGCAGCGCACTTGGCATATGTTTACTCATATGCATAGAGAGGGAGAGAGACTCTTGAAACATACAAAATTTGAAGATTTTTTTTTTTTTTTGCATAAATCCAGTTGGATATACATCAAAGAGACGGTCGCGGCGGCATATAAGAGACTCTCACAAAACGGCCCCTTCTAAACAGATGTTTTACTCTCTTACTCCTTTACTGGATCAGGAGGAGGGAATGGGGGCTTGAGAGAGAGAGACTGTCAAATTTTTTGACCATATTGATCCGGCAACTATTGATCATTTTAGATGTTTGAATGTATGCGTTGTCACTAGAGTGGGTATCTTCCCAATTGCAGCAGAGGGTCATGCTAAAAGGAGTGACCTAAGCATCACTATTGTTTTCCTGTCAGGATTTAATTTCTACCGAATTGCAATTCAGGGCAAGGTTTAATGATGCCGCTTATTAATATAGCTGTTTCTGTTGAATTATTCAAGGTACGATATGGACAGTTATTAAAGGCCCAAGAGAAACTAAGTCAAGACATGGAGATGTGCATTACCCGTCGTGACGGAATTATTGATAACTCTATTGGTCGAGAGTTGCGAGATACAAGAACATACCTCCGTCATCAGTTACAACGGAAAGTTGATGATCTGAGATGCAGAATGAAACACTTACTTATGGTAAAAATTTATCATAATCAAGCTAATCCATAACATTGCAATTTTACAAGTTGACTTGTTTCCCCTCAAAGAAATAAAATAGGAGCTGAGATTTTAAAGCACTGCAATGGAGATATGTGGTCTTGCACTTTGGGCATTATAAACTACCCTCTTACTCATACACCTCCCCCCCCTTCACTAGTTGAAGAGGTACCCACCTACTTGGAAGAATACGAAATTTCCGAAAAATGTGTTCTGTTATTTTCATTATCCAACGTTTTTGTGATAGTTGCTCTGGCACTCTTCTTATAGTTCTCATTTTAATGTTTAATTTTAGGAAACAAAAAGCCTAGAAAAAGATTGTTTGGCGACTGAAACAAAAAGAGAAGAGTTACAAAAAGAATGGAAAGCAAAGCAAGATCAGTTAACGGCTTTGAAACTAACAACATCTCAAATGGAAGACCAGCTCCAAGAAGGCCAATTTCATAAGCAAAAGGTTTGAATTTTCCTTTGAGTTACCCTAAATATGTATCAGCTTTTTTTAAATAGTTTGTTTCCACAACAACGTCCAGTTCATTTGCAGTTCAAGGAGTAATCGCCGGAGAAACGTGAGGGGAGTGAGAGATTAATGCTACAGAGCTTCAGCAAGCTGTATCCGTAAAATTTTGAAAAATTCATCCCAGAAAAAAATACCTTGATGCGTTTTTTACACATATGTCTTTATGCGTAAAAATGTACCGTGTTTTCCACAACTTCTCATAGATGTAATTTATTTTCTGATAAATCAATTACTTCTCAGGGTAAGCAAAGGCATTCTAGTACCCACTTAAAATCTCAAGCTACCGAGCAAGATAGAAAGCCAAAATTTCCGTCCTTGTAAAATACAATCACTGTCACTCTACCTGAGCTCCTATTATCGTATAGTTGCTTTGATGGTAGTTATGACCAATGATAATTTACTAAATTTTCTTTTTTAGAATCTTGAGCTGCTCGTTAGGAAGCAATACAAAGGACGACTTTACGCTGCCATCAAAGCAAACAAATACCAGCTACTGTTTGCCCATGAAGCATCACTTCAGATTGAACTGCAACGACAAATCACCATGAATCTGGATCTCGTTTCTGTTGTTGAGTGTTTGCTTGTTGATTTCCCTCCACTCACCAATCCCATAAACAGAATACTGAACGTCCTACGGATGACTTGTTTGTAGAACACAACCAACCATGACCATCAAATCAGCAAAGAACATCATGTATGTAAGTATTTCAAAGATTTCGAGGTTTCTTCTGTAAATTCTTCCCATCTTTTTGGCCTATGTTATTCTCTAATGCTTTGACTGTATTTAGCAAGATGGAATCACTTCTTTCAAGAAATGAAAGGTCTGCCTGTTAGATGCAGTGAATTTGGAACTTTTGACGTATGTTTCCTCAAAGTAAAGAAAGTTTTTTTTTTAAATTTTTTTTTATTTATTTGTATTGTTCGCAATTTTATTGCTATTCAAATAGAACAAAAACCTTTCCAAATTGCTGTAGCAAGGTTGCCACGGAAATAATTCACCGGTCGGGAAACATTGCTGTGATAACCTGTCTAGAAGTGCATGTCACTACACCAGTGGAAAAGTTATAGCAACGTGAACGGAAAGAAATCGGCTGCCTTTGGAACAGGTTGCGGCAACCCTTCCGCGGCATGAAACATTGCCATAGTAACGCTACTCATCACTTTCCGATAATGGGTTTTGACAAGGTCTGCGCGGTAAAATTGGGGTAACATTCGTTCAGAAATGGTGAGTTCCTGTCTAGCGTTTCCTGGGCAAGGTTTCCTCTGCGTTCCCAGAGACGCTACTCGGCTACCATTCTAGCAGTACTATCCGAAGCCACATCCTGCTAAAAATTTGCCCTGGAGAATTCCTCCTTAGGGCGTTTTGGGCAGCGCTATCAGGTATGGGTGCCTTGGAAAGCTTCCCATAGGTGTCTTGTGGACTCCTACAAATATAATAACGAATAAAATAAATTAATACAAATTAATTACTTAAATACAATTAAATAGATTAAAGTAAATAAATGCTTAAAATAAAATAGATTTAAAAAATTAAATATATCAAACTAAAATAAAATCAAATGTATTAAAAACAACAAATGGAATAGATTAAAAGATAATATGAATAAATAAAGTAAAATAGATTAAAATAAATAAGAAAATGAAATACATCCAGCGAAAATAAAATAAAATGTATTAAAAACAACTAATAAAATGGGTTAAGAGATAGTATGAATAAATAAAATAAAATGCATTAAAATAAATAAAAAAAATGAAATATATGAAATGCAATAAATAAAATATATTCGGATAAATAATTAAAAAATAAAATAAAATCTATAAAATTAATAAATAAAATAAAATAAATCAAAATTAATAAATAAAATTAAATACATGAAAATTTGTTCCCGCTACGACCAGCATCCAAGTTCCGCGTTGCGCCAGCATTGCAGATCGACGTTAGAGGAATGGTTTTTACGCCTCATAGACTTGGTAAGATTGGCGTAACGTTCTTTGGACGAGCATTGACGGAACACCGTTGCGGCAGGGTTGCGCTGTCGTTGCGCTGTGCGTGGATACCGTAAGTATTTCGGCATGTAGGTTACGGGAACCTAACCGCGGCAACCGGAACCGAATCACACCTGCGGGCCGATTAAGGTTTTCTGAACAAGCATTGCCGAAACTCTGTCGCGACAACGTTACGGCAGCATTAAGTCAAGGATAGATGCCGTAAGGGTTATTACGTCAAGGTTCCCGAAACCTGGTCGCAGAAATGGAAACTTATTCCACCTACCACGGAAAGGCTACGGAAAAGTTCATGCTAAAACCATTTCGCGAGGTTTTGGCGCTGGCGTTGCGGTAACCTCTCTGACCACTTTCCGCAGTATGGGTTCCCTTCGCAACCTATCACGGTCATGTTGCCGGAAGGGTATGGCATCCTTCCCCGGACAACGTTGTAGCGGCAAGTTTGTGACAAGTCTTAGCTGCAAAGTTTCCGTAAGGAAATGTGCTACTTGGGCAGAGAATGTCAAAAGTCGCTCGAACGTTATAGGAACTGTTGGGCGGTTAGGACGCGAAGCAGCAAATCAATTTTTCCAACAACGGCAGTAAACCATTTTAGCCGGGAAAAATGTATCAAGTATCTTCAGTTTTCGAATAAAAAAACGACGGCAGAGTATACGCTTTAAAAATGCACTTGAAGATACGCCACTAAAATTCATAAAAACAAACGCACACCAATCCCCACATCCATGAAACGAAGATTTTCCTAGAACCTCCCTGCTTGTTTGATTTACTGCACGTTTCATACGCTCCCTGTTTTCCCGCCTCCGGTCCACGGGAAATTTTCGCGCCTTTCCGGCGGGCCAGGCCACTTCCGGTTTTGACCCCCCCCCCCTCTCCACTGAACGGGGCTCATATGAAAACGAGCGGTCAGCTTTGGTATCAAACGGATATTAAACATCCAAAATATAACTCAAGAATGTTTCCATCCTAAGATTTCTATGATTCTTACACTGTCCTATCGCTGAGGTTAAGAGGTGGTTCTGAATGCTTGCTTTTCTTGTCATAAAGTGTACCTACCTATTCTAAGGAAAATTCCCCAAAAATACGCTCACTTTCCCCAATCTTACCATGTTTGGCAGCTCTTTCCAGAATTTTCCCGTCCAACGTCCAACCCAGAAGTCTGTATCGCTATTTTGTAAAAGGGAGCGTTTTCGTTTTATATGCAGCTAGAGTGATAGGTCATCGAGTATTCGTACCCGTAAGGCTTTATTTTTTATTTATTTTTATTTTTTCCAAATTTTTAGTAAACATTTCATTTGTTACATTGCGTGGTTTTCACATTATAACCATGCCTATAATTTTATTCGCGGTAATATTATATATAATAAAAAAAAAAAAAAAAAAAAAAAAAAAAAAAATTAGGAACTTGGTGACAACGCAACATTTATCCGAATATACGTGATTCTTTAATTGGATCGCATTTAGATAAAAGAAACCAGCGTGATTACAGTGTTGTAAACATGTTCATTATCCAAAGAAATCTCCCAAAATAGCAAATAGTTTTCTCCACCGAAAATGTGTTAATCTTAAAGGGAAATAATTGTGTACATTTTAACACCGTACACATATCAAGTATTTTCAAAAGAAAAGAAGTCGCACGATTTTGAAAACGCTGCAACCGCGCCGGCTCTTCTTAACTAAATGCGATTCTATCAAAAGGGATCGGGGTTTAAATACCTATCTGCTTTCTGGAAGGGGAAGTTCGGTTCCTGATTTGGACCGAAAATGATCAGGGACGAAAATTTGATTGGACGTGATTGGTGGGGCCGGTTGCTGGTGGCGCGTCCGCCTAGTAGCGGTTTCCCGTATTGATTTTAAGTTGCTGCTGTCGTCGGGCGCGCAGCAGGTCGAAGTGAGGCGAGGCGAGACGCGCTCGCGCAGCGAGTCCGAGCCGAGCAAGCGTGCGCGCCCCTTTCCGACGTGCAGCCGCCAACCACGGCCGCCGCTTCGTGCTCCTCAGTTGCCTCGCAGATGCCCCCCTGTTTTTCGCGCAACTTTTTTTCGCACCCCGTTCCATCGCGACGCAGCCAACTGACCTGAAGGAGCCAAGAAAACAACCCCCAAGCTACCCCTAAAGCTTGGGAAACCCTCCAAAATTCCTCCGATCGCTACGTTAGCCCAAGTTGGTGCCTCGTCCCCCGTTCCCAGTGTCCCCGAATTCGTGTGTGTGTTGCCTCTCGCGTCGATAGATCGTATCAACATCAATGGATTGATCTCTGGCAAAGTAAGACCCACTTTCCATCTCTCTTTTATCTGCTCGTCACTATTTCTTTTCGTCGTTTCTGTATCGCTGAGGCTCAGCGCGCTTATCAGGTGGAGAGATCAATGCGCTTGTGGGGAAAATGCACGGGGGAAGTACAACATGGATGCACTTGACACAAAAAACGAGAGGGCAGGCCTATTCTGAGTTGAATTAAAATTTTCTCAGTCAGTTAAGAAAGGGAACCTTGATGGAAATCCAACGAGGCAAGTCTCTTTGTCTCCAGTCAATCGAAGAGAATCCTGAACGAGTTCAATATTCTTCCACTTAATTTGAAAGTGGATTTTATCATTGTAACGTTGCAAAATGTCTGCCCTTACCCAAATAGCCATTTTCAACCTCAAAGCTACTGTCAGTTGCATTTTTTTCGTGACCAAGTTGCAAAAATTGCAATTTTCATGCAGCCAAGCAGAGTGATTGCTCTGAATTAGCGATGTCGGTCGCAAATAGCGTCAACTTCTTCCCAGATTGATAATTATTCCTTTATTCAAATCAGTTCATCGTGTATGATCTCTAAACGCAGTTTCATTATGTGCCCATCTCTTATCCTTTGATACTGGATTAAAGGGAGGGAATGAGGCCAGAAGTTTAATGTTGCGGTAACTATTTCGCAAAATCTGTTTCAACAAAAATTCTCGCAAGAAACTTCGAATTATTACAATTTCGCAACAAAGGCTATTGGTACATCGTACCCACTGCTTCCTTTTCATACCTACTCACGTCATCCTGCAACACTCGCTATGAATTGTCACCTACTTTGTTTCGTATTCTCCCCTCGAGATGTTATGCTTTCTGTAAATATCAATCGATGATGTTTACAGTTGTCCTAACGGGAATAAGTAAAAATTGAGTACAACTAGGAATCTTGAAGCATTTTACAATACCCCGATAGTTTTCGGAATTAAGCTACACATAGGATCGTGCGTAAACGGCCGTCTCCAAATTATGTACCTGACGCTAAATTTATGGATTTTAATCTTTTTAACCAGCGCGATTTTTAGCGATCCAGAACGGTCGGCTCGTAACCTCATAAAAATTACATAACGCTGACCTAGATCTCCCTGCTAAAATACAAACATTTTTTCAAAAAAACTCATCAACTTCACTAGACCGATAAGGGCTACTGTGCATGGACCACATTTCGTAATATAGAACCACCATTTTTGACTCGTTTCAGAAACAACATATGTAACATTAGTTTCCTTGTGCATATAGGCGCTTTTATATTTGAGCCAAAAATAGGAGTTCCTTATTGTTGAATGTAGCCCATATTCGGACGTCACCAAGCATAGCAAATCCGCCCACAAAGGGCATTTTCATTTAAACCTTTGTAGCCCATATTCGGACGTCACCAAGCATAGCAAATCCGACCTCAAAGGGCATTTTCATTTAAAACTTATATTTCATTACAGTGATTTGGCACTCAAGTGGTTATTTGAAAGCTTCGAAGATAGATCATCTCTGCCCTATGACCTCCATTTAAATGATTAAGTAAAGTAAACGCATTGCACTTACGATCAGTACCCAAATAAAATAATAGAGGATAGACATGCACCCGCAGAGGCTAAGGTCGTTCGGCCTTAAAAATACTAGTGCAGCATGGGCCGTGAACCAGTAAGGTGGGTGCAAAAAGCTACGGATTATCCATAGGGAGGTTTATCCAGAGGGAGGTTTATCCAGAGGGAGGTTCGGAGAGAGTGGATGGAGCATCCCCTCACTGAAAGGGTGTTCAGGGAAAAAATTCACAATTTAACCTATTGAATAATCCAGAAGAATAATCTGAGTCCTGGTAGGATTTTCGACGCATTTATGAAGAAATTAAATACCTAAGAAGCGCAATGAAATATTGAAATAATTCTAATTTAATGCAATTAAAATCCATCCTAATACATCATTTGATCAATAGACTATCGACCAAATCAGTTCCTTATGTGAGATGGGGGTTCCAAGTGGGAATCGATCACCAAGAATCCAAATTTTATGGTCTGCAAATTCCACGGCTTTTGTAAAAACAACGTCTGGATACAACTGTTCGTGCTCAAGGGATTTCCGGGTTGCATGCGCGTAATATTGCAGGCGCTCTGCTTTTATTAACCGCGACACCTGGCCGCAATTATTATGTTTCAAGCTAAAGGGATGTCTGTGTCGCATAGAAAATGGCGTTGAACATAAATAAACGTAGGAACTCTGGTAAACAGTACATCGTTGCAGCGTTGACAAATAGTGTGATTCATTGAAGTGTCAGCCAGCCAAGAAAGACGAGGAAACGTCTCGTGAAAAGACGGAATCCTCGAGGTTCCCATGTATACCGCGCAAGACAGAGAAAGAAATCACGCACTCCAGCAAAGGTTTTCTGGTCAAAATTTCAAGCAGAACATGTTTGACTTATCGAAAACATCCGAAATCGACTCATAAGTGAGAAATAAACCTTTGTGGGTCACGTTATGAACCGGAAATTCAAACTTCTCGCTCCTTAAAAAACCTTACTCAACGCAGGTCAAAATAAACATTGAAATCAACTTGTGCTTTGAGCAGATGACCATCAGAGTTAGGTGTCACGCAAAATTCCTTCCTCTTCTGCCCCAAGATGCATTTAGTCTCGCCAACAAAGTTATTACACGAGAAAATTCCTCCGTTGTCAAATATTCCGAAACTAGTTCTGAGCTCGATTTGCATTGAGCACGTAGACTGTGTTTTTTCTTTTCAGCAGGATTAACGTAAACAAGAATCACAAGTTTCTCCGTCATGAGTTGAATTCGGGAAGTTGCAAGGAACACTTCGACACATTTCCGAACACGACAAAGTCACGTGTGTTAAATAAAAGCATAATACTTGCTGTCAATTGTCGGGAGTGAGAAAAGCAGAGCGCCTTCAATTTTGCGATATGCAACCCGGGCATCCTTCGAGCACGAATAGTTGTATCCAAACGTTGCTATCAAAATAGCCACGGCGCGACGCGGCGCCTTCAATTTTTTCCACGTATGATAACAGACGACTATAAATTGGTATACGGGAGAAAGTGCATTCCTCCTTTACAACGTTTTAAAGTCTTCCTTCATGCTCGATTTTAATCAAAGGAAACTAACCGAAGTATGTCCTTGATATCCTCTGTAAATATATTTAAAAAAGTATAGGAAATTCACAGATCGAAAAACTGATCGTCGGTTTTCTTTTTAAAAAGTAAAGCATGAGCGGAGATTTGCAACGTCGCTTTTGAGGTTCCGCATTTTTGAACTGTACTGCCGTGCTAAGGAAGAACGCCGTATGGACATTCGAGAGTTGCCAAATTTCCGCGGATAGAATGTTCATTTTAGAGGAAACTTATAAATATTTTTTTTTTGAAATCTTCAGACACTTTAAATTATATTATAAACAAAATTATCTGAGAAATTGGCAGAAAAATATTGAAAAATTTCCCCGAAAATCAGTGATTCGCCAGAGGAAATTTGGCAACGCCTGAAGGCTCATACGGCGTTTTTCCTTAGCACGGCAGTATAGTCGTCTGTATGGTACACCATTACATTGTCTACCAAGTTTGAATTACGTCACCCGATTTTCAATTAGCCAGGCACCAGAGATATTGTCTCATGAGCCCAGAATTTCAATACAAAATCACCGAATAGTCCCCTGGTTTAAATTCTCGGTAGTTTTAAGTCGAAACTTAAATGAAAAATTAAATGCGGGTTAGTGGCTCATTTTTACAAGTTTGAAGAACTCCAGGATTTGAGCTATCACCAAAAAACCGGAAAAATGAGCAAACTCTCCATTCCAAAGCGTCAGAGGTATCCAGCGATTCGAGTACTATAGTGTCGGGTATTTATCGTAGGGTTTTAAAGTTCTTGTTAACTTGGATGTTATTACGAACGTTGTGGGACGACTAACTGGATTGCATTTTGCAAAAAGGAACCAGGAACATTGCAATGTTGCTAAGATTGTGCAACTTCTTTTGTCTTGGAAGAAAAACCTGATTATCCACTACCACTTTCTATTTAACTAGCTAAAAACTGTAAATTTAAGACAAAATTACAATTTAAATTTCATATTTTGTCATGCTTTCAGTAATTTTATTGCAAAGGATGAAAATGCACAATCTCAGCACCATCGCAATTCTTCTGGTTCCTTTTTGCAAAATGCAATCCAACTATCCCTGATGTTATTTGGACGTACTTATGCTAAATGGAACTATGTGTAAGTGGAAAGATGAGGTGTGCTCGTTAGTTGAGGGTCATGAGAATGAATGAGAATTTAAGAGCGCCAGTGACGTCAGCGGCAACGACTGAGACCAGGGTTGCACGGGTGAAATGGAAAATATGAAATGTGAAAATTTCCGTGAAATATTTCATGTAATTTCACGAAATTGTGAAAAATATGAAACATATGAGACACATTTTCAGGGGCTGGGTATGCAACACGAACACGCACTAAAAAACACCAAAAAGCAAACATCAGCCGCATTTCATTTAATTCCGCATTTCATTTCGAAAAATAATTTTCATATTTTTCGGAAATTTCAAGCAATATTTCACATGAAATTTCAAGATTTTATTTTTCAAGAAAAATTGCAACCCTGCTGAGACTGGGCACGACGGGGAGATCGGTGGCGGGACTCTTTAACTCATGAGCCCTGTCCACAAGGCTCTTGTCACATGCCCACGGCTCACGAGTTAGCACTCAGTTCCTTTTGATTTAATGTAAAATCCCGCTTTTCCATTTTCTCAAAAGGAACTTCATCCACTTTTACATTGTTTCTTATGCAGCTTGCACGAGCACATCCTATCTTTCCACTTCCACATAGTTCCTTTTAGCATAAACACGTCCATTTTTACTTACAACATAGGTACCTGATAACACGATATTCAAAGTACGAAACCGTGCACCCGTATCTCTCTTTGCGTTGTTGCGGACTTCCTATCACACTTTATTTTTTCTTCGGAAAACTACTCAAAGTTATTTATTGAAGATTTCTGTAATTTGTCTTCTCTACCATTAGAATATCTCGTTTCTCTGTGGCAAATGAAAAAGGAACGGAAATACTGAAACACCTCATTGGAAATGCGTGGTTGCGTCCTGGTCATCGAACAGTAATTTCTTGTTGTGCGGCTCAATATGGGGACTTATCATGGTATCATTGTGTGCAAACAGGCACTACCGTATGCTCATACATAAAGTCGCTCCCACAGCGCACTCTGGCGTTCTGCGACAACAAAACGCCACATCGATGGTGGAAGTGCAGAAGTGTGTATCTCGAAAAACACGATTTTCCAGGAGAGTGAAAAAACTGTCTTCATTCCTCCTTATTGTCAGTAGACCTCTTAAATTACGGGGTAATAATTATTGAGGATAGCAAGAATAAGATGCTTTTTCAGACTCCATCAGCATTTTGAATAATTTCTCGAACGGTTAGAAAATACGGCAGAAATGCCGAGATTTACGTTTTCGGCACTAAGGATTGACACTTTATCACGAGTTACGCATTTTCGCAATTGGTGCTTTTAACCCGTTGTTGGCGGATTTTGATACTTCAAAGAAAAGTTTCACGCTTACAATTCCATATCAGAAGCTTTAGTTTGATCTCATACGGCCGGAGCAAGCGTTGTATGATGGAAAATGACATTTGATCACGAGATACGCATTTCTGCAATGATCGTTTTGAACCTGCTCTTGATCATTAAGTTAAAAAATAGAGTTAATTCATACTTAAAACTTGTTTAGAAGCTTTAGTTGATCCAATACGGTAGATAAAGCATCGTATGACTCGATTGACTCTAATACGAGGTTAATCCCAAAAGTCTTGCGCGTTTTGCGCTCATTTCAAAACTATTAGTTATAGGAATTAAAATCTGATTAGATGCGCAGATGAGGCATACTTTCAGCTTTAAATTAAAGCTAAAAGTATGCCTCATATTAAAGCTAAAAGTATGCCTCATATTAAAGCCTTTAATTGGAGCCCAAGTTTTTTAAAGTCGGATGAACAGGACGCTCGTAATGCGTCTCAATGCGATCGGATCAGATTGACCGTAATCGTCCGCACATTTTATTCACCACGAATAGCGTGCGCTTAGAGGTGGCGGGAAACGCATCGAAGGCGGCGCGGGAGAAATTACCCCCTGAGCGTCCGGTTCATCCGATTTTTGAAATCTTGGGCTTAAATTAAAGATGAAAGTATGCCGCATATGCACATCTAATTAGATTTTCCTTATCTTTAATAGTTTTGAAATGAGAGCAAAACGCGCAAGACATTCGTGAGTGCCGCTGCCCGCGCGCACTATGGTCCACAACTCAAGAATAGGAAGAAATAAGTCGGATAATGACTGAAAAATCACGAAAGTTTCGTCATTGTCGTTTCTTGAGTCGCTAATTTCGAATTTGATGTCAAATCGCCTGCATATTAACACCCTGACCTATTAATCGTGGGCAAGTTTATGGCACGCTGCGGCGCACGGTGGATCGAAACCTGCAAAAAGTCGGACATGGGCGATTCTCACAAATAGTCATTTCATTGATGTAAATGTCTTCCCAAAGAGTTATATTTTATGATACAGGTATTGGTTTTCAATTTTTTAACCCCAGTTTAACGCACACAGCCTCCTAANTTTAGGTTTGTAGGCGTCAGTGCGCGTTTCGAGCCGACAGCACGCCGCGGCTCTCCCGGCGGGCGGGTGGGGAACGATTTCTCGCGGGGAGAGCTCCTTGACGGAGAAACTCGCGTATCGTGTACTTTTTTTTTTATTTTAATTTTCGACTTTAAAATTACACACTGGTCGTGTGAAGTAATAATTGAACGCTCAACGCTAGATGAAGAGTAATAATGAAAGGCTGGTCGTGCCCCACTACCCCATGCGCGCTGCGGACGGCGCAGGGCGGCTCATGAAATGGACTGCATTTTGCAATTTGGACCTATAAATTCCGGCCCGGTTTAAAAACAATGTATGTGCCATTAGTTTCCCTATGCACATAAGTGTTTTTTCAGATGAGCCAGAATTTATAGGTTCAAATTGCAAAATGCAGTCCAAATTCTCCCCGGTGCTCTGTTGCAAATAAGGGGCCAGAACGAGACACGCGAAAAAAGTTCTACGGTTTTAGGTGACGGCCCGGTTTTATTCGATTATAATCTCTCGCTGGCAGATAGACGACGTCTTCAACAACACGTTCATGGAGCCTCCTCAAAACTGTCAAATATCGAGATACGCAGCTCTGCACATTCTCCATCGACATGTGCCTATTTTTCCCTAAGGTTTTCGGGCAACTGACTAAGTAACTACGCAACACCTCTTCGTTAGAGTCCCTTTATAACCAGAGTTACGACAACTCGATTAACAGCTGACTGGCAGCCGTCCTTGGCTGGCCATGGAGGCCGAAACGAGTGCACCCGAACGAACGATATTGAGGGATAAGGATCAGGAATCCTGCGATGTCTGTCACACTAAAACAACAACATCAACAAAGTGATCAATTAAAAAGAAAATGAGATTGGTTTGTGAATAATTTCTTAATCTATTTTCATTTTGGACCTATGGAAATAACAATTTACTCTTGATAAACCACAATTAGGTAATATTTTCATTATTCTTGTTCACATTCGAGGTACCGCCATCTTGGTGCACTCGTTTCGGCCTCCATGAGCGAGAACCAATCAGAATTGGATTTTTTTTTTTAGGCCACTTTCAGGCCAATCCTGGCCCAACCAAAAGTGAGTTGTCGTAACTCTGGGTATAAAGGGACTCTACTCTTCGTCAACGCCCTGTCGTCATCCCTTTATGGGACGTCCCCGTCGCCTTTTCCCAGACCATTGCCCTATTTTGAACTTATATTACCCATTGTGAAACGATGATCTTAATGTTACGTTAGGTACATAATTTTAATCGGCTGTTTTTTCTGGCTTTCTCTGTTTCAGAAATCCACAAGGCCGCAGGAATCAGGTGTAAATAAAGTTTGTGTCATCTGCGGGACTAAGTGCGCGAACTACAGAATCCGAGTGCGTTTCGGAAGTAAAAATTCGAGTGATTTGCATCGTGCACACCTATTTTGTTTTTGTTTTCCCCGTACTTTTTTGACTCGTAGTTTAATTCTCTGTCTACTTTGCGGGCATCACTACCAATAGTGCATCGCTGAACTCATTTCTGTGGTATGCCAGGATAATGCGTGGTCCACAAGGTATACTCGGGTTTTAACGAAGTGTGCCTGTTCTCGCGCGTGCCTCGCAAAATCCATCGTGATGCGACCTCTAGACGATCTAAGAACCCACGCTCCAAAATGGTAAGCCCCTTATTAAATTTATCTTATTCTTCGTCACATTGTTTATCTCACATGTTTCAAAACTGTTTTCATCTCAGTGAACCGATTAGTTCGGATAGTTTCCTTTTAATGAAAGACAACAAAAATGGAGACTTTACAACGTTATAAAGAAGGCATGCATTTTCTCGCCGTATACTAATTGGATTGCATTTTGCAAAAAGGAACCAAGAGCATTTCAATGTTGCTGAGATTGTGCAATCTCAATTCTTTGCAGAAAATTACAGAAATCATGAATAAAATTAAAAGTTCGAGGGTAATTTTCGTCTTAAATTCGTAGTTGATTGGGAGCAAAAATAAAACTTGCTTAGATGTAACAAGGTGGAGTACAAGGTGGTAATGTAACAAGTTCGGGGGCCACTTCTTAGTGTTTTTTTCTTAACTTCTCTAGATGATTAGTTCCGATTTGTAAGGTGAAAAATTTGCACAATCTTAGCAACATTGGAATGCTTGTGGTTTCTTTTTGCAAAATGAAATCCAGTTGATATATCAATTGGTATACAGACTATAGTCTGTCATCATACGTGGGAAAAATTGAAGGCGCCGCGCCGCACCGCACCGCATTAATGGTCCCATAGCCCGATTTAAGCGGTAATAAATCGAGAAAATGAAGTTTGGAAAAAGTTTCATTTCAAGACGCAGATTGATAGTACATACAGTAGAGGAGACTTCAGTAAAATATCACCTCGATTGAAGCACTACATAGAAAAAATAGATGGTGCCGAGGCTGACGACAAAACGTTCTGTTCTCTGTTCCCACGATCGAAGTTCTGTTCTCACAACAGAAAAATTCTGTAAGTGTAACAAAGAAACTGCAGGAGCCCTGTGAACAGAACGTTTTGTCGTCAGCACCATCTGTTTTTTGCTGTGCTATAAAGATGTGACAAGCATAGGAAGTGCGGCGCGCGGAGCAGGCGGAGCACTTTTGAGTATACGATCCCAGGTACCGAGTGACTGCGCTGTGTTTAAGGGTTTGTTTACGATGTTCCGCTGTACCTGAAAGTGTTCGGGCACCTGATTCACAAACTGTGGGCTACGTCTGAGATGTTACATGCTGAAACTATTCTTTTTAATCATATCTTTTGTTCTAGACTAACCCTCAGACATAGTCAGTTTTGTAATAAAATCGCAAAAGTATAGGACCCAAAAAATATACTTTGCACCTCGTAATTTTACTCAAAAGTTGTTATCATAACACTAGACTACTTTTTGGTCTGAAAGGCAGATCCGTAGTCAACCGTAGCCTTAAGTTATTTCTCATGAAAAATGACATTTTCTCGTTTTCAGCACTTTCCACTATTAGCTATCATGCCATTCACCGTGCATTTTATTATGTTCCATTGTCATATCCTATCAAAACGGATGCATTAGAGCCTATGCCGAGGCAGAATAATACGAGTTGATGGGGCTGATCGGGAGTAATAGAAACTGGTGCTCAAGAACAGCGAAGAAACGCATCAGAAGGCAATTTTCAGGTCTCGAAACAGTTATTTTTCGAAGTTTTACCATGTTTCAAACACATTGTCTATCAGAATGGATATATTTAAGTTCAAGTTTAGCGTGGCAGACGAAAACGAGTTCAAACGGCCGATCGGTGGGACTTGGAAGTAGGACTCCGGGGCAATGAATGTTGAAGTATTATCCTGGGCGGTCTTTTTTAAGTTCCCTTGACAGTAGTACGACGGAGTTCTACTAAATTTAGCTTCTCACAGTCCTTCCAATGCAAAAATTATTTTTTAAGCGTAAAGAAATGTATATTCGTCCTGGGAATCGAATCCGTGACCATTCGCACAGGAGTGAGATGCGGTGATCATTAAGTCACTGCATAGGTAGACAGAATCATCTGGCCTCAATTGAAGATTTGTCAACAAAGTATTACCTAAGTCATAAAAAAAATTAAAAATTGCTTTTATTAAAAAATATCAGCATATTTGAGCCCAGCGGCCCATAAAAACCCTATAAACTCATGTTGCAAGGTTTAAACATACGTAATTACATATCGAAGGCGTGAGTCCAAAATCACATGTCTCGTTTGTGGTGTCTGAAAATCTCCACCTCTATGCTATTTTTTTAAAGGAGAACAAATTGACATCATTCGTTGCAGTTTTTGCAGAATTTTCTCCGCGCAGAGAAGAAAAATCACGGCAGTTTTAAATAATTGCCGTCGAGTAGTTAGTAGTCGTCTGTTATCATACGTGGAAAAAATTGAAGGCGCCGCGCCGTGGCTATTTTGGTATCAACGTTTTGATACAACTATTCGTACTCGAAGGATGTCCGGGTTGCATATCGCAAAATTGAAGGCACTCTGCTTTTCTCAATCACGACAATTGACAGCAATTATTATGCTTATATTTAACACACGTGACTTTGTCGTGTTCGGAAATATGTTGAAGTGTTTCTTGCAACGTCCCGCATTCAACCCATGACGGAGAAACTTGTGATTCTTGTTTACGTTAATGTATCTTGCTGAAAAGAAAAAACACAGTCTACGCACTCAATTCAAATCGAGCTCAGAACTAATGTCGGAATATTTGACAATGGAGGAATTTTCTCGTGTAATAACTTTTTTGACGCGACTAAATGCATCTTGGGGCAGAAGAGGAAGGAATTTTGCGTGAAACCTAACTCTAATGGTCATCTGCTCTAAGTACAGGTTGATTTCGATGTTTATTTTGACCTGCGTTGAGTAAGGTTTTTTACTAGAATTCCTAGGTTTATTTATGTGCAACGCAATTTTCTATGCGACACGGACATCCCTTTATAGAACATAATAATCGCGGCCAGGTGTCGCAGTTAGTAAAAGCAGAGCACCTGCAATATTTCGCGTATGCAACCCGGACATCCCTTGAGCACGAACAGTTGTATCCAGACGTTGTTTTTACAAAAGCCGTGGAATTCGCAGACCATGAAATTTGGATTATTGGTGGTCGATTCCCACTTGGAACCCCCATCTCACACATGGAACTCATTTGGTCGATATAGTCTATTGATCAAATGGACGTATTTCTTTCAAACGGAACTATATGTGCATTGAGACATGAGCCTTAAGACCCATATATGTATAACAGGGCTCACGTTACAATGCACATAGTTCCGTTTGGCAGAAATACGTCCAAATGATGTACTAAGATGCGTTTTAATTGCATTAAATTACTTAGAATTATTTCAATATTTCATCTCGCTTCTTAGGTATTTAATTTCTTTATAAATGCGTCGAAAATTCTACCATGACTCAGATTATTCTTTTGAGGAGTTACGTGGGACTCAGTCCACCCACCCTCGAAATCCTCAATTTATTTACTCATTCTGTTTGACTCTGATACACACGACCAAGCAGGTTTGCAAGGGCGTAGAGTGGTACAGAATCGAGTGGTAGCGATCTGGACGACTCTATCCCTTCCTCAATAACCCGACAATTTTCCCCGCTAAATTGCCTTTTTCGCATGGTGTCTTAGACCTGAGTGAAGTAGGAAAAACTGAGATTCGTCCAGGAGTGACAAAAATCCGGAAAATCATGGAATTTTTTGGGTAGAAGTAAAAATTATCAGAGTTTAAACTGTAATTGCAGGTAATTCTGATGTTGGTTTTTTTTCTGGATTGGCATTGCTGCAGAACAAAGTCGAGCGAAAAATCCGCCCAACCTGTCACTAACCGTATTCGGGCCAAATTTTTAGTGTTTTTCCTACTCTATCAAAGAATTGACGCTAAAAATCGAGAATTCCATCTCTCTTTCGCTCCGAAATCATTTTCTTTTTAAAATTACTAGTCTCTATTGCTTCGGCTCTAAGGAATTAGACTAACGATGAGACCAATGATTTTTTCCGCCTGAGCTCTGATAAAAATCAAGTTGTTAAAAAATCATTAATTTTCCGCGATTCTTCGGAATATTTCAACTTGGAGCCCCCACCCCCCATCCCGCCCTTCTCCCCCTGGAAAATTTCTGGCTTTACTACAACGGGTATGTTCTGTGTTACAGAGTTGCGAAATTTCATGAAAGACTCTAAAATGAAAGGGGTGGGTGCAAAATCGACAAAATTTCCCCCCTCATGGATGTTGACCAAATTTCAGTATGTCATTCCTCACTATGGGATACGCCTTTTCCCAAAATTTCACGGCCTGAAACGAATTTCTCTCCGCGTAGCAGCGTTGCCAAGTTGAAAACCGTCGAGTTCCATATCTTTTGAACGAAAAGAGATATTGAGATGCGGTTTGCGCTAAAATTCTCCAAAAATTGCGTTCTTTTGATATATGTACTCAATTTGATCGTTTAGGTAATTTAAGATTGCAATGATGCCATTTTTCACACTTTCTTAAGGGTCAATTTTTTTTCAACCCTAGTACATCATCAAATGCCGGATTCTCGATTCGAAAAAAAAACTGTTCATTGTATTATTCGTGCTTTTCCATTTCTTTTGATATATTATAGCTCCCAGGGAAACGATTAGTAACGGAGATATGAGCAATCTAAGTTTACGCTCCGCGCGCGCCGACCGGAATCCGGGCGCCGCTCGCCGCTCTGAGTCGTCTGCACACTCCCTTTCTTAAGCTTCACGAGGTCATTCCTATGTATTTTTTTGCGTACTTTCCATTTCTGGCCTTTGAAAAGGGCTCCGATGAATTTTTAGGGGCCTCGCGGTCCATTGTTGCCATTTTTTGCTCGTATTTAGGGTTTTTTCCCTATTTTACTCACAATTCTACTGAAAAACTTAATTTAAACGGAAAACTGTGTGCGTTGAGGGAAAGAACGTAAAGAAGAAATAAAAATTCATGTAAAAATTTTTCCTTCGTTGCCAAATTTTCGAGAAAAATCGTACTAAAGAGCCAAATATTTGAAAAATTGGATAAATCCCCACGCCATGGTTTATGAAAGTGGGGCATAGCTTTCATATTGACGTACTTACGTAACAGATCTTACCTATCTATACAACATATTAAAAAAACATAGTTGTATTTGGATTCCCACGATCTGAAAATTGTCCGGGATGTCACCTTTTGCGGTCTTTTTTTATGTGTAAGGTAGATCTTTTGAATGTTTTTCGACCTTTAGTCATCCTCCGTAGGGGTGTATCGTATGTATTTTTGCTGTAATTTTCATTTTTGAAAAGAACGTAAAAAAGTACATCATTAACGTTCGTAAGGACTTATTCTTATGTTGCCAAATTTTCAAGAAAAATCGTCCTAAAGTGCCAAAAATTGGATTAATTATGACGAAGATGTCTCTAGGAAAGTGAATTATGACTTCGACTTAATTTTATAATTATAATTTTAAGTATGACTTAATGCCACGGGCCACTTCCCCAAGATGAGAGGCAGAGAGGCTGCATGAGAAGAGAAGCCCACAATTGAGGAGCATTCCGGAAAAAGGGCACATACGCGTATGTGCCCTCTATCGGAGGTGACAGAAATGGATTCCTTGCATCCTAATGTACCAATGCCCCGAGTTTCAGCTTAATTGATCAATTTTTGGAGCTACGAGACCACGTTTTTTGAGGCTAAGAATAAGTCAGGGGTCACAGACGTATTTCATCTATTTGCTTCTGGGTACTTTCGCCGCGACGTTTAGGAGATAGTGCGCGGGCAGGCAGGGAGGTGATGGGTACTGATAAGGATCCCTCACTACAGATGCATCGCACTGATTCTGCTAATCAATGCAATAGCATCGGGTTGCAGGGATTGTAGGGATTCTCTACGCGTTGCACCAGTCACACGTGAATTTTTTTAATTATTAATGATTAATTTTTTATGGTCTCGTGTGAGATTGAATTTTTCGATTTTTTCGCGTGTTTCGCAGTCTTTTTCATTATTAATGATCGAAGATGGTCCACCCGCGCGTTCTCAATCGAAATTATTATTTATTGGTCAATCGGAATTATTTACTCTTGTTTAGAAACTCGTTGAAGTCTCGAAAATTCAGCTTCAAAAGCCAAAACCTATGACCACTGGTCCATTTCCAGGAAAAGGGCACAAAACGAACAATTTTAAAAAATTCTTCCCACAACACTGGAAGAAGTGTAAGTTTTACCAATGGCCGTTATTCATTCTGGAGTGTATGAACGTTGATATGAGTGCCTCAGTTCCGATGTATGTCATCATCAGTGGCCAGAAAGTAAGAATGAAAACTTCAAATGCGTTTTTCTCACAACGCGTTTTTTCGGTATGTGCCCTTTTTCCGGAAAAGCTCTTCAATTCTGCATGAAAGTCATTATTCATTTCCTAAAACCTTCTACGTTCTACGACATATGGTTACGATACACCCCTACGGAGGATGACTAAAGGTCGAAAAACATTCAAAAGATCTACCTTACACATAAGAAAAGACCGCAAAAGGTGACATCCCGGACAATTTTCAGATCGTGGGAATCCAAATACAACTATGCTTTTTTAATATGTTGTATAGATAGGTAAGATCTGTTACGTAAGTACGTCAATATGAAAGCTATGCCCCACTTTCATAAACCATGGCGTGGGGATTTATCCAATTTTTCAAATATTTGGCTCTTTAGTACGATTTTTCTCGAAAATTTGGCAACGAAGGAAAAATTTTTACATGAATTTTTATTTCTTCTTTACGTTCTTTCCCTCAACGCACACAGTTTTCCGTTTAAATTAAGTTTTTCAGTAGAATTGTGAGTAAAATAGGGAAAAAACCCTAAATACGAGCAAAAAATGGCAACAATGGACCGCGAGGCCCCTAAAAATTCATCGGAGCCCTTTTCAAAGGCCAGAAATGGAAAGTACGCAAAAAAATACATAGGAATGACCTCGTGAAGCTTAAGAAAGGGAGTGTGCAGACGACTCAGAGCGGCGAGCGGCGCCCGGATTCCGGTCGGCGCGCGCGGAGCGTAAACTTAGATTGCTCATATCTCCGTTACTAATCGTTTCCCTGGGAGCTATAATATATCAAAAGAAATGGAAAAGCACGAATAATACAATGAACAGTTTTTTTTTCGAATCGAGAATCCGGCATTTGATGATGTACTAGGGTTGAAAAAAAATTGACCCTTAAGAAAGTGTGAAAAATGGCATCATTGCAATCTTAAATTACCTAAACGATCAAATTGAGTACATATATCGAAAGAACGCAATTTTTGGAGAATTTTAGCGCAAACCGCATCTCAATATCTCTTTTCGTTCAAAAGATATGGAACTCGACGGTTTTCAACTTGGCAACGCTGCTACGCGGAGAGAAATTCGTTTCAGGCCGTGAAATTTTGGGAAAAGGCGTATCCCATAGTGAGGAATGACATACTGAAATTTGGTCAACATCCATGAGGGGGGAAATTTTGTCGATTTTGCACCCACCCCTTTCACGATAAAATTTCATGAAGTTTCATTAACTTTTTGAAACTTCCTATGTCACATCCAGAGGCTTGTGAAACGGCTTGAAATAGTGAAAAATCATTTATAATTTGTGTTCCCTACCCCCTCCCCTTTACATCATATTTATTTTTAATTCATTGTCGTATTTCTTCATTAATTTGAACTGTTTAATGACAGTAAAACAATGGCAAGACGAATGTATTTACGCACTTCGATTCTAGGGACTTCGATCCGAGCTATTTTTGAAGTTTCTTTCATAGAGTTTATAGAATCGTAATGTAAATGAAATGGGAGAGCTGGCGCCCAGGGCCGAATTAAAGGGGTGGCCACATGGACCGCGGCCCATGGCGGCAAATCTAGGGGGCGGCAAATTTTGCAATTTTTTTAATTGTAGGTATAAAAAAAATCGGATTTATAAAAAAAAAAAATTCAAACAAAAAAAGGCGACAAAATCTCTCATTTCCTGAGAGTATAGTAATTTCTAATTTTGTCGTCTTTCAGTGATACAAAAGACAGCACCTTTAATAAGTCGAGTTAAGAGAGAAACCAAACACGCAATTTAGCCTGGAACGACGCAACTTGGAGAGAAATGATGACGAGGACTTGAGATGAAAAGGAGATGCCCGCGGCGCGGCGATCGATCGGCATGTAACACATATTAGCGCCTACAAGACTGCACGAATACTTCACGCATTGCATCAAACACAGTGCGGTCACTGCGGTTAGCGTGAAACGGATAGCGCCTGCAAGAATGCATGAATACTTCACGCATTGCGTCAAACACAGTGCATTCAGCTGCGGTCGGCGTGAAAATCATAGTACCTGATGACTGTCGCAATACTTCACGCATTGCGCCAAACACGGTGCGGTCTGCGCGGCGTGGCGGAAGTTAAAATCATTAAACCATATTTATGTTTGTTCTTTCATAATTTTTTCGTTCAATTCTTATGAATGGAAGGCCTTGTCTACAAAGAGATAGGTTTACGAAACTTAAATTTCGCGCCAAGTTCCGTGAACTTTTGCTAGTAGTATTGACAGGGCTTTCCCAAAAAAATTGTCCAACACGAGTAAACGCGTCTCTTGTACCCCTCCCCCGCTGGCACGTTCACTTGATGGTATGTTTCAAAACAAACGAGAAGGGGGCGGCAAGTAGGTAAATCCGGCCCTGCGGCGCCATGTTCTGCTCGACGAGAAAATGGCGGTGTGGAATACGTTTTAATTCCTATCTCTTTTGTTTACGTCGGATGACCGAGTACCCGTGTATCGCAAACAATCGATTGTGTATCGAGAAAATGACCCGGCGTGACACGGGAGTCTCGAAATTCGGGACCTGCTTAAAAATGACACCAGCTCGGATATTGTTGAGAGCAATTTGATATTATGTTATATCAACATGATCATTAGGTAGGTAGGGAAGAATTCATGAAACAGCTCTATTTGTGTATTCAAGACCAATACACACAGCTCAGTCACTGCGCATATTTTTCCACTTCCCCGCCCGGCCCTAACTTGGTGGCACTCAATGCTACGTCACAATGGGTGCTCCCATAAGAAATACATTGCAGCACTGCAAAAAAACACATTATCTAGAGTCCAGACTCTTAAAAACATCGACAAGAAAAAATACTCTCGATTCAATCAGATTTAAGCTTAAATCAAGAACCAATCCTCTTAATTTGATCGTATTTCCTTTTGATTTAAGTTTAAATCTGATTGAATCAAGAGTCCTTCTCCTTGTCAATGTTTTCAAGAGTCCTGACTCTAGATCCAATGTGTTTTTTTTTTTTTTCTCCAGTGAGGCACTCAATACTACGTCACTGCGCAGTAGAGTTCCAAAACTCGTCCTCGGGAATGACTGACCTGTGTAGATTGGTCCTGCGTGTATCATGCAATAGCCCATTGGTGCGAGTAGAGTACCTATTATATTGAGAGAGTATGGCCACTGGTGTTACCACCTCTGATTGGCTCAGCCATCTTAGGCTGAATGGAGCCCTTAGGACCCAAAAATGGCGGACGCCATAAATTAATGTAATGCAAAATGACTCAAAATGTTAGTTTTCTTTGCTCATTGTAACGAGAAATTAACCCTAATGCACTATTGCGACTTCTCTACATATTTTTAAGGCTAATCGTGTGCAATTTTTGAGAAAAATTATCTTAGATGTAGTAAGGTTGGCAGCAAGTGCGGTTGGTGATAACTGGTGATAATCGTCAAAAGTTGGCAATGCCCTCCTCCCATCCACAAAAACTAAAACAAAGCCCCGCCATTTTTGGGTCCTAAGCCTCTCCATGGGGCCCAGTGGCCATACTCTCTCAATATAGGTACTCTAGGTGCGAGGTTTGATTGATGTTGTCGACTACGGCGAGTATCTGTAAAGTAAATAATGTTGCCTTTGTTACAGATGTCCTGACAATGACTGCCGGGGCAGGAGGATGAATGCTCCGGATGACGACTTCAACGAGAATAGCAGTAGCAGTCTCATCAGCCGAGAGCGGCGGGAACGCGAGCGCTTCTGCTCCCACTTGCACCCGTACACCTGCTCGATCCGGCCCCTGAACCGGCACCATGCCCAGACCTGCTACATATGTCCGGGGGACTCAGGTCCCGGGTTCCCGACGGACGCCCAACCCAACCAGCGCTGTCCCAAATGCTGCTACAGCCTCAACCACTCCCACTCGCACAACCTAGCGGAGCGCTACAGCAGCCACAACCATGGCCACGCGCCTAGCAATGGATACATCTCACCGAGTTGCGGCTACTCCAACCCCAACGACCGCTTCGCCTACGCCGAGCTTGGACCCGTTCCCAAAGATCTCGCCTGCGAGCGCTACATTCCATCCCCCGCGCCCTCCGCAGCCTCCGAGCGCTACCTCCCACCGCCCGATCGTTTCCTGACCCCGAGCCCTTCGACCTCCCACCCCTCGCCGCCGTCGAACGATCGCTTCCATGCTCCGACCTCGACGCAATCGGACCGCTACATCCCACCTCCAGCACCCGCCCCATCGGACGTGTACATCACACCCTTGTCCCCTTCAGTCTCGGACCGGTACCTAGTCTCGCAGGTCCAAGCGGAGCGCTATGATCGTTTCTTGTCGTCGGACCGGTTCCTCGGCGAACTCCTCGTTCCCAGCGAACAGTTGGGCTACGACAAGTATGATCGGTACGCGGAGAGAGACCGCGAGCGTCTCTTGCCGGGGGCGGCGGGTGGGACCCAGGCGGGGCTCGTCGGCGGACCCGGGGACCCGTACATGCGGCGCGACCTCGGCTACCACCACCACTACCGGCTGTCGAATCATATTCAAAGCACCGGGCATTTCAGGAACATGCCGAGCATGAACAGGTCGGCCTTCATCCACACGCTCCACCATTTGCCGAGCCACCACCAGCGAAACGCGCGCAGCCAGTCGCAGGGGAAAGCTCAGTACCTGGAAGGAGTGGTCTCTGCCTCGGGGTCGGTTTCGTCTACCGCCTCGATGCGTCGCCCCAGCTCGCGAATCCCGAGTCTGCCCCTGCCATTACCTCTGCCGGCAGCCAGTCCGGCGCCGCTACCAGCACTGCCCTCCGCCGAGTATGCTTGCGCGAGTGGGAATCGTTACCCCTCAATCATGCCACCACTAGCTCGCTGTTCCAGCGCCAGTGATGTACAAATAGATAAGAAAATGTGCCTCAACCCGGCTGCGACCGATGTAGGTGGCGGCTCTTGTTCTGGCATCACGGTGCCACCGTTTAGGAGATTGTCGGCCACCCCCGTCACCAGCAGCACATCCCCAATGCAACACAACAGCTCCATTTCCTGGTAAGTCGATCAGTCATATTCACTATTGAATTCTCGCTTCCAGGACTTTATGTCCACCTACCTTTCGTCCATTAAATAAATGTCCACCGCTATTAATGTCCACTAAACGATAAGTTCAGTATTTATTAAGTCCACATGATTAAGTCCAATGTCCACATTTTTTTCTTCTCATTTAAATGACAGGAACCGCCTCAAAAATAAATGCATACTACTACTACCTTCATTCTTAAAAACATTTCATTCATGAATCAAGTCATGAAAGAAAACAGACTCGAAGAGCAGATAAAAACATATGATCATGTGTACACTGTACGGATATGATAAGATGAAAACCGAAGCGGGAGCCTAGGAAACGCTCCAATGCCAAATTAAACATTTTTCAGTATCAGATGCTGTCAAAATTGAAAGCCCTCTTTAACTAGTTATTTCGTGCGCCTTCAATCTTGTCGGATACTGTGCAACGCCTCTGACGCGAAATAGTTTCTTAAAGCGTTGCGGCGCGGCAGGTAACCAGCCTGACACGCGCATAGGCGCCTACAAACCTAACGGGATACTTCACGCGTTGCGCAATGCGTGAAATATCCAGTTAGGTTTGTAGGCGCCAGTGCGCGTTCTGCGCTGCTAACACGCCGCTCCGCTCTGTGTTAGGCTCTAATATTTATACTCGCGGAGTCAGCGTTTTTCAACTCATGATTTTGAAATGTTTGCACTCTCTGCATTGATTATTCCCTTTTAAACTGATGAAAAAGAAATATGTACTACTGGAAAATATAATGTGTTTTTTGTAAATATAATAGTGGTTCCGTGTCAAATTTAATGATTTCCAAAGTATTCAAATTTATGCTTTTATGTTTTGGGCTTTTACTGTGCTGCAGCGTGGTTAAGCGCAACTAAACGCTCAAAATTGGACGTATTTGACTCAAGGAGGTCGATGTGCAAATAAGTTAAAAAAAAAAAAAATTGCGTGCTTCTTGGTTTTTTCCTCTTTTATTAATTTTTGTATAGTTTCTTTCATCACAACTACGGCACATTGAGATTCATATCGATGCCATTGCTTGGAAAAGGTTTTACAAATATTTACCACGTTTTAAAAATGTAAATGTTTTTAAAATGAAGTAATCAATTTCATTAAAAACAAAAAGAATGTACGTTTAAGGCATATTTTACATTGGAAAGTTCAAGGATAGAAATGAAACCAAGTATTTACCAAAGGCAATTTGAAAAGATGAATCAAAAGAAGAAATTAACATTTCATTTAAAATATGAGTTACGATAACAACACATTCTCTCTTGATTTTCTCATTTCGATATTGTCAATATAATTTTACACACGGACTAAAATATGACGCTTGAATTTGATTTTAGTGGACTTTACATTTGTGGACTTAACTTAGTGGACGTTTAAGTAATGGACTTAACAATAGTGCGGGCTTTAGAACGGTTGACGAAAAGTCTGTGGACGTAAAAAAAGTGGACATAAAATCCGTGTACCGAATTCTCTTCTCTATTTCTTTCTTTTGCTTTCCTTTGTATACCTCAGCAACTTAGGCCTTGAAAAGCGTAGCCATCCCATGCCCTTGAATTGCAAAGTTTCAGGTTTCCATGAGTAGGGTTTTTGTTCTTAAAATCCGAAACTGAAATTAAAAGCAATCTTTTTCATTCAGGAGTAGCTTTTAGTCCAGAGTTTTGTTCAGTAGAGTCCCGATTGTACGCGCTTCGATTATCCGCGTTGTTTTCCAGTACCTGTGGCTTTTTTCACAGAGGGAACGAAATTGAGGCTTGGGGGACATTCTATTCAACTGTAAGATAGAATTTCTCTTTACGCACGCTACAGATCGCAGCCCAAGACTAAAGCGCAAACTTCTGTGGAAAATTCCATCTCGATATATGGACCACATTTTGCAATAAGGAACCACTATTTCTGGCTCATTTTAGATACAACATATGAGCCATTGGTTTCCTCATGCAGGAAGGTGCTTTTGTAGAAGAGCTGGAGCTGGTGATTCCTTTTTGCAAAATGTAATCCATATAATATTTGCCAAAATGCTCTCTTTTGAGGTAAAATATATGCATTTAAAATACAGCCTTTCAATCACTTTTCCCAGCTAAGTAGCTCAGTTTCGGATTTTCCGGGATTTCCGATCCCAATCACCGCGGATAATCGAGACTCTACTGTTCTTTCGAGTGCAAACAACCAATTAAGTACACGGTAGATCGGCCGAGTTCATCTTTGCATCAATGAACTGATTCGACCCATTTGCTCTTCATTGCAGGAGGTCGGTTTCGTCATCATCATCATCGGCCTCTCCAACGCCGCCTCAGGAATCCGCATCAACTTCATCAACGTCCATATCTCCTCCGTCGCCGCCTTCACCGCCATCTCCTCAAAAATCAAGGTGAGCCTAAGCACTGAAGTCCCATCAACTTTTCACCCCTCAGAACGAGTCGGTTACGCTAGATAGTACTTAAGTAGCACAGGTCAGTGGCGTAGACAAGGGGGGGGGGGGGTCC